TCTAGACTAAAATATACACGACATGATGATACATACTATGAAGTTTAAGCATCGTAAATTGTTTATTTTAGCCTTTTTTTAATTTGGATATACGTTTTAGTATGTTATTAGTCGAATATGAGAATTTTAGTCAAATTGGTGAACATGAATTTGACAGCTAATGCCCTTTTAAGGAAGATATTAAACCGAATTTCATTTGACTTTGGTTTTATGTAGACTATTTTATAAAAGTCATGGTGTATAATCTACTCTTTACAGATATCCAGAAAATTTAGAGATAAAATGCATCCTAGGCATGGCCTTTTGAGAAGTACGAAATTTGAAATGAAAGGTAATATTTCACCATATAACATGCTCACAATACAAAACTGTTTTTTCCAGCTGATATATGAAATACTATTCAATATAAGCTCATAAATGCTTTTAAAACCAACCAAGTTTGTATTTTGTAAAGTCTGAGAAATGATTAATTAAAAAAAAAGAATGAAAATATTGTCTTGTTGATGTTTGACCAGCAATTGTAACAATTAAGTACGTGTAAATTTTAGATAAAAAGTATTTACATGAATTAGATGTAAGAATTATCTATCTTGTGTGTAGGTTTGTGTATCTATATGTTCTACCCCGTGTATGGTGTGTCAGATGGTCAAAACGTACATAACAAAACTGTACAAGTTGATATGTGCCATATGGTCACTATGTACATTACAGAAACTGTACAAGTTGATATGTTGCAGATGTATATTATATAAAAATGTACAAGTTGATGAGTCGTCAGATGGTCAATATTTACATTACAGGAAACTGTACAGGGTGATTGATATGTGTCATATGGTCAATATGTACATTACAGAAAGTTGTACAAGTTTTAAAATATGTGTCCGATGGTTAATATTTACATTACAGAAAACGTGATATTTGTTATGTCCTACCCCACATGTAGGATTGTCAACTATGCATCATTGTTGTTATACACTTTACACTTTATCGGCGGACATCAATTAAGTTGTAATTCTATGCTGGACTCAGGCTAGTCAATATGTGAATATTCCCATTGTCTTGTTATTAATATGTATAAGTATTCCCCTTGGACTGGTTATTTGTGTTTACATTTCTATCCATTTGAGTCTAATGTTTCAGACGTTAATATTTAATTATTTTTATCAAATGCCATGCAGGATGACATTGTCTTTGGTTTTCACTTCATACTAGCGGTAGTGGGAATCCTGTTACGCAGTAATTGTGAGTTGAATTGATTACTTAAATTTTTCATGTGAAAATTCCGTCCTTTATTTATAAATGTGTAATGGTTGTTGTACAAATCACTACAATAGCCAGTATATTGAAGAAGTTCCGTTTTATTTTGATAGCACGATTTTCAGAAACCAGTATACATTTACTTAGTGCGGGCGTCTGACGGCCTTCAAAGTTTATGATTTGCTTGGCCGTGGGATTATAAAAATAATTGAATTGTATATTAGACGTCGGTCCGTTCACACGATCAAGGAAGTTCAACAACCACTGTATTCTACCTCCAGATATTTCTTTAGCACACTGTAGCAGAACAGTTATGGCCGTTCTTTCCTTTGGCGGAGGTGTATATATATGAATTCGTATCTTCAACTCATCCTAGTTTAAACATATTTTATTTGCTTAAATACGCAAAAGAAATGAGACACAAGTTAATTAAACTTATAAAGTCTTCCCCAATGAACAATTTATAACAATCGAATATTTACAAAGCATGCATGCAAACAATATAAGATTTTATATATATATATTGCATTAAGATATGTAAAAATACTGATGCGAATGGTTGTACACATGTATATATTTAAATAAATGCACATCTTATGCTATTTCATACAATTAGAAACTTTTTTGATTCTTTATATAAATTAATATAGTTTTTTAAAAAATTTGTATTTTCATCATTATAGTTGGTGACAGATGACCGGGGGCTAAGATGTTCAGATTTAGTTGAGAGTTCTCATGTAACCATTTCAGATTATTAGATAGTTTGATTCTTATATTAACATACAGTACTAGTAATTGTTTTTTTTTAAAGTGATATGAATCTGAACGCTTAGCACAATTGTTAAGATCATAATTCAAAAAGGAAGCTGAACATCTAAACTTTGTCAAAATGACGTCGAGTTTACGTTTTTCAAATTCGTAATATTTAGGTACTTGGGCTTTTTCACGTGACTACTACTTTCCTCCTGTTCTATGTTTAAATCCGAATGCTTCCTCGGGTTTCCGTGAGAAAACTTTGAAATATTGACCAATAGTTGTAGCCATCTTGTTTCCGTAACGCCTTCAACCCACTGTCCTCTAAATTTTTACAGAATATTCATTACTCGCTGACATTTTTCACCTTTTATTTCATATTTGACCTGAGGGATTGTCCCATAGCAAACAATGGACATTGTCATAAATTTGAACTTGGGTAAAAAAAAGCAAATGGATTTATGAGCTCTGGTCTGGTTTTTCTCGCTTAAAAGACGAAAAAACAACGTTACATTAAATATAACGCAACAAACTAAAGACTGAAAAACACAAACCTCACACATAATCGCGGGATAGTAACTACGGCAATGAGTCGGATTCAGTGATAATTAAGCCACAAACATGCTGGAAAGCACAACGAACGACAAGTAGCCACTATCTTTCTCTTTTAGGGAAATCCTTAAACAAACACAAGCTCTGGTATATCGCATGGAGATGACAGGCAGCAACACGCTTCTAGATAAATCTTTAAATAAACACATGCTCTGGTTTTCGCATGGATCTGTCAGGCGGCAACACTCTTTCAGGGAAATCCTTAAACAAACACAAGCTCTGTTATATCGCATGGAGATGACAGGCAGCAACACGCTTCTAGATAAATCTTTAAATAAACACATGCTCTGGTTTTCGCATGGATATGACAGGCGGCAACACTTTTTCAGGGAAATCCTTAAACAAACACAAACTCAGTTATATCGCATGGGTACAAAAATGTATGACAAGCAGCAATCTTCTTTTAGGGAAATTCTTAAACAAACACAAGCTCTGGTATATTGCATGGATATGACAAGCAGCAACACTCTTTCAGGGAAATCCTTATACAAACACAAGCTCTGGTATATTATATGTTACATCCCATCAACTGGGACATATAGACAATATTCGTATATTGTAGAGAAATATAAAATTTATTTGTATCAGCTTTAGAAACAGAGAGAGAAAAACGGGGCGTGTCGAGCTTATCTACAGTTTCTTTGCGAGTACAAATACATTTTGTATGCACCCGCCGCAAGTCGAATGGGGAATTAAGTATTACCCTTGATCGTCCTTTCGTCCGTCCGTCCCATTTTCGTTTGAAAAGCATGCTTGAGCGGGGCATTCGTGTCCTCAGACACATTCTTATTTTATTTATTTCCTACAATGCACGAATATTGTTTTTATCCTGCAACTAAACGTAAACTATATTTTTTTTACTTCCCAATCGTTTGGGTTTTTTTTATGAAATCAACATGACTGAAACGCGGACCGCGATAAGGACCCCCAAATATAACTGTGACGTAAACAGTAATTTACCCGGCAACTTTCTACTTTTTTACAATTAATTGGAATGCATTTCGGGCGTCCATACAAAATCAAAATGTTTAACGACTTAAATGGGTGTTGGGGTATACATTTGTCTGCTTTTCCTGCAGTTCTGTTTTTTTTTGCTATTGATCGTTCATTGTGAATTGCTAGGTTGTTTTTACATCTGACATGTTGGCGTAGTTTTCGTGTTTGTTTTGATTTTAACTAACCAATTGTTATTTTTAGTTTGATTTCAAATATATTCCTCAATGTTTTGTTCTCAGTGTTGACGTTTAGACAACTCTATAACCGAAGAACTGAAATTTTAAGCATTTATTTTTGATTAACTGAAGAAGTGCACTTTTAAGCATTTATTTTTGTATACGCTAGTTATTTTTGATGTATACTTTGCCCATTGTCAAATAAAATGTTGATATGGGCATTTTATTGTTTAAACCAATTTTGGTATGATCTTCTACCTCGAGTGACTTTAAAAAGGAGTGGTAATAGAAACACGTGTCTGACATGGGCATCGCGAATCCATGATAATAATCCGATTTTTTTATTAATACAGAAGTGTTATATTATACATAATACGATAAGTTGTCTCTGTACCTCTGTACTCGGGTCATCTCTGTTTAAACATGTCTCTGTACCTCTGTACTCGGGTCATCTCGGCTAAAACATGTCACAGACATCTCTTTAATGGTGTTTATTCATGATTTATAACTCCGTGACAAGCGGTACACAGGATAAATCTGCATCACACTATATTGTGTCATAACGATATACTTTGATAGCCTGACTAACACAAAAATTCCATTAAAATGAAGGCTTGATTTACTTTGCATATAATTAGGTCTCTATACATGTTATAGTTTACATAGTATCTTAGTGATGTTCTATCACCAGTTAATAATTGACATATTGATGTTGTATTTTCCTCCATAGTGTAAAGTAGAACAAACAAACAGATATTATTCTGAATATATGGAGGCAAACTAGACCAATCGTATAATTATTATTTAGGTCTCTTTTGGTCATCTAGCTCTTCACGTATTTAGGTTTCATACTTCACTTGCTTTCAAAATATTTGAGTTTAAGCGTTCATGATGATGGTAAATTCAGAAAAGCACTTCGGGCACACGAAAATAATAAAGTATCATATCTATTTACTAGCCCTGGGTCGATACCACTGCTGGCGGACTGTTAGTCCTCGGGGGTATCATAATCCCAGTAGTCAGTACGGACATTATTTAAAAAAATAAATCTTAAATTCTCCGTTGATAAATTGAGAAATTATTATCCAACTCCCACTGTCAAAGTTGACCTTTGGCTAATTTTGTGGATTTTTTGGGGAAAATTGAGCCCTAAAAATAAACTCTAAACAATTCTCAGTATTTTGCAAACAATAATCATTATTCCGGATACATACTGCGTAAAATAACATTGAGAGATTATTCTGCTTAACACCATTATCATTGCGGGATTTAAATTTTTTGTTTTAAAGTCGTTCGACACATGACATTGCTTGATCTTGCATTTTAACGTTGATACAGGAGACGGGAAATCCTATGCTTCTTAAGTATGATTTTATTTTATTACAATGACTTTAAATCATTGATTTGTTTTTAATTATTTTTGTCATATCTAATATTTTATCTATTACGTCAAAAGTTGCGACAAAGTTGTATTGCAATAAACTTCCATTGAATAATTCATCAGAATTGTAAAAAACAAAATACTTAATTTTTAAGTGCGTGTATTTCTCCGTTGTTATGATAATCGACATGTATTGAAATATGTTTAATGACTTATTCTCCCATCAATTTAAGATACCTGTGTTGTCATAGAAACAAGACAACAACTTTTGTACCTGGAGTCCACTAGCAATTCGGGACAGTAAGGATTAACATCTAAAAATGGGCTGTAGTAATACAAAGACTGCCGAATCTGGGACCACAAATAAACCCCAGGAAAATGGGGGTGGACAAACAGGTAAGACAACAGTTAGACTAATGTGTAATATAAAATACCTGATATAAAGTAACTGATTGAATAATAACTTATTTATAATGTATCACTGTACCCAAGTTACTATGTATAGATGGGATGATATTACATTTGTTAAATACTTGATTCATATAAAGGTGCATTACGAACAAATTTATGGGGGGGGGGGGGGGGGGTATTTTTTGGAGGGTACTTGTTTTCTTGCTTTCAATTTGTTTTCCTTGATTCAGAATAAATATATTAAGTTTTTCCTTCTTTCTGGAACATGAAATTTTTCTTTTGTTTGGACGATGTGATTGTTTATCTCTTGTTTTGGGGGATGGAAATTTCTGTTGTGTATGATGAATTCTACTGTTGAGTGGTATATTTGGCACTATGAAAAACATGTTAGGATTTAGGAAATAGCTATATCCTCCCCGCCTTTCGTGTTCTAGAGCCTCAATTTGGACTCAATAACTTGTTTTTGTCTTTAAACACGAATTAAAAGAGATGTGAGGTATACGTCTATGAGACAGCAATCCAACGACCAAAAAAAATATATATGTTTTCCAACACTGTCCAAAGTGCAAAAAAATAAAACACAAACTCCAATACGAGGGAGTTATGGACTACATTCTACCAGTGACAATTTTGTCCCACTGATTATGCTTAATATAAGAAATATTAAATTGTTAAACGAAATAAAGAAGGAGTTTAATGGATGTCCCTCCTAAGATGGAGGCTGCAAGTGGTATGTGTCTCTCCGAGGACACATCATTTTATTGGATTGAAGTAACCGACAACTACAATAAACACCATGTATATATTATATATCTAAATTAAATTTTAAATCTATTGTCCTAACACTACAATACACAAATGTCCCTTTAAGTTTAAATAAAAAGTATGCGTTATAAAATCTTTATTATCCGTGAATAAAAGCAAGATTTTTATAATTACCCGTGTCATGCAGAGTTGAAACCATATGATGGATTACAACTAAACTTAAGCCTAGTATAAAATTTTATTAAATACGAGGTCATAAATGTACTAATCATATACAAACACACAAACAATCAGAACTGTTTATTACAGTTTTACTGAAAAATCTTTAGTCGAAAGTAATTTATTATAACTTTACGACCTCAAATGTAAATATTTCAGGCTTTCATCGACAGCTTTTACAAGGGATAAACACTACCAATGATGTCCTTACATTGTCATCTTAAATTACTATTACTGAATACAAAACCGTAAATACTTCAGATACTATATGGAGAATACAGCCCCAAGGATCGTTATTTATCAGTTTAATTTTCACTGAAATAAGGAAATTTTGATGCAGAAATTTATTTCAATGACTTGCAGTGAATTCTTTTGAATAATAACATTTATTTAACGTACTTGTTCTTACACATTCAGAAATGGTTTGACTCATAAAAATGTGGTATAAATCGAATAATGTATTTTTGTTATAGATCGACTGTCACTGTAAAATTATTCATTTTGGTATTTTTTTAAATATTTTCCCCCAGTAAAGCCGATTAAAAAAAATAATCTTGAAAGCAAAGCATTTATCATTTAACAGATTGACTACCTCAGAACTCATAGTTTATTTCAAAATTCTATCATTTAGTGGTCTTTCTGGAAACAAAATAGTAATTTTCCCAGTGGTGACCTATAATTTTAATATATCATTCTCTAACCAGCACAATATGAATTACATTTTGACAAATTAAGTACAGAGCTCTAAATTCAGTATGGAAATCCTATTTTTCTTCATACTCCAATTTTTTTTTCAATTCGTCATAAAATGAGATACGCGACCTTGCAAAGTATTTATTACGAAACATGACAATACCATGGATTATCATATACGCCTTGTATACAATAAAATTGAGAATGGAAATGGGGAATGTGTCAAAGCGACAACAACCCGACCATAGAACAGACAACAGCAGAAGGTCACCAACAGGTCTTCAATGCAGCGAGAAATTCCCGCACCCGGAGGCGTCCTTCAGCTGGCCCCTAAACAAATATATATACTATAACGGTACCCATCAATCACAAAACAACAGGAAATAATCAAGACTAGACAATCCAAAGTTACTGCACTGTATTCCACTGGCTGTTCATACACTTCAACTCTTCATTTTTTATGTATTTATTATATTTTTAGAAGAATTTTAACTATAATTAGATAACAGATTCCACTAATAAACGAGCCGATTGCGTAGAGTTTTATATGAAATATCCTAAGTTCAAATTCCCAACGAATCGGTGTCTTAAGACACTTACACTGTACGTACTATTTTTCATCCTGCTAAACGTTCTGCTCAGGTTACTGACAAAAGGGGACCATATGTTTCCTATTGCTCAACTCCCTGTTCAGGTAACTGACAAAAGGGGACCATATGTTTCACCCTGCTCAACTTCCTGTTCAGGTTACTGACAAAAGGGGACCCTATGTTTCACCCTGCTCAACTTCCTGCTCAGGTTACTGACAAAAGTATACCACATGTTTCACCCTGCTAAAATTCCTGCTCAGGTTACTGAAAAAACGGGACCCTATGTTTCACACTGCTCAGGTTACTGACAAAAGGGGATCATATGTTTCAACTAGATAAAACCCATAATCTTATGGTATATGTTAATGCTTTCGTTATATGATGAATTTTGTGTCGATGGCAGATTTTTATAGGTTTAGACCAATTTTATCAGTTTAAGCTTTAGAAGCTTGGTGATTTGGATTAAGGGTTTGACATATTACATAGTCACCAGTCTATTGTATGTAGACTTAAAGTATACCTCTTTATATTTTAAGTTACTTTGTGTCGTTGGGGTGTATTTTCTTGGCGTATAGCTAACGTCTCTTTTTATTCGTACTCAAGTAACGAGGTTTGTGTTGTTGGGATGGTTTTTCCTGTCGTATAACTAACGTATCCCTTTAGCCATACTCAAGTATCGAGACAACTGAAGGTTGGTTCTCATCGACATTACACATGGATTGCATATACTAATGAAAAGTCATGGTTTAAACAGGATGTTATCTACCCAGGAGGTAACAGTAATATATGAACATTTATGGTTCATATTTCAAGGATTTCTTATTTAAATAACTTCATTTATAGTACATGTTACTATATATAATGTATTATTAAAGAGTTCTTTTTGTCAGTCGTATTCTAAGAACGTCTGGTAGAGTATTTAAGGCCGGCATGTAACTTCAATCAAAACGACTGAAAAACGACTGTATTGTCTTGTAATGTTTTTAAGGTAGTTGTTATATTACATAATACTCCATGTTTTTATCTGAAATCAATTTTATTGTAAACCTTTACACTACCATTTCTTCTCCCTTTTTAGTTTTATTGTATCGCCTGATCTTCCTCTAATAAAGTTAATTAGGGATTTACCATTTCTTCTCCCTTTTTAGTTTTATTGTATCGCCTGATCTTCCTCTAATAAAGTTAATTAGGGATTTACCATTTATTCTGCCTTTTTAGTTTTATTGTATCGCCTGATCTTCCTCTAATAAAGTTAATTAGGGATTTACCATTTATTCTCCCTTTTTAGTTTTATTGTATCGCCTGATCTTCCTCTAATAAAGCCTGATCTTCCTCTAATAAAGCCTGATCTTCCTCTAATAAAGTTAATTAGGGATTTACCATTTCTTCTCCCTTTTTAGTTTTATTGTATCGCCTGATCTTCCTCTAATAAAGTTAATTAGGGATTTACCATTTATTCTCCCTTTTTAGTTTTATTGTATCGCCTGATCTTCCTCTAATAAAGCCTGATCTTCCTCTAATAAAGCCTGATCTTCCTCTAATAAAGTTAATTAGGGATTTACCATTTCTTCTCCCTTTTTAGTTTTATTGTATCGCCTGATCTTCCTCTAATAAAGTTAATTAGGGATTTACCATTTCTTCTCCCTTTTTAGTTTTATTGTATCGCCTGATCTTCCTCTAATAAAGTTAATTAGGGATTTACCATTTCTTCTCCCTTTTTAGTTTTATTGTATCGCCTGATCTTCCTCTAATAAAGTTAATTAGGGATTTACCATTTATTCTCCCTTTTTAGTTTTATTGTATCGCCTGATCTTCCTCTAATAAAGTTAATTAGGGATTTACCATTTCTTCTCCCTTTTTAGTTTTATTGTATCGCCTGATCTTCCTCTAATAAAGTTAATTAGGGATTTACCATTTATTCTCCCTTTTTAGTTTTATTGTATCGCCTGATCTTCCTCTAATAAAGCCTGATCTTCCTCTAATAAAGCCTGATCTTCCTCTAATAAAGTTAATTAGGGATTTACCATTTCTTCTCCCTTTTTAGTTTTATTGTATCGCCTGATCTTCCTCTAATAAAGTTCATTAGGGATTTACCATTTCTTCTCCCTTTTTAGTTTTATTGTATCGCCTGATCTTCCTCTAATAAAGTTCATTAGGGATTTACCATTTCTTCTCCCTTTTTAGTTTTATTGTATCGCCTGATCTTCCTCTAATAAAGTTCATTGGGGATTTACCATTTCTTCTCCCTTTTTAGTTTTATTGTATCGCCTGATCTTCCTCTAATAAAGTTCATTAGGGATTTACCATTTCTTCTCCCTTTTTAGTTTTATTGTATCGCCTGATCTTCCTCTAATAAAGTTCATTAGGGATTTACCATTTCTTCTCCCTTTTTAGTTTTATTGTATCGCCTGATCTTCCTCTAATAAAGTTCATTAGGGATTTACCATTTCTTCTCCCTTTTTAGTTTTATTGTATCGCCTGATCTTCCTCTAATAAAGTTCATTAGGGATTTACCATTTCTTCTCCCTTTTTAGTTTTATTGTATCGCCTGATCTTCCTCTAATAAAGTTCATTAGGGATTTACCATTTCTTCTCCCTTTTTAGTTTTATTGTATCGCCTGATCTTCCTCTAATAAAGTTAATTAGGGATTTACCATTTCTTCTCCCTTTTTAGTTTTATTGTATCGCCTGATCTTCCTCTAATAAAGTTAATTAGGGATTTACCATTTCTTCTCCCTTTTTAGTTTTATTGTATCGCCTGATCTTCCTCTAATAAAGTTAATTAGGGATTTACCATTTATTCTCCCTTTTTAGTTTTATTGTATCGCCTGATCTTCCTCTAATAAAGTTAATTAGGGATTTAAGTATACTTTCCAAACTGGTCTAACCTAGCCACTTATATAGTTTTGTATTAATTGAGAAATGTAGGTCACCATTTCATTTTAAAATGTTCTAAAACTTGTTTTTAAATTAATGGGCATTTCAAGGAATCAAATAATTCAACTAAAATGTGTCCCATGTTGCTCGTGATAATATTCAGCTTGTCATTGTTTGGTTTACTGATGATCGTTGACGATCGTCTAGTGGGCTGTAGATGTTTTCTTTGTTGTTAGGTTGCTGTCTCATTATAATTGACGCCTACGTGTACTACATGTCCTTACATTCCTGTTTAAGCATTATTCGTTGCAGTCTGAGTCAGCGCTTTCAGTTAAAAGCTTGAATAACAGTTCTGTTAGGTAAACTTGTAAAAACTATTATGTCTGGGATTAATCAGATTAATTAATATACATGTAAAGCTAATAAGATTTTCCAAAACACAGACTGTTAATCGTGTTATCAATTTGCACGTTACATATCCTTGCTACATTTTATAATAATCTCATGAACCCGCACCGCAGGTCAAACGAACAATTGCCTTTAAATCTGATATAGACTTGAAGAATTTAAATAAGCTGGATTTATAAAAATATATTAAATGTCTCGGATATAATATTGAAATATTTGATTCGATTGTTACGATCTATTATAATTATCAGACTACCAACTATCGTTTCGGGGAAACAAGATATATAATATATACAGTATTCAAATTACTTCAACAATTATGCAATTCACAGAACCCTATATGTATTCTTAAAATGAAAATTAGACAGAAAAATCATCTCTAAATTATTTTTACGGTTCCCCTCAATGTTAATTGAACAAAACAAAGATTCTTCTTTGGTCGCTAGTTTAACTCGATTTATAAGGATTCTTCTTTTGATCGCTAGTTAAACTCGATTTATGAGCTAATATTCCGAAAAGCAAATTAGTAATATTGATGACCTATATGTATGCATGATTACTGTCTAAAAACTGACAGACTACGTATAACACCAAATAAACAAATACAATCAATGCATCTTCAATACAGTAATGACATGACAGTCCATAAAATTCATTCATTCCAACATTTGATTGTAAAATTAATAGAATTTTACACCTTTGGTATCTATGATCAGTTGTGTATTCCAATTACCACTGAAGTGTATGTATTTCGACTAATTTAATATATATCCAAAATCTGTCTTTCTATCAAATATAATAGGACAAATAACTTATCCAACATTTTTAGCCAGATTTTTTTAAGGAAATTTAAAAGTCGGTTATACATCTCAAGGTGCTGTATATCGATCTTTCCTTCATAATGACCTGTCACTTTTTGTTTGGTCGTTTGGAGAGCTATCGTAATGCAAAACTACACTTACCCGACATACAATTTTCTAGTGGCAGTCACTAGTAATTTTTTGCCTTTATAATCCCGGTTTTACCATATATACAGAACATATTACTAAATTGACTTACTGCATGATTTGTCCTCATTCTGAATGTGCATAAAATACTTGCCACTGGATATTTACAAATATCAATTGAATTGATCAATCTACATTTAGATGACTTGACGTAGTTATAGTACTAGATATCAAAGTCCAGTAGAAAATAACATATTGATATTGTAGACACGCATCAGACAGTGGAGAAAACAGAACAAAACAATACGTCTGAACAAACGAACATGTCAGAACAACAAAATATAACGGAAGAAAAACAAGCTGGTAGTATGATCCCATTGTAAATACGTCCTTACCTTTTCAACCCGACTTCCTTTACTTGCATGATTGAAAATGTTTATATGCATGTTATCAGGGGAAACACAACCATCAAACTCTCAACCCATTGGGTAATAGTTTCTGTAGTCATTATATAGTCAAATCTCCTAATATTGTCTTTATCGATACTAACATTGATTGCATTGTCATTAGTTTAGATGACATATAGTATGATATTAAATATTTTCTTTTTAGGTACTTATATTGATTTTATTTTCAATAGTTTGATACGTTTGATACATTACTAAACATACATTGCTATATATATAGCAATTACCAATTATTCTCCTTCTTCTTCTCGAAACTATTTTTTGGTTTTGTTTTTTGGTAAGGTCATGCTTTTCTCAGACTGATGTGGCATTCTTTGCACTAAATTCATTGGAGGTGTATTGGTGGATAGTTAACCTGGTATATGTTAGGCTTTAAACTAGAATTCAGTAACAGCAAGTACTCGTAGATCGGTACGGTGTAGTTGTTTGTGTACTTGTCATGCCCTTGTCAACGTATTTTTACAGTTTGTTCTAAAGTTATCCTGTACACTACTGTCCAGGTTAAGCGGAGGAGTGAGCGTCCATTGTAATGCAAATCATATTCTGTATGTGCCTGTCTCAAGTCGTGAGCAAGGAGTCCAGTGGATGATGTTGGTTGTTGTCTGCCATGATTATTTTTCGTTTAATGTTAAAAGTTTAAATCCGGTCGTTGGTTTTCTCTTATGAATTGGTTGCCATTTTATAGATAACCATGGCGTTGTCCGTTTCGACTTACGAGATTTGAATGTACCCTTCGTATCTTCCGCCTCTTTAGTTTACTATACAGTGTAGGTATTGACCAGTATTGAGAGCCGTACGGTGAACTGTAGTTAATTATTTACACCCTTTCCATTTGATGGTTTTTCTTTAGGAATTGGGCCTATACCACATCTCTCAATTGTTATATTTCACACTGAAATGTTGATGCCCTCTTTTCCCATTCACTGCTGATGTCACTGCATGTTGAGTTCATATAGAAACAAGCACACGTATTGTCACCTTCACTAGACAAGGGTTACGACCCATTCCCCTCTTCTCTCCTGGCAGCAAAGATGAAGTATTCTGTATTTTGCCAGATCATGTACTTCATCGTTTTGCATGTTCTTTTTTTATTTTAAAATGTTTAATTTCTGTCTTTTTCTTTTCTATCTTTAGTATGTATATTGTAGGTATTGCTTACTATTAATTAGATAATTTTCAGATGTTTATACATGGTATAATGTATACGCTTATACGCTGTATAATTTCGAGGCCTATTGGGATTGTACTGAAATAAAAATTAGGACAAATGTAAATATTTACACGAACTGACGGCCACCTTTCTGTTCACTGCTGCAGAATAAAGAGGTTAAACAATAGAATAAATCCCTGATGATTTCACGAGTTAAATGCTACTTTTCAGTGTGTTTGAAACATATATAAATTACGAATTTTTGCTAAAATTCAAATTTTCAATTTGGAAGTTAAATTCTGTACACCTTCTTGATCAATAACCAATAATGATTTTTATGTTGTTTCTTTCCCAAATCGCATAGAAAGTAATTACAACAAGGAATCCCAGGCGTCTTAGTTTGAAATATGTCTTTTACATTACTTTCTACACTAATATAAAAATTCCTTCACAGAAACAACAACAGATCAAAAACCAGAGGAGAACACTGGACAACAAAACACAGCAACAGAACAACAACAATCAGCGGACTAGCTTATCATTGGTACGTAATTCACAGCCTCTCATTGACGTATTTCATACATCTCATTTTATCAATTCAAAAAAACAAAACTCAACAATAGGAAATTAACAAAAATCAACAAATGAACCATAAAAAATTTGAACTTGGAGTTAGTTGTATTGTTTTCTGCCGGCAAATCTCGATGTTGATTGTTGTAAATTTGCAACTAAGTAATATTGATTATTGAGATGATGTATACACTTTTACAACATATATCAATATATATATAGCATTTCATTCGAATGAATGTAAATAACCAAACCATTTCCGCATTCGCATCTACATTATTATAAAAGCAATTCTGCTGCTACAGAATTGCTTGTCAGTCTTTTATTTCAGACTCAAAAGGTCCATATATTTACATTTCACAAAATAGTCTGGATAAACAGGACAAAGTGTATAAATATTTATGTTATCAATTATAGTAAAAAAATCTTAATCAAATTGGTTAATTAACTATACATATTTTTATTCCAGGCTAACAGACAGAGATGAGCTCAACACTATAACTATTTCTCACAATTTTCTTCTGACATGGTTTTATAATGGTCTTCAGTATCTAAAGAAATTAAATTGCTATCCAGACAGTTCTACACTTTCGATCCTGCAACAGTATTAATTATTCCGTTACGTCATTGGCAGAATTTCCATTGTTTAGAACATTTCGAACCAATCACAACGTTTTGGTGTACGCTTTGGAAAATATTACCAAGAATGTACTATATTCTGAGTTCTATGCCATTGATCGTTTAACAGTATTAATGATTCCGTCCAGAATTTGTGATATTAGTAGTAGTATTTATATAATTGTGGTAGAGAAATGTTTCGATCAGATGTAACGCAAATTAATTATTTACTGTTATGTAAGTTATTATAATAAATATTTTCTTTATTTTTCTTCAATCATTATAAAAAAACAGCCGAGAGGAAATACCAATCATAAACCATTTAGTGAAAGGAAAACAGCCGAGAGGAAATACCAATCATAAACCATTTAGTGAAAGGAAAACAGCCGAGAGGAAATACCAATCATAAACCATTTAGTGAAAGGAAAACAGCCGAGAGGAAATACCAATCATAAACCATTTAGTGAAAGGAAAACAGCCGAGAGGAAATACCAATCATAAACCATTTAGTGAAAGGAAAACAGCCGAGAGGAAATACCAATCATAAACCATTTAGTGAAAGGAAAACAGCCGAGAGGAAATACCAATCATAAACCATTTAGTGAAAGGAAAACAGCCGAGAGGAAATACCAATCATAAACCATTTAGTGAAAGGAAAACAGCCGAGAGGAAATACCAATCATAAACCATTTAGTGAAAGGAAAACATACAACACCATGGGGGAAAAACCCAACGAAATTCCATACAATATGTATATGTTTATTTTATGAAAATTATAGACTATAATTATCAAATTCAAATAAGATAAGACAACTTTTAGATTTCAAGTTATCCTGTGAGTCTGAGACTACTATAACACAGTAGTCTCAGGGTGGGTGAAATAAATCCAAGGGAAATTGTCCCTTCCGCTTTTTTCAAATATAAAACAAAGGAAGCAAGCTCCCATTACATATACGCGTATGACATACGTTTATCCCATATTAAGATAAAATGCTCCGCAGGGCACAGCTTGATACGAAAGCAGAGGTCGAACCCTGAACAGTTGGAGCAAGAATGGACACAACATTCAAGGTTGAATCAGCTCTGAATTTGGATTGAGATTAAATATCCGACACAGAATTAATGTGGTGTAAGAACTTAAAAATTTGAAATTGGACATTTACCCATCAAGCTCCAATATTCAATATCTAAATAAATGGTTAGATTCAGCATATCAAAGAACTTCAAGAATTCAATTTTTGATGATATCAAACAAAAAGTTTAATTTTGGGCCCGTGGACCTCTATGTGGACCAATTTGATAACTGGGCCCAAATTCTAAATACATGGTTACATACAGCATATCGAAGAACCCCATATATTCAATTTTTATTGACATCAAACAAAGTAACTTTGGACCCTTTGTACCTCAATGTTGACCAATTTGATAACGGGGCCCAAAATCCAAAATCTAATTACATGGTTAGATTCGGCATATCAAAGAACCCCATATATTTATTTTTTGTTGAAATCAAACAAAGTTTAATTTTGGACCAACTTGAAAACTGGGCCCAAAATCAAAAATCTACATACATTTTTATATTCAGCATATCAAAAAACCCCAATAATTCATTTTTTGTTAAAATAAAACTTAAGTTTAATTTTGGACCCTTTGGACCTATTTGAAAACTGGGCCCAAAATCCAAAATATAAATGCATGTTTAGATTCACATATCAAGGAACCCCAAAAATTATATTTTTGTTGAAATCAAAGAAAGTTGAATTTAGGACCCTTTTGACCTTGATGTGGAACAATTTGAAAACGGGCCCAAAATTAAAAATCTAAATACACTTTTGATTTGGCATATCAAAGAACCCCAATGATTAATTTTTTGATGAAATCATACACAGTTTAATTTTGGACCCTTTGGACCTCAATGTAGACCAATTTAAAAATGGGACCCAAAAATCCAGACCATTTATCTAAGTTAACAGCAGAGACATTTGTGTTAATAGGTACTAGTTCTTTGTAGAGATTCTCTGGTCAATTATGTGATATCTTTGAAATACATGTAGGCAAAAATCTAAAAAAACTGGTCAACTCCGTAAAACATTCGTTGCAGATGGTTTTCAAGTTACAGGCAATAGACATATTTGCACATTTGGGGAACTCCAAGTAAATGGGCAAGATAATTAATAGGAACTGGGTCGTTGAAGAGGGTGTCCTATTTGATAGGCAAGCGTTCTTTGTACAGTCTCCTAAGCAACAAGGAAGATAGCATTATAGTGGAGATGATTCCAATTATTACTCACACCTTTGAGTGTAATTGTTGTTTGTAAATCATGACAGTTCTGATATTGTATCAGTACTCTTAATTTCCTTTAGGAAAGAATTGAAATAATAGCATTTGAAAAAAGTGGGAATCAATTTTGATATCAATACATTTGTTAAATTTTGAAATTATAAAGAAACTAAGGTTTCAACTCCCTCAGGCAAAGTTGACCTTAGATGAATTTGGCTATTAGTTTTAGGTATTTTTGTCATATAGCTCTTCAATTGTTTCGGTACTTATACATCCCTCGGATTTCAAATGTTTGGCTTTTAGCGTTACTGATGAAGGTAAATCCAGAAAAGCGCTTCAGACGCATGAAATTATTAAACGTGTTGTTTTCAATTTTGTACCAAATTTTATTCAATTACTTACACGAGCATAAGATACTGATAAAATACTTTCATAATTCTTATCAACTGCTTAAATTCAATATTATATTACCTTTTCACTTTAATTAATAAATATTAATATATTATAAATTTTGATTTACAAAGGAACTATATGCAAGTGTATATAAAAAAATAAGTAGCTGTTCGACCTCTCTTTTCTTAATTGAAGGCCAAAATAACATGTCAGAAGTTGGCAATAAATGATTAAAATGGTGTATAAAAACAATCTGCAAATCATAAAACACACTCTCAAATTCACGATATGTCTTTGACTAAAAAATGTGCACCATCTTAAATTCTGGAGTGATCACATAGATCCAGCATGGCTGGACAAAAAACTCTAGCTATAAAATTGTAGGAAGAAATAAGTAGACAAGCATGGCATCTTTTAGCTGGAGAAATAAGCAGACAAGCATTGCATCTTTTAGCTGGAGAAATAAGTAGACAAGCATTGCATCTTTTAGCTGGAGAAATAAGTAGACAAGCATTGCATCTTTTAGCTGGAGAAATAAGTAGACAAGCATTGCATATTTAAGCGGGAGAAATAAGTAGACAAGCATTGCATCTTTTAGCTGGAGAAATAAGTAGACAAGCATTGCATCTTTTAGCTGGAGAAATAAGTAGACAAGCATTGCATCTTTTAGCTGGAGAAATAAGTAGACAAGCATTGCATCTTTTAGCTGGAAAACTTTGAAGGAGTTAGGCATTTGAACAATGCACTGTATGTAAATTAGAAAAAAAATAAATATGTTAAACTACCCAACATTTCACAAAAGGATAAAATCAAAGTGGTGGAAATCACTCATGGAAAGATTGGAAGAGTAGTTTGAATAATTTCAAATCATATTTAGGTATGGTGTGGACAAAAAATAACATTAATAAAGCACTATTGCTGACAATTGCATTAACTGCTGGTCTTTAGAAGGAAAAGCACTTTTCCAGTAGATAAAATGAGCTAAATGTGAATCAAATTGAATGATAGGGGGTCCCTTAATTTGCACAAGAATTTCATTTGAATTGCAGTTATATCTTTACCAAATGATGTTCCCCTTTACACATTTCACCTTTTACATTTTATCTTCTGAAACAAAACAAAAAATGCATATACCAACAGATAGACTTGAAGCTAGGAACTTTATTGGGTCAAAAAATAATCTAAAAAGGTAGTTTTGGGGCGTTTGGTAAGTTGAAACATAGGTATACTATTTTTCTCCTCTGAGAATTGCTTATTGATTTTGAAAACAAATATCATAATTATATGACATTGAAGATTAAAAGTTATAGAGTGTATTTTTATCAATTTATAATTTAAATATTTTTCAGCAAAGGGGATTGAAAATGTATTTTTTTCAACAAAAACAAATTAAAAAACTTATTTTATTGAAATGAGAATTCTTTCTTGATTGCAAAAATATATATACACTTCTTATAATCAAATGACTAAAATTGTTAACAGACATTTGATGGGAAATAAACTAAAAAAAAATGGTTTGTTCTGATTAAGAGTTTTAAAATTTAACTTAATGTTTCAAGCCAATCACTGATAACAAAAAAGTGAACTAACCTAAATTGTTGATTAAATACAGATGATTATTGCAGATTTATCAAGTAAATCATAGGCCTTACTTGAATACCTTTTATATATTTATATCTAGATTTCATTTTTTTTAAAGATCTTGTTAATCCTTAATTAATCATTTATCTTTAAGACATAGTTTACAAAATCACTTTATGTAGTTTAGATCAAAAGTTTGAGGGCTCTGATCAAAAGTAATAGGCAATGAATAATTCTATCATCTCTATACATTTGTATATTCAATTATGAGGTCAAATATTTGTGTATTGAGAGTATATTGAAATGTATATTGAAGGGTCTGTATAATTATGTAAGACTGAGGTTGATTAGTAATGTGGTCAATATGATTGGCATTTAAGGAGGTGGGGCATTGTAAATAAGGCCCAACCTTGTCTGTTATTGTTAAGTGATCATGACAGTTGTCAATCATAGTAGTAAAGGATCATTACTCAATTACCTAATCAAAATGATAAAAAAAAAGCATATAAAAACACTTTAAAGACATACATACTTGAATGAACTGCACCAAAAATATACCCAAATTTTTCACAGTTTATATGTGCACAGACATGAGAATTATAGGGAACTATATTTCAGTGTGTATACATTTTGTAGATTTAGTAGCTAACCTGTGCTTAGTTACTTGTTGTTAGGGAGGCCAGTGCCATAGGAAAGATTTAGAACAAGTTCCAATCTTTCCAAAAAAACTAAAATGAAATTCCTGCTAAAACACACACCTTTAGTATGTATGTAAACATGGTGCCAAAAAATAAACCATTCTATTAAAAAACACAGATGTACAGACATTGGTAAAACAATATTCCTCAGACTATTTGTCACAAAGGAAAAATAAAAAGTGTGGTCAATGTTTGAAGTTTTAAGATATACTGCTGTTTTATAAGTCTGTTCACCTTCCAAATCTGTTGTTTACAATGTTTGTCAATGCAATGCCTTGATCTACAAAAGTTAACTGTACTAAACTTAGCTTAATTATAAATGTTTTCTAAGAGAAGATATCTCAGTGCGAAACAAAATATTAACAAAAATACTCCAATTCAAATTCTAAAAGGGAGAAGTCCATTAAACCTTACAAAATCAAACATTAAGACTATATCAACCAATGAAATGAATGGAAAATAACTATCAACCAATGAAATGAATGGAAAACAACTGTCATATTCCTGACTTGGTACAGGCATTGGGAAGTGTTAAAAAAAATAATGTATATAAAAATATATTTATTTCATATAAAATCAAAAAATAGTTATTCATAAAAACCTGATATTATACCATCATTCTGTAGTTTAAATATTGACTTTAGCTTATAAAATACCCATTAAACACAACATGGATCTGATATCCAATGAATGGTCCCATATCTTAAAATATTCTGTCATCTATACTATGTATATATATCATGAACATTTGGAATTTGAGATTGGAAAGATCTCTTTATTTCACTAGCAATGCAGGACTGGATTTCATTTCTCTGTATATCAGTCTCTCCTTCCTATCACTGATAACCAGTTTTGTTGATAAAGGGAGATCACTCCATAGTATATTTGTTCATGTCTTTTCGAACTGAAGTAATCCTATCCATTTATGAAATATATTGACATATATTATCTATGACATTTTAATTATACAATAATCAAACTAGTTTAAATGCATTTGAGAAAATTATCAATTTTTCTAAGGAATTTTAATATTCAGTTTAGAATCAAATTTCATGATTTGCAGCTAATATAAAGTTAAATATAGAAATGTCTGTATAATATATTTGTTTTATTCATCAACTTTCTGTATGTTCAACATCAGTTATATCTCCAATAATGGCTACTGCTTCAATCTCTACTTGTGCTCCCTGCAATATAAATAACACATTAAATAACCAGGACTGTCAATGAGACATCTATCAACCAGAGACCAACTGAAAGAGATGTAATTGGTAATAATTCATAATGGATAAGACTTAAATCTTTAATATTGTTTCAAGAAATAAAAAGATATATATGCTGGTTTGAATATTAACTGTATGTATGTAATCACAGTTTATACCAGTAGTATATTAGTCAGTGCTTACAAATATTCATTATTGTACTTCTGGGAAATATACCAACCTTTGGTAAAGCTGCTACCTGGTAAGCTGCTCTGGCTGGGTAATTCTTTGGAAAATCTGTTAAAATATATAGAATAATTGAGAGGGGAACCAGGTTAACTTAGACAACAATCTAATGATAAAATCAATTTTTAATTAAAAATCTTAGAAAATATTGAAGAAATGGATTGTCAAGATTGTTATTACACTGGCACACACCACTTCTTTAAAAAAATATGTTTGCACTCACTAAAATCATATTTATCTCACATATGTAATATATGGGCATACCAGGCATGTTAACCAATTTGAAATACTATAGGATTAAACGCCTTTTTAAAGGAATTTATTGGTGTATAAACTCGACCAATTCACTCACAAACAAATAAAAGTCTGAAGGACTTTTATGATATGTTCGTGAGTGACTTGGTCCAGTTTATACACCAATAAATTCCTTTAAAAATACGTTTAATCCTTATAATTCTTTAAAATTGGAGATAAGGAATTTATTTTTCCACACTCGTTACCTCTTTCACATGTAAATTGTATATTTGTGTCATTGAATTGGCCTGGCGCATGAATATATTTGTTGGTTAAAGCAAAAATATGTACTCCATGAAATTTGCTATCTGATAAAAAATAACTTACAAAAACTCTTATTATCATTCAAATGAATGTTTTGTGTTTATCATTTAGTAAAACGATTAACGCGAATTGAAAATAATTCTTTTTAACGTCGAGCCGGATTGTGTTATTATCGCCGCCATCTTGTTTACATTGGTTACAAAAAGAAGTTCGGTCAACGTCGTCTATCGAAAAATAAACAACGTCAAGAACAACTACCGGAAGTCTTCTCAATCAATCATATCAACGTATTCCCTAATATGCAAATCATATAAGAATTATATCTAAATATTCAGTTGTCCTAAAAAAAAAATATTTATTTGGCTAAGTTAAAAAAAAACAAGCATTCTGAGAGTATTGCATGGCAATACATAGTCCCCTACCAGTTAAAAATTCATTGTACTGGAACAAAATGCTAACTTGATCTATAACTTGTCATGATGTAAACTATATAACAAATATCAAGTCAATATCTTCAAGCATGACGAAAAAAAGTGTGGAAAACTGATTGTTTTCGTGAATTATAAGTCAAAGGACATAACTCTGCACAAAATCATCAGACAGGAACAAAATTCAAAACAGATCTGTAACTTGTCATGGTAACACTATATACCAATTATCAAATCAATATCTTCAAGCATGACGAAAAAAGTGTTGAAAACTGAATATTTGAGTGAATTTACTGTCCATGGACCAAACCTCTGGACAAAATCATCAGACCAGAACAAAATTCGAACTTGATCTGTAACTTGTCATGATAAAACTATATACCAAATATCAAATCAATATCTTCAAGCACGAAGAAATAAAGTGTGGAAAACTGATTTGCCGGACTGACGAATGGACAGACAGATAGACAGACAGACAGACAGACAGAAAGACGGACAGAGTGCAAACTTAAAGTCCCCTTCGACTTCGTCGGTAGGGGACTAAAAAAACCAACATGGTTAAGATAAGATAATGTTTATTTTCTTATGGTTGTGGACTGTTTTCTATTTCTTGCATGAAGAGATATTTCTCGTATCACACTGCACGGAGTGTGATACGAAAACTGCGTTAATTGAATTGGCTTATCCATCATCATGAGACGATATTACAACATTTCCAGTGGCTATTCATTAGGTCATTGATGACTTTCAAAGGTAATCGCTTTTGAGATTCTGTGTCTGAAGCGATTTTCTGATTTGGCCGCCCCAGATCGTTTGAACTTAAATAGTAAGACTTGTTTATTATTAGGGAGCTACCATTTGATTTTTATGGGGGGGGGGGGGGGGGGGGGCTAGGATGAAATTTGAAAAAAATAGGCAGGACAGGAGTTTTGAGTAAAAAAAAAGGCAGGATGAGATTATTTGCAAAAAAAAAAGGCAGGATGACAATTTATGTAAAAAAAAGTCAGGATAAACTAAAAAAAAAAAGGCAGGACCGAATAGAGTGAAAAATAAAAAGGCAGGACCGAATAGAGGGAAAAATAAAAAGGCAGGACAAAATTTTTCATCCTAGCCCCCCCCCCCATAAAAATCAAATGGTAGCTCCCTTATATTGAAATTAAATAACTCGAGTTGATATCAAGCGATATCTTATTCTCACTCGTTATGAAACTTATAATTTCATACTCAAAATGTCAATATCTATACATGAAACAAAATATTCTATTAAAACAGGATCAAATATTAAAGTATTTACAGTTTTACAGTATTTACAGATAAACCCTTACATAAGATAATTTGAAGACAACAGGCAAGTTGGGATCAGCATGTTTATATGTACATTACATGTACTGTAAAATCAGAAATTATTGCGAGGTTTTTATTATTGCGAAAAATGCGACAGAGTTGTAAACGCAATAATTTAAACTCGCATTTTGAAATATTTTATATGAATTATACATGATTTTTCTCAAAATCGTAAAAATTAAAATCGCAATTAAGTCTAAAATGACAAAATCGCAATAATAAATGCACACAATAATTTCTGAATTTACAGTATTAACATCTTGGGAGAGCTTATTGATTCACACAGTTTTGTATGTGATAAAACTGATCTTTTGCACACCATGAAAAACCTGTCAAATAAATCTTTGATGGACATTCCTATCACCAAGGAAAACTGGACTAGTTTCTTTTCAATCATCATATAATAGAGGTGAAATAAGACTTACGGTCATTATTGCATTATAACCCATTTTTTTACAAAAACTCTGCCAGGACAGACTTGTATGTTAATAAGCTTTTGATGTCAATGCTGCTTTTATAGAAAACAAAACGTTTTAGTGATATTTTTTACTGATGATGTAAATAGATTTAGAAATTAATAATAAACTTATCCTGCTAAAAATTACAGTGCCACCTCCCTGTCATGAGCAGAGGGCAGATGGCAGACTGAATGGGTATAAGATGTATAAACCATATCAATTTTATGTTTACCTGTATTTAAATAGGAGAAATTTTTTTTTAAAAGTTTCAATAAAAAATTCTTTGAAATATTTTGTATATTTAATTAAATATACAAATTGTTTCAAAATTCTGAAATAAATTTATTCTTGTGGATTTATTCATTTTCTAGAGTTTTAAATTTCTTTAATGGAGGAATAATTGTACCTTTAGAGAATTGAGTAGATATTTGACTTTGTGGTTTTAACTAATTCTGCATTAAGTTAGTATTGTGATGCATACTTTAATTCCTGGTACAACTCAATCAACTACATCCTTGAAAATTGGTACCCCACTGAGAATATTTATAACAATATTTAAACCTTTGTGGTTTTAACTATAACTGCACATATAGTAAGTTTGTGATGTATTTAACCTATCAATAAAATATCTTCTTACATTGACATTCATGTATGTATCATGTTTAATCTCTAAATATCTATCAAGGTATTATCTTCTTTTTTAAATCTTGAAATACAATACTTAATTATTTATAACGCCATATTAAACTCATGTATATTTACTGTAAACACACTTAGAAAAAACCCAGCCACTTGAAAATATTTTATTGATGTTTGAAGTTTGAATAAAAAATGTTTTATTTTCAATCTGTTTATGTAAAGAAATTGGTTTGTTTTTGTTTATTTTTAGAAGGAAGTTAGAGTGAGGGCTTTTTAAGTTCAAATTTAAAAAATATTTAACTTATCAACTTAAAGTAAACACAGCAGCCTAATCCTTTTTCTATTATAGTACCACTTTTTCTATACCTTATTGGTGGACCAGGTTTTGTTTAAATTTTAACATGAGAACTTTTTCTAAGGAAAAAAAAGTTGATATTAGGGAGCAACCATTTAACTTCAAGGGGGGGTTATGGTTTTTTTTCTTATTCAGAAATTTTTTCGCGCAAAGCACAAACATTTTTTGTTAGTTTTAAACACTATCAATCAAATAATTTTTTTCAAAATTTAAAACTATAAGGGATGGGGAAAATCTGGATTCAGAATATTTTTTTTCATCAAATTGGGGATCAGAATTTTTTTTTAGGAAAAATCCATACCTCCCTTGAAGTTAAATGGTCTTTCCCTTAAAGCAGATTTTATACTTTTGATTGCTTTTGAATAAACATAAATTTGAGACTAGATGACTTTTTCTTTTTAATTGTAACTGAACAATCCATAAAAATAATTTTAAGTTCACAGTTTGAGCTATAAATTAAACTGCCAAGGACTGAAATGATGAATTTAAAATTGTAATCGATTATTGAGATAGTATCATAAAACTATTACCTTTCAATAAAGCGATAAGGTCGGAAGAATACATAAAGTTACAGTGAAAATGATACCATTATTTATTTATAATGACATGTATTTACAAGCCTTTATTCATTTAACAAATACTTGTCTCTCCATGTCAGGCCAAAAATGTATGTTTACTTGTTTCCTGCATCCTGGCAGAAAAAAATAAACTAGCTGCGTAAAATGATTTTATTTTTCTAAATATTTTACAGATTTGATATGGAAATAAGTGGAATTTAACAGTGCTGAATAAAAAAATGTGTAAGAGGTAGGCATGAATATTTAGGGTAGATAGACAGGTAACACAGCTTAATTTTTTTGGCCTAATAAATATGTTTATTTTGTGTGTGAACAGAAATCCAATAAAGCAATTCCTAATTTAAACACGCTTAAACATGAATTTATGAAAATCTACACTGAAAAGTCAATACCAAAAAACATTTTATTAATTAGGTGCTCTCCTTGTGAAAAAAAAAACATGCTGTGACTGTCTAATATCAATGTTTTCAAATTTTCATGACCCACTTTCTACTTTTGGTTTATACAATATGGTTTGTCAGTAAGGATGTTCACTCCTCTGTTTTAAATAAACAAGCTTTTTAAAAGACTGTTATAAATTGATGTAGCATAGAGGAACTCAATAAGCAGAGAAAAATGATAGGTCTGTGTCCTTGTTTTTGAGATATAATCAATTTAAAATTTGGAGGGAAATGATTCTCTCTAGATTTTTCAGACATTTAACATTGGCCCCTTTTTTCTGAAAAAAAAAAATAAATAAAAAAAATAACAAGGACTTTATAAGATTTCAAAAATGGCTTTTTAACCTATATGTAATAAAATTATGAAAAAAGTAGGGGTTAGAGGGCAAACTTTGTGTTAGCACTACATGGATAAAACTAGAGGATATAACTTTTTATATGGAGTCCATTGACAATTTCAGTAATAGATATTTGTACTACATGGATAAAACTAGAGGATAACTTTTCATATGGAGTCTATTGACAATTTCAGTAATATACTGTAAATTCAGAAATTATTGCAATGTTTTTATTATTGCGAAAAATGCGACAGGGTTGTAATCGCAATAATCTAAACTCGCATTTTGAATTTTTTTTTTATGAATTAAACAGGATTTTTCTCAATATCGCAAAAATTAAAATTGCATTTTAGTCTAAAATGACAAAACCGCAATAATAAATGCACGCAATAATTTCTGAATTTACAGTAGATATTTGTACTACATGGATAAAACTAGAGGATAACTTTTCATATGGAGTCCATTGACAATTTCCGTAATATAGATATTTGTACTACATGGATAAAACTAGAGGATAACTTTTCATATGGAGTCCATTGATAATTTCAGTAATATAGATATTTGTATGATGATAATTTTTGCTGCTTACATTTCTCTCAAATCAATTCAATGTGGTTTTCAAGAAAATAGCCAAAAACGAAAAAAAAGATGGGCAAAAATATTATTCAATGGGAGTAACTCCTTTAAGACATCAATCCACAATTTCAGTTACATAGACTTTATCTCAATTTGCTGACAATTTTACTGATTACATTTTTTCCAATCTATTAAAGCTTTATAAATAATTTCCATAAGATCTAAAAAATAGGCAAACTTTGTCATTTGAACTCTAATGGACGGTTTTCTCATTGACTATCATACCACATCTCCTTATTTTCACAAACATTGTCATCTAAGGGCATTTCATGTAAGGAATCTATTGATAATTTTGGATTATGTTGATTTTTTGTAGATGTTATCTTCATTATCATTTTTGCTTCTAACAGTTTCTCTTTGTTTTATAGTTTAAAGATAATTCCTAAACACATAATTTCTGTAAAAATCATCTTTTAAGGGGGTACAGAACACCCAAGGGAGTAAACTCTTTAAAAATCAGCTGAACGTTTTAATAAAAATACTATTAGTTAAGAGAAATCAAGCTTCTCAATGATCAAAATTAGTATTTGTCAAACTGCTATGTATCCAATATATTATTCCTGTACATTGTGTGGTTCAAATTTCTTGAAATCTTCATATTTTTGTCAACAGGTCAAAGTGAATATTTTGTCAAAATTTTATGAAAATTAAACGAGCCAAATCTATTTTAGTCAAAGTGTTGGGTACCCCCTTAAGTGTAATAACTTTAATATCAGGACTCTATTAATACTCAAGATAGTTTCTATCATTACTTGTGATAAATTCAATTGATACTCATGTAAGGTTACATCTGTACTCAGTCATTCTGGAACTCGTGGTAGCTTCTATCAGTACTTATGGTAAATTAAATTACTCATGAAAGGTACCATAGTTACTCATGATAGATTCAATTGGTACTCATGGTAGGTTCTATCAGCACTCATGTTAGATTCTATTGGTACTCCTAATAGATTTAATATGTACCTGTGGTACATTCAGTTAGTGTTCATGGTAGATTCTGTTAGTACTCATGATATATTGTATTTGCACTCATGTTAGGTTCTATTTGTATATCATGGTAGATTCTATTCGTAACCATGATGAATGATATAGGTACTTGAGGTACATTCAATTATTACTCATGGTAAGTTCTATTAGTACTTATGATAGATTTTATTGGTACTAATGATAGATTGTTTTTACACTTATGCAAGTTCTTATTTGTACCCATGATTATTGATAGATTCTATTTGTTCCTATTGTTAATTCAATTGGTACTCATGCTAGATTTTCATGATATATTCTGTCAGTACTTGTGGGAAGTTCAATTGGTACTCATGGCAGATCCTATCCGTACATGTGGTAAATTGAATTGGTTCTTACGATCATGATGGTAGGTTCTATCAGTATTTGTGGTAAATTTAAATTGTACTCAATGTAGATCTTATCAGCACATGCGGTAAGCTCAATTGGTATTCATGGTAGGTTCAATGGATATTCATGGCAGGTTCTATTAGTACTTGTGCTAAACTCTATTTGTACTCCTGGTTGGTTCAATAGTACATGTGGTAAATTTAATTTGAAATTATTGGCAGGTTATATCAGAACTTGTGGTAAATCTAATTTGTATTCATTGTAGGTTTTAATTAGTACATGTGGTAAATTTAACTTGTGCTCATTGTAGGTTTTATTAGTACATTGTAGATTTAATTAGTACTATTGGTAGGTTTTATCAGAACTTGTGGTAAATCTAATTTGTATTCATTGTAGGTGCTATAAGTACACACAGTAGTTGTTAGGTAGGTAGGTTCAATTTGTATTCATTGTAGGTTTTATTAGTACATGTGGTAAATTTAATTTGTACTTGTTGTAGGTTTTATTAGTACATGTGGTAAATTTGACTAATGGTGGGTTTATTAGAATGAAGTAAATTTAATTTGTACTTATAGGTTTTATAAGTACATGTTGAAAATTTAATTTGTATTAATTGAAGATTTTATTAGTACATGTGGTAAATTTAACTTGTACTAATGGTGGGTTATTTAGTACTTATGGAAAATGTGATGTGTACTTATGGTAAAATCTTTCAGTACATGCTGTAAATTTAATTGGTACTTATAGCAGGTTCTATTGGTACTCCTAAAATATTCTATTGTTACTTATCATATATTTTCTTTGTAACTTATGAATGGATCTTATTGTAAATTGTATTGGTTCTCATTGTATAATTGTTAACATTTTATACATTGTGACTTGGATGGAGAGTTGTCTCATTGACACTCATACCACATCTTCTTATTTATATGGTACATTTTGTTCATACTTTTAACTTACATTTCACATAAACATCATTAACTGCTGCAAAGTCATTCATATTCTGTAATAGGACTGTTGCCTTGACAACTGAAAAATGAAAAAGGAGATTTCATGATTTGGATAAATAGAAATAAGTAATAGTCAATTTAAAATTCTGCAATAACAATTAAGCTAAAAAAAATTGTAAATTTAGAATTTATAATAAGTTTTTATAAGAAGTTTGTTTTACAAAGATAATAATGGATAAAACTGTCTGTGGTGTACAGGAATTTCTCAATAATTTTCATGATATCATTTAAGCAAGATTTACAAAATATTTGTACAGCTTATCTTCATACATTTTGTTCTGTTCAGAACACATAGTATCTGTATACTCACTGTTATTGAAATTAGCTCCAGCAGCTCCCAATACAGCTCCCATATTTCTTAATGCCTATAATATACAAAATAAAACATCCTTTTAGGTAGCCCCTTGAATACAGTCAATTATTAACAGTAGTACCTTTATTATTGAGTTAAGTGCCTTATCCATACTCCTTAATATCATAGCATATTTTCCCCTGTACTTTTTCATTTCAGTTATCATTATATATGGTAGGGGCAGGGTTTAGTACTCATCAAACTAGTTTATGAATAAGAAGATGTGGCATGATTGCCAATGTGACAAGTATCCACAAGAGTCCAAATGAAATGGATGTAAGAAACTATAGGTCACTGTACAGTCTTCAACAAAGAATAAAAACCCATAACCATTATATAATCAGCTATAAAAATGTAACTTAAAATCACAAGAGTGCACACGTTGAAATGTCTCGCCTGCTTAACTTATCATGATTGAATGTATGTTAAAAGTGTGTAATTTGAGGTTTTACTACACGTATCACACAACCTTAAATAAAGGCAACAGTAGCATACCGCTGTTCAAAAGTCATAAATCGATTAAGAGAAAACAAATCCAGGCTACAAACTAAAACCGAGGGAAACAGTATCAATGATCAATTAAAATAAGGTCAAGTTCAATGACCTTAATTTCACACACTTCACAAATATAGTTAGCCGATTGCTTATAGTATCTGAGAAACAGACCTAATTACAAAAATTGAACATTGACCAATGAACCATGAAAATAAGATCAAGGTCAGATGAACCCTGCCAGAGAGACAAATACACTGTACAATCACTCCATACACCAAATAGTGTTGACCTATTGCAGCTTTGCTTAAAGTATCTGATAAACGGACAAAACTAAGAAAAATTAACATTGACCAATAAACCATGAAAATGAGGTCAAGGTCAGATCAAACCTGCCAGACCCACATGTTCACCTGACAATTATTTCATACACCAAATATAGTGGCCCTAATGCTTATAGTATCTGACAAATAAACCAATTTATAAAAAAAATAAAAGTGATGCCACCAAAATTCAAACTTGATCTGTGTTTTGTGGTAATAAGCATTGTGTATAGGTTTCATAACATTTGGTTGAGGCAAACTAAAGTTGGAGAACTGAAACAAAAAATTCAGCAATTTTTCCATTTGTAAAGGGGCATAACTCTACAACAGTAAAAGTGATGCCACCAAAATTCAAACTTGATCTGTGTCTTGTGGTAATAAGCATTGTGTATAAGTTTAATAACATTTGGTTGAGGAAAACTAAAGTTAGAGAACGGAAACCAATTTTGGGACGTACGGACGGACGGACGTACAGACGGACAAAGGTAAAACTTAATGCCCACTCCGCCACGTCGGGGGCATAATTAACATTGATCAATGAACCATGAAATTGAGGTCAAGGTAAGATGATTCAGATGAAACCTGCAAATTGGACATGTACACTTTACAATCATTTCACACACTATATATATATATATATATATATATATATATATAGATGACCTATTGCTTACAGTATCTGAGATAGGGACTTGACCACAAAAACTTAACCTTGATCCCTGATCCATGAAATGAGGTCAGCGTCAGGTGAACCATGTCTGATGGATATGTAGACATGTCACTTTGCTGGAAAGTCATATCCAAAATACAGTTCTCCTATTACTCATAACAAGTGATAATGTTGCATTACAAAAACACTAAAATTATTTTTCAAGCAGTCACTGAACCATGAAAATGGAAATGAACATATGACATATATGACAGACGGAAATTTGGTAACATGAGGAATCTGCATACCAGGTATGAAGCATCCAGGTCTTCTACCTTCTTAAATAAATGGCTTAATACAAGTACTTTACGCTGTTGCAGCCACCAAATGTAATCCCTATACCTCGCATTCTGTGACTTTCATCACAGGTGAGACAAAAACCTCATGCAATAAAATATAATATTTTGAACAGTATGTCTACATCAAACCTTTTACATGTTTTATTAATTTGAACATTAAACTGTATTGCTCCTGAGACTTTTCCCTACTAAATTCATACTAGATACAAGGTTACTAGTTGAAGGGATCATGTTCACACATGTACATACCTGCTCTGTCTCAGGCACAACATCACCAGATACATGGTTACCAGTTGGAGGGATCATGTTCACACATGTACATACCTGCTCCGTCTCAGACACACCACCAGATACAAGGTTACCAGTTGTAGGGATCATGTTCACACATGTACATACCTGCTCCGTCTCAGACACACCACCAGATACAAGTTTACCAGTTGAAGGGATCATGTTCACACATGTACATACCTGCTCTGTCTCAGGCACAACATCACCAGCAACATGGTTACCAGTTGGAGGGATCATGTTCACACATGTACATACCTGCTCTGTCTCAGACACACCACCAGATACAAGGTTACCTGTAGAAGAGATCATGTTCACACATGTACATACCCAGAGATGCAGATAAATTTTTTTTCCTGTCAGACATAGGGTCCTGCATGCAAGACAGTTTTGCCAGTCCTAGCAACTGTTTGCCAGACCTACTTTTTTTGAAAAAATAATAACTAGTTCCCAGTTGGATTAAGATAAGCCTTAAAACAGTGACTAGAACGACCAGGTTTAATAAGGATATGACCATGGGGTGGTTTAATGACTGAGACCAAATTCAATTTAAATTATCCTGCAACATCAAATAAATAAATGAGAATGTTGTACTACACTTGCCAATAAGACAACTATCCATTAACTTTATGGATAGTTGTCTGATTAATTGGCATAAATAAGAACAATTAGATCAACAACAAAGACAGTGGCAAGCTACATTTACGTCAAAACGAATATGTGTGTTCACACATTAACTAAAATGAAAAAAATACTCTTAGAAAACTAAAATAATACTTGTTTTTGTTTAATGTAATTTACATAAATCTGGTCATTAGTTGTCCCTTAATAGAACTTTTTGTTTTCAATGCTTTTCAACTACATAATTGATTTGGAAGCCAAGGTAACCAGGACCGACAGATATTTCAATTTTGAAGGCCCCAAACAGTAAAAATATTTGATGTTCATTGGGTCTGACACAAAGACGTCATTAGCCGGACCCTCTAAATTTCTGCCCCCTAGGTCCAACAGGTATGATGATTAGCTGCATCACTGCATACCTGCTCTGTCTCCATGGTCTCAACCACAACACCACCAGATACAAGGTTACCAGTTGAAGGGATTATGTTCACACATGTACATACCTGCTCTGTCTCAGGCACAACACCACCAGATACAAGGTTACCAGTAGAAGGATCCATTCCTATTTGCCCAGAGAGGTACATAGTATTTTCAACCAGCACAGCCTGACTTTAAACAATAAAAGATATTTCAAAATATTAAAGTATTCATCAGAAAAATATTATGTACTGAAAAAGTTCTAAATAAAAGGAATTTCTAATACACAAGTAAGAATTTCTAATACACAAGTAAGAATGTCATTATAAAGAGGTTTGTTGTGTGAAAAAATGAATGAATCAATTCCCTCTTCAAAATGGGTGTCTTGCTGGAAAAATGAGGGCAGGCCAAAAATAATATACTTGTGTTTCCTGCCTCTGTATCCACACTAATTTTTCATGCTTTGTACCCTTAAACATTTTAAGTCTAGAGAATTTTGATTAAGTACCTTTAAAGGGGCATTAGCTGTCAAATTCATGTTCACCGATTTTACTTAAATTCTCATATTTCATTTATAATATACTAAAACTTATATCCAAATTACAAAAAGTCTAAAATAAACAATTAACAATGCATGGACTCGATAATATGTATCAGCATTTCGTGTGTATTTTTGTCTAGACGCCATCTAATTAATCATCAAGATGTCTTCTAAAGACTGCAGATGGTCATATAACCTGATATAAACATAAATATAAATATTAATAGATAGCGAGCATGTACTGTGCAATTGGATTTTTCTAGGTCTGTTTGATTTCATATTATAGGTTAAAAAAAAAGGTTAATCATCGTTTTAACCTGTATACATTACGAATGATTTTTGTTTCACTTTCAATGTTGACATTCTTTATCTTTTAATAGCCGAACACACCTAGATCATGCGTAACCCATCTCCCTACGGAGTTAAATTGAAGGTCAGCTGGCCCCTAAACAAAAATGTGTACTAGTTCAGTGAAAATGGACATCATACTAAACTCCGAAACATATAAATAAACTAAAATTAAAAAACATACAAGACTTACAAAGGCCAGAGGCTCGTGACTTGGGACAGGTGCAAAAATGTGACGGGTTAAACATGTTTTGTGAGATCTCAACCCTCCCTCTATACCTCTAGCCAATGTAGAATAAAACAAACACACAGCAATATGCACAGTAAAACTCAGATTAAAAGAAGTCTGAGTCCGATGTCAGCATAGGTAACAAAAGAAACTAAGCAAAATGACAAATGTACATAAATTAACAAAGGACTACTAGCAGTTACTGGCATGCCAGCTCCAGACCTAAATTAAACTGATTGAAAGATGTTAGCCTATTTTGAAAAATTTGGGCCAAACTAACTACTTATAAGGAAATATTTTTTCAAAATTCCGCTTTTATTCATACTTGAAACAAAAAGAATCATATTTTAAATTATTGTCTTAATCGTTGCTAATGCCCCTTGAATATGTTGAAGGTCCAAAACATTTCCCTATACAGCCCAGGTAAAATATTAAAAAAAAAAAATCAAATTACCTGCCTTACTACCCTATTCTTTTCTGCAAGGAGGCAGGAAACAGGTATATATATTGTTTGGCCTAATCTGAATTTCTAGTAAAGTAATATAAATTATAAAACTCAATACTTGATGTGAACTTATAATCAATTGATAAATAAATTATTTTCTCAATATATAACTGATTGTTCTTTGCTTAATATTCGGTGAAAATATTTTATCCATATTCAGAAGAGGTCTACATATAGCTATGATGTCCAATTTATTATCTAATTGCTTAGTAAAACTTTAGTTTTCAAACAAATTAACCTAACGACTAGTTTTCATTCCCTTTTATTATCATATATTTGCAGGTCTTAAACCAATACATCAAAATTATTGTTAAGTTTGGTTTCAATACAAATTATTACATGAAGTTCAAATTTATGTGAGTAATTCTAATTTCTACAAGTAATTGTAAATAGTTTATTTAAAAGGGGAGATAATGCAAATAAAAACTTAATAAATATCTCATATATATGCATAGGCAGATCCAGGGGGGGGGCCCAGGCCCCCCCCCCCCCCCTTTTGTGGGAAAAATTTGGTTGATTATATAGGGAATCACTGAAGCGTGACTGGAGCGGGCCACCCCTTAGGTCAGTCAGCGGGCCCCTCCTTACAAAAAGTTCTGGATCCGCCACTGATATGGCAAAATAAAATGGGATATTTTAGAGTAATAAAAACAATCTATGGATCAATGGTAGTTGTCAAGCATTTTCATGTCAGATAGTATATTGCAGTGACTATTTGAATTATTTACAATTTGTTAAAGACTCAAAAACACTTATTTTACAGCATTAGATGATATGGACACTAATCAATCATTGATCATAGACCAGATAATGTAGATAAAAATTAAAAAAAAGATGTGGGGTAACTGTTAATGAGACAGAAGTGAGCAGCAGACTTACTGGATAAACCATATTACTGGACTAAAGGGTATGTATTCAATCATTGGCTTTTAATTTAATTTTGTTGTAAAAATTAAAGTAATTAATAACTTTAGAGATATCTTCCCCATGTTTATCATGTTTTTTCTGTCTTATTTCGAATTGTATTCCAGCTATAATTTTGCATTTAGATCGATACATCCCTTTCAATTAAGACATGTAAGAATTTCTTTCAAGTTAATTTGAATTTTATAATCATTCACTGTCATGACTGTAAGTACTTTAATGATTTCTTTAATAAGAATGTAATAGTTATGGCAGTGTCTGCACGTACCCGCATGCGGGTATGAATAGTCAAATTGCCATTCATAGGCTACGCGTACCCACATCCGGTTTTATAATAAAATGCCATCGGATTGGGAATGAAACGTGAAATATATACGGAAATTATGGATAATATGGGGATTTCGTGTAGAACGAGTGAAGAGTATGAAAAATAATATTTTCAAATTGTATTTATTAGATAATGATACATGATAAACATTGCAAATTAAATGCACACTGATGGAAAATGAAACTGTACAGTCCCTGTAAAAGAAAAACATGATAAAAATTAATACTATTATAAAATGTAAATTCAAATTTAAAGAATAATATTTTACTGATTTTGAAAAATACCCATATGAGATTTAAAAATAATCTTTTAGTAAAATGTAAAACAGAAACTGAAATTCTAAAATATCTTAAACGACTAAAATTAAAGCTTGGGTGTCTATATAAAAATTAAAGAAGCAAGTAATAATGTCAAATTAAACCAATTATAAAAGATTCATGTAACTAATTAAGATTGGATTTTTGATTCCCTCACAATCAGGTTTTGTCCATCTTTAGTTACGCCAAGTTTAAAGTGGAAAGGACATTCCATTTGGAAAGTACTGAAAGTAGACATATCCTTAATATCATGAACGGTTTACAATAGAAAAACTAGAAGTATTCGACATAAAAAAAAATAAACTTGACTAATGAATTAAACGCGGCAAATTCGATTTAAAACTACAATTTAAAACAAATACCTTGTATTGGGTCTTTTTCCTGTCGAACTTGTTTGGAATTTTTTGCCACAGTGAATACAGGAAAAATTTATTCTGCTAAACTTTACTTCCTCTTTAATTTTTGTGTTTCCAGTTCTTCTTTTCTCTGCAGCTGCAATTGACTCCGAGTTTCTTTTATACAATTGTATAAAATTAATCGACTGATAGTTCTGAACAAATTGTTCCAATTCATGATAACTTTGAAATGTCTTCCCCACATGTATATCACTCTCTTCCATTTTAAGAATATTTATTAACTGAGAAAAACTGTTCACTTACCTATATATAAATATTTATAAAAATTCTGACTAGTTTTAATCAATTTATTCACTAATTGCGACAAATTTCGTATATATTTCACGTTTCATTCATTCCGATAGCATTTTATTATAAAACGGGATGTGGGTACGCGTAGCCTATGAATGGCAATTTGACTATTCGTACCCGCATGCAGGTACGCTAAGACTGACTGCCAAAAGTAACATTACTTAATATTATCTGTTTACTTTTTAGTGAACTTTCCCCCTGGAAATTCAGTAACTAATAACAAGAATACTCAGACCAACACTGTTATCAGAGTAACTTGTTAAAACAGCAGATATTCAAAAAAAGTATAAAGGTTAATTAATTTCTCTAAGTAAAATTGCTCAGATGACCAAGGTGCAATTTGAGGTTCCTTAAATTTTATGCAAAAATAATCACCTGTATGGTCCAATAGCAGCTGGAGCCTTTACTGTTTTTATTATCTTTCTTACAATTCCTGCCATATTTCAATATCAATGTGTTTGGTCAGCTCAGTTTAATATTATTTGTCCTTGTCACATGGGAGATAATCCAGGAATAATACGGTTCTTATAAAGCACGATCCTGTGCACGGATGTATTTATTTTTTGTAGTTCATTTCGTATATTTACATTTGCTTTTGTAAACAAGATTGTCTTGTAGTTATGATATCCTTTTTCTATTCAAAACATCTGTTTTAAACGATGAAATTATTTCTTTGGTAATGAAATAATGTATCATTTATACCGGAAGTGAATCGTCTGTCGTGTACAATAAAATGTCTGCGCCCATGAGAAACACGTTAAAAAGATTTTATCAGATTAAAGGTTGTCAAATTCATTGAATTAGATTTTTCAAGCCGCAAAATTTCTAAATACAGAACAATGGTATGTTTTTACATGTATACTTGATGTATTATAAGGAAAATACTTCAATCATAGCAAGATAGTTTTGTGTCTTACTAACCGGCATAATTTTGACTCATGTTGAGTCGTCAAACTAAAAAATGCAAATTAAACATCTTATGTCTTCTCTAATTAAATGTATAAGATGTTTTCTTTATTGTTATAAGAAAAATTATCAAGATTGACATGTCAAGGAAAATTTTTTTATTGTTGTGTAAGCAGAGTCGGAGAGCATGATTCTTTTTAGTCCAAATAATTATGAGGGTCTTTAAAGGCTATTTTATTTTTTGTCGCAGTAAGGCGTCAAAGCAAAAAATAAAATAGCCTTTCAAGACCTCATAATTATTTGGACTAAAGAGAATCATGCTCTCTGACTCTGCTTACACAACAATAAAAAAATCTCAATGTTTTCTACTGGACTCGACCCGCTTTCGAGATGTTTCAGCCACACTACCAGTTAGTCCACAGGTCGAGTTGGCCACACTACCAGTTCATGCACTAGAAAATGAAAGGATATGGAGTAAATGTACATGGGACAAAATCGCACACAATACATAGAAAACATAGAAAATTATCAATGAACAGGGCTTTTATTCCTGTTCTTCATCTTGACAGTTGATGTAGGGTCTTCAACAATGAGCATGATGAACGAATCATTTAGGCCATACTTTTATTTCATATTGTTATTATGGTTTGACAGAAGTTTGTTTTGAAAAGGAATTTTGCTTAACATAAAGTAATTTGACCATCAAGTATGCATCTGCTGTGAAACAAGAGGACACACAACTTTCTTATGTCACACATGATTAAGACATTTGGTTTGATTAATTTATTTTATAACTGACTGAGATATTTTTTCCACTACCATGACTAAAAACACAAACATGACAAAGTATGAGAAATGTGACCACCAACGATATGAGTTGTTTCATCTGCATACTCATGGTTTGTTGATGTGTATAGGTTATCCTTATTTTTGTCTCGCCTTGACGGAGTCAAAAAGCGAGACATAGGTATGCTGTTTCTGGTGGTGACAGCAGTGGCGGCGTCAACAATGTATTAGTTTGTGATAAGGTCTAGTTCATGGTGAACCACTAGTGGTAGGTCAATGATATTTGGTATGCAGTTGTATTAGCATTGACACATCTCATAACCATGGAGATTATTTGGCCTCGCCCCCTCAGTCAAGGTCTATTGACTTTGAAACTTTGCTTAGTTTACATGTGTTAGTTTGTGATTAGGTCAGTTTATTGGGAACCACTAGTGGTAGGTCAATGATATTTGGTATGCAGTTGTATTAGCATTGGCAAATCTCATTACCATGGAGATTATTTGGCCCCGCCCCCTCAGTAAAGGTCTATTGACTTTGAAACTTTGCTTAGTTTACATGTATTAGTTTGTGATTAGGTTAGTTTATGGGGAACCACTAGTGGTAGGTCAATGATATTTGGTATGCATGTGTATAAGCATTGGCACATCTCATTACCATGGAGATTATTTAGCCCCACCCCCTCATTCATGGTCTATTGACTTTGAAACTTTTGCTTAGTTTGTGATTAGGTCAGTTTAAGGGGAACTGTTAGTGGTAGGTCAATGATAATTGGTATGCAGTTGTATAAGCATTAGCACATCTCATTTCCATGGAGAATATTTGGTCCTTACCCCTCAGTCATGGTCTATTGACTTTGAAACTTTTGCTTAGTTTACCTGTATTAGTTTGTGATTAGGTCAGTTTAAGATGAACCACTAATGTTAAGTCAATGATATTCAGTATGCAAATGTATTGGCATTTGCAAGTTTCATTTCCATGGAGATTATATAACCCCACCCCCTAATTATGGTTCATTGACTTTGAAACTTTTACATAGTTTACATGTTAATGTTTGTGTTTAGGTTTGTTTAAAGGGAACGACTTACGAAAAGTCAATGGTATTTGGTTTGCAGTTGTATTAGCATTGGCACATCTCATTTCCATGGAGATTGTTTAGCCTTGTACCTTCAGTCATGGTTCATTGACTTTGAATATTTCAATAATTTGCATAACTTACAAATGTACATGTTAAAGTATTGCTATTTTAATTTCAACATTTGCATTATCAAAATAACAAAAAGGCGAGACATATCTCTGTTTTAACAGTTTATTTAGTATTTATGTCTTTTTTGTTTTTGTTTACCATACAAGCTTATAAAGAATAAAGAGTACAAAGGGTTTTGTACTTAATTCATTTATTCAGGCATATTGATAATCATACATAAATTACAAACAACATACATAAATATTTACAATAATTCGTGCACAATGATGTGGTCAGCTGGTAGGTATGGCAGGGCCAGAAGTTTACGGTTGAAAATGTGGATGCTCTTCTTCTGGTCGTAGGTGGTCTTTAATCCCAGCTTGGAGACCTTCTGGATTACAGCTTGGCACCAGTGAAAGGAGCAGCCCTTGATCTTTATATCTTGAAACACATTCTTGATGGCTGACCAGGCGGCTGTAAAATTGCAATTAAAAAATATTTCATTAATTACAAATGTGGATGCTCATCTTCTGGTCTTGTGCTGTCTTTAATACCAGCGTGGCAACCTTCCTTCTAGAAAGAAGAGAAACTACAGTAGTGTGTAATATCTATATACTGAAAATTTTTTTTCTTAAATTTTGATTTGATCTTTCTGTAGGAGTATTTTTAGTCTCAAGTGACTTGACCGAGAACGGTTTATCACATTCGAGTAGAGTGAGAACAGGATGACTTCATAAGCAAATGTCATTGATATCACATAGAAAAAAAGCGATAAACAGATTATGGGCTTTCTACTCAAAGGATGTTACCTTTCATCTCAGGGCTATCACCAAACAATGGGATTGTAGCCAAGAAACTCCCTCTCATTTTCTTAACCATAGATAATCTATGAGTATGGATAAATGTTAATAGAAAATACAGTTTAGAATTAATCTTACTTTGTGAACATTACAAGATGGGGTAAATGTTTATTATATGTATTCTGGAATTGAACTAACATTTCATTTTCTAAATCTTTCTCCTAATGAACCAGTAAGATGACTAAATCAAATATTGATAGAGTTTTATTTTTTAAAATTATATTGAAAATTTTGTGTTCCCTTTTATGTTGAATAATAACAAGATTGACTCAAACTGTCTGACATTTTAGATGCCTTATGCCTGGCCTTACTATTTTATTTGTTTTTTTATTCAGATATATATCATGTGTATATATATATATATATATCAAAGTATTCCCCTTCAGTCTGTAAATTCATTATTTTTTGTAGGGTATTATAGTTTGTGGGTAGATGTGAACCACGAAGTTAAGTGCTGATCTAACATGTTTAAGTACAAATTTTATAAAGGCTTGTTTTCAGAATTTGTCAAAATCACAAACTTAAGTATCCACGAAAATACATTTTTTCCTTCGTCCACGTAGATTGGTACCCACGACAATTAAAAAATCCTCTGTAGACCATTTGGAAAATAGCATTATTTTATCTATCAGCCTTCTCAATTTTTGTCAAGTATGCAAGACATAGGTATTACTATCCAGCGGCGGCATCAGCGTAAACTATTTGTATAAAGCTTTATATTTCAGAAGGTAAAAGACCTGGATGCTTCATATCTTGTAAGAAGATACCTTAAGTTATGAAGTTTCCGTCAACCATATGTCCATTGTCCTTGACCTCATTTTCATGGTTCAGCGACTGCTTGAATAAATTGAGTTTTTTTGTCATGTGAATTTCTCACTTATTATGAGTAATAGGATAACTATATTTAGTATATGGGTTCCTTGCAACGTCTACATGTCCGTCAGACAGAGTTTACCTGACCTCAACCTCACTTCATGGATCAGTGATCAAAGTTTAAGTTACGTGATTAGGTCCATTTCTCAAAAACTATAAGCAGTAGGTCAACTATATTTGGTGTATGGAATGATTGTAATGGGTAGATGTCAGTCTGGCAGGTTCCATCTGACCTTGACCTCATTTTCATGGTTCATTGGTCAATGTTATTTTTTTGTGTTTTGGTCTGTTTTTCAAGTACTATAAGCAATAGGTCAACTATATTTGGTGTATGGAATGATTGTAAGGTGTACAAGTCTGGCATGTATCATCTGACCTTGACCTCATTTTCATTGTTCATTGGTCAATGTTAAGTTTTTGTGTTGTGACTGTTTTTCAAGTACTATAAGCAATAGGTCAACTATATTTGGTGTATGGAATAATTGTAAGGTGTACATGTCTGTCTGGCAGGTATAATCTGACCTTGACCTCATTTTCATGGTTCATTGGTCAATGTTAAGTTTTTGTGTTTTGGTCTTGTTTTTCAATTCATACACAATAGGTCAACTATATTTGGTGTATATGGCCATGATGTCTGTCTAACACGATTTATCTGACCTTGACCTCATTGTCATAGTTCTTTAAAAATGTTAAGTTTCTGTAATGCTTTAAGTAAAACCTTTATCCTAAAGACTTTCAAAATAAAATCAATGGTCAGTAAAGCACTTTTGTTTAAGTTTATGTAACCTTAAACAGTCATACATTTTTCATGGCCTTACACAGAAAACTAAAAAGTGAGCATATTGTAAGTGGAGATTAACAAACAATCGTCAATAGTAAGGAGAATTTTACTGTATATTTTTCTGGTAGTCAAAACCTTGAACAGTGTTTTTTTTTTTTCAGAATTCTTATGGTCAGAACAGGGGAATGAAGAGGAAGGCAAATGTTTTGTTGGAAAGACCAAGAGGTAATAGTCCTGCTCGGGACTTAATGAGATCATCATTTTAATAAAGGAAATTAATTTTTATAAATACATGATCTTTTCCGCAAGTTTATTGTTTTCTGTTTGGTATTGAATTAATAATAAAGGTCCATTTTGTTACATCTTGTGAACAGTTTATTTGGCAATCGCCAATGGCAGTCAGCAGGGTTTAAGAATATCCGTTGTTCGACCTGTTATTCAATGCGTTTTGTTTAAATATACTTTTTCACTTTTTTGGTCTTTTGAAAAATGTTGTTTGTGCTGTATTTAGACCCCTCTACCAAGAAATTTTGTTTGCAAAAACATGTATAAAAATTGCGGTTTTTATCCAACGCAATCATAGGTTTGAACTTTGTTTTCAATTTAGACTTGTATATATATATAAATTTATGATTTATAACATATTTTCAATTACCAGTAAAAAAGTGACTTGCAGAAAATGCAATGAATAGACAAGTTACAACATTTGTATAAACATTAGAATTGGACTTTTTAACTTAAAAATAGTAACAGATGAAGAGCAGAGTAAAGAATTATTTGTAACTTTGAGATCAGGGGGCCCCAGTGGCTGAGGACTTAGCAGAAAAGGTTCATCTTAAATTATCATTTGTCTGTCAACACTGAGGTTTAGAGTTCAAATCCTGCTCATTGCAAGGTGGGATGGTGATATTAATTGACTATGATTCCAGTTTTCCTGCTGAAGGTTGAGGTTTCTCTCTGTGCACTCTTGCTTCCTCCACCATTAAAAGCAGGCCGCCATGATTAAGCCAAGAGTGCTGAAAGTGGCTTTAAAACACTAGAAAATCAATCAGTCATCTTTGAGCGTCTTGATCGTTGACAGGTTTAAATATCTGGTCAGATCACACCAACAGTTACAGTATGTTGTTATTTCTGTAATAATTTGATCATGTTATAGAGTGACATGATGTGCTTGATCTATATGTTATAATGTATATGATACTGAAGGTTGTGAAATAACAATTGTTCTCAAGTTTCTTTCTGAATTGAAATTGTATAGAGGTAATTTACATACCTGGTGAGTAAATATACTATATATAGATATAAGAAGATGTGGTATGAGTGCCAATGAAACAACTCTCCATCCAAGTCACAATTTGTAAAAGTAAACAATATAGGTCAAAGTACGGCCTTCAACACGAGAGCCTTGGCTCACACCGAACAGCAAGCTATAAAGGGCCCAAAAATTACTAGTGTAACCTGATTTGGTGGTGTTACATCTTACAAAGTCTATCCAATTTATTTTTGCAAAAAATTCCACTCAAGCCAGTGCTAGGGGCCATCTTAAACTTGCAGTGAGGTGAGAGTTTGCTTTTTTTGCTCCATGTTGAAAGGCTTCACTGTGACTTTGAGATGAAGAATAGCAATAAAAGCACTGTTCCTTTGCTTTTTGTGTGTTTTTTGCTGTGCATGTACTGATTTTGTGTCATGGATGGATGCCTCATATCCTTTGTTTTTTTTCTATTATATAACATTTATCTTTTATATATAACATAAAATGAATTTATCTTTTGCAGAAATTGGCATTATGCAATATGCACAGAATAGAGCCAATGAGATAGAAGCTTTAGCTGGAGAAATAAAGAAGAACACAGGAACCAGAAAAGTTTTCCAATCACTTCCCATTCATATGAGAAGAAGGGCCATGAGTCATAACATCAAACGCTTACCTAGAAGACTACAAAACATAGCAAGGAAAGAGGTTATTTTCAGTATTTAAGCTGTAAATACTATGATGTTTCTTTTTGTGCATTTTTATAGGCAAAAGTCCATAGAAAATTTACCGTATTTAGCTGTGTATTGTACGCAGTTATGTATAATATGCACCCCCTTTTCATCCCTCCAAAATCGTGAAAAAAAAGTTTAAAAAAAATAATGAAAAAAGTTAAAAAATATGTAAAAAGAAAATTTTAAATTAGCGGAGGGGGCATTCAGTTTTACCCTTGTCTGTCCGTCCATAAGTCCCAAAGTTGGTTTCCGTTCTCTAACTTGAGTTTGCCTCAACCAAATTTTATGAAATTTATGCACAATGCTTATTACCACAAAACACAGATCAAATTTGAATTTTGGTGGCGCCACTTTAACCCTTCTAGAGTTATGCTCCTTTACAAATGGAAAAATTGCTGAATTTTTCGTTCCTGTTCTCTAACTTAAGTTTGCCTGAACCAATTGTTATGCAACTTATACACAATGCTTACTACCATAAAATACAGATCAAGTTTGAATTTTGGTGGTGTCACTTTTACCATTCTAGAGTTATGCCCCTTTACAAATGGAAAAATTGCTGAATTTTCGTTTCCGTTCTCCAACTTAAGTTTGCCTCAACCAAATGTTATGAAACTTATACACAATACTTATTACCACAAAACTCAGATCAAGCACAAATTTGGGTAGCGTCACTTTTACCGTTCTTCAGTAATGTCCCTTTATAACTTTATATGATATGCAAGGAGGATCATCATCTGTGTCCCATGGACACATTCCCCATTTATTTAAAGTCTAGTTCACTGTAAAAAGCCTTTAATAGGGAACAATTAAACCATGTATTTAATCTTCATTTAAATCTATTTAATGATAAAAATAATAAGATTGATTGTTCAATCAAATTTTTTAATCAAATATTTTTAAAGTCATGAACAATTAAATGGTAGAGCTTTTATCATGTAATTAAAATTTATTAATTTTATAAAAGTGAAGTTATCAATTAAAGATCCCTTTTCAAATCAATGTTTGTCAAAGCTTGTCCAAGCTGATGCACGTCTTAACCTTCTGTCCAACTTTAAGGGAAACTCGTATGCAGTATTTCCTACCACTCAAAGATCTTATCACAAGTATCATAGGCTGCAAGAAATGGGAACAGCTCTTCAACAGCAACCAAAACATTACGGCACTTTTACTTGACTTTTCGGTGTTCTGCGATCTGCAAAACCTCAGCAAAACTCAAAAGACGAATATTGAGTCACTGACAAGAGACTTCTGTTACAAAATACATATAAAACTTCTTGAGAATTCAGAAATCAAGTGATAACAAATTGAATTATGAGAATTCTAGGAGAGGATGTTATATTGATTGCTCTAACGTATCTAGAATACATATGTTAAATAAGATGATTTTAGATTTTAAGTTTCCAAACATGTATATTTTCTAATCCCCTCTGAACATATCTGCATTCCCATTCGTTTTATTTTTTTACCTTGCATTATCACTATTTGTACAGAGCACATCTACTGGACCAATGTGTTTTTGTTTTTAATTTCAAATCCATATCTTAAATTACTTTTAAAAACTAAGAAATTTACTTTCTTGCCCATCTATGTAAATATTCCCTATTACCCATTAAGGGGTTTTCCTAAGATAGGAAGCTTATGCATAAGAAAGAAAGAAAGAAAGAAAGAAAGAAAGAAAGCTGATGCACTGTTCAAATATTATAAAAGAAATAATTGGAATGTTATGGAACAAAAGAAATTAGACCTCAAACATATTCTTAATTGATTAGCAGTAATTAAAATTTAATAACTCTTTAATCCGATATTTCCTTTTCATTGATCATGTTGATTAAGAGCACTGCTGAGGTTATTATATTGAACACCTACCTGTCAAAAGTTGACATGATTATTCAATTGCTACACAACCATACTTAATCCTTAATTACGTTTTAAGCTCTCATGCAGGATGCCACACCAGTACTTGTGTATTCAATACGGAAGGAAAAAAAAAATTTGAAAAAAAGATTACAAATAAATAAATAAAATAAAAAATGTCTTGTCATATACAATAATGAAGAAAAAAATGATAATAATAAAAAAAAAATCAAAAACAGTTTATAGTTTATAATACGCATCCCCTCTACCAACTACATTTTTGGGGTAAAAAAGTGCGTACTATACACACCTAAAGACGGTAGTTAATTTGGATTTCTTCCTTAACACAAGCTTAATGGGACAATGCAGACAACAAAAATATTAAACTAAAATCATTATGTTAGCTTTAGACTAAAATTAAGATATGATATATCCTCAAATTAATGCATTTGTAAAACATGTTCCATTTTATTTGTTACATATATATTTTGTAGTATGATAAAATCACATCAAATCCAAAACGTCCAAGTAGAAGACACAGGCGTCGACCAAAAAATCTACTTGAGGAATATCAGCGTCGGCAGAGGAAGCATATTTGGTTAGAAACACTCATTTGGCATGCAAAGCGATTCAAAATGGAGGACAGATGGGGTTATAGGATTCCTTTACATTCAACAGATAAAAGTATAAAGGCATCTTACAGAGCTACACAGAATTATTGTCAGATTCAGGTAAATGTTTATATAAAAATAAGGAGATAAGGTATGATTAAACAATGTGGTAACTATCTACCAAAGATCAAAAGGTCAAGGATGTAAACAACTACGGGTCATGATATTGCACTCAACACTGAAAAAAAAACATAGCTTATATTAAATCAAAATCATGTTCACCAATTTGACCCAAATTCTGATATTTTATTTATAACTTATTAAAATGTAATTTGATTAAAAAATTTCTAAAAAAAACAAACCAATTAACAATGCATGGGCTTACTATAATGTATCACCATTTGTGTGTTTTATAGTCCAAACACCATCTAATTATCCATGGAGATGACCTCAGAAGACTGCAGACAGCCATATAACTCCAATTAAATCATAACTATGAATATAAATACAAAGCGAGCAAGTGCAATCAGATTTTTCTATTTTTGTTTGATTTCATATTATAGGTTAAAAATATATGTGCCAGTAAATCATCTTACCTGTATAAGAATGATTTTTGTGTGCCAAATAATTGTTTTTTTCTTAGTGTCTCCCTTGTTTCACTTTTCAATGTTGACATTCTTTTCTTTTTAATGATTGAAGCACATGTGGAACACAGGCACAGCCCGTTTTCACTAAAGGTTGAATTAAAGGTTATATTAATACAGATTCGAATTCAATTATTGACTTGCTAGTAAGGATACATTATTTTGTGTTTAGAATTTTCTATATTTTCCTTTTCAGGATGTATCCTATTTGTGTTGTATAGAAATCAATGGAGAAGAGAAGAATATCTTAGAAGGACTAGGTCATCTCACAAATTCAGGAACAGGTAACAGTTTTAGTGAGAAATCATTTCAATTTCAGATCAGAAACTACTTGAAAAAGCATTACACATATACAGTATATGTGATGTACATGTCATTCAGATGGATAGCAACCCAATGGAACAAAAAAACCAAAAGACATCTAGAAGTCAACATTAGGTCTTCACCAATAGAAAGATGTCAAGCATGGCTGGGAATGTTTTTAATATTATACCCCTACTATAGGAGTTGGGACTATATTGTATTCACTCTATCCTTCCATCCGTTTGTCAACTCTTCCAACAGTAACTCAAATTATTTTAACAAGTTCTCACAAAATGTTAACACAACATTAGGATTAACAGAAACAAGCTCCTTTTAGATTTTGACAATTAATTTTGTCATTCCAGATTTATGGGACTTTTATTCATGGACTTATCCTCACAGGTTGTACAATAACTTTGCTATGATACTTTTTCATAAAATTTTATCACAGGGGGCTATAGTAAGCTCCGTTTAATTATCTTGATTTGAATTTTTTTAAAGTTATTGTACTTCATTTACGAAAAAATTACTCTGGTATGCTTTGATTGATTTCCACAAGTTTTTGGACTGTTGTTTAGATTAATAGAAGGAAGTTCCATTTTGATTTTGAAAATGTTCTGGGCTGTTGTTTTAGAATTACAGGATCTGAATAGTCAGATTTAAGGATGTACACCTCTGAGGAGCCAAAACTCTAGAATTAAACTTTTTTTCTTAACCTAATTTTTGGGTTTATATGACTGTAAGAAAGTAACTGATGAAGAAAAAAATCATATGGTGGTGCACTTCTTATTTTGCTACAGCCATTTGAAAGTACCCATTTTTCATCAATTTTTACCCATTTTTGGGCTATTATCATGAAAAAAATCACAATTTCATAATTAAACCTTTTTTTTTCATACTTTCACTAAAGATGAAGTGGACCAATATGAATAAATTTAACTTGGAAAAACTATAAGTAGGTGTTAATATAAGAAAGTTTTATGAAATTTTGTTGCTTTTTTGTGTCAAATTGACCATGATGTCAATTTTGTTAATTTGGGATTATTCTCGTTTTTTTTAGAACAAAAAGCATATTATTTCAACTTCTTTGTTATAAATGATTGAAAAAAAAAACATATCTAAGAATTTTAATAAGAAAAAAATGATATGGGATGTACATATCTTTGGTAAAATCATTTCTTTGTACCCTCACCTATTTTCTCAACATTTTGGCAGAGTCCAAAATAAATAAATGGTGTGTTTCAGGTTTCCCGACCCTACCTCCATTTCCGACGCCGACCCTAAACATTTTATTGACAAAAATAAAAAATCAAAATTCAAAATCAGGATTTTTCAGTCTGTCCAGATCTCATTATTCGTTTAGAATACTATAGATCTTCAAAGAGTTTGATAATAACGACCAATATGGATAAGTAAAGCGTTTCGACAACCCAGATTTTAAATAAACAAGCATGGGTTATCGGCAACCGTGTAGCGTATTAGCTGTCAATTATACGAAACATGATCCCATGGACGCAAAATATAATGACATCAATTCCGGATAATTACGATATGATGAATCTTTTTGAAGAACATCATGATGGACCTATAGACTAAAAAATTACGAAGTTGACGCATTTTGCTCAACTTCTTTGAACAGGTACAAGCGAGATTTTTTAAATATTTGTATATATTTAATGAATAGTGTATTCAGTATATATACATATATTAACAAAATTTCGTCATGTACTTGTGCTTCTTTGGACTAAAAGTAGGAATCTTTTCAGGTTGGACAGACTGTATCTGTCAGTTTAATGACAAACATTTTTTGAGTAAAATGAGTTCAATTTACTGCTAAAATCAATCCAGCTTTTGTTGTAAAACATGCTGTTACGAATGTTGTACAGAATTGTGCTCAGGACGCAAGATAAACGGCTGTTAATGCTTTTTAGTTAATGACGGCAAGGGGACAGACAATGTGGAACGAGAAAGAGGAAAAGAAGCTTTCCCCAGTAGGTATGATTCATTTATAAATGAATCTGCCCTAGCACCGTGTCTACTTTTATTCTTTTTTATTTCTCTGGCTGGTCCCATAACAATTTATACAAGAAAAGGGGGAAAAAATCATGTCATATTTATATCTGCAATTTATTTGACCAGTAGATTAATAAGACAAAGATTTCACATTCTCACTCTTCTCAAAACCCAGCTGGATTTTTAATATTGTCAGAACCACCCACTCTTCAATCAAGATCACATTCTGTCAAACATCAAAACACATCTGTATATTAAATAAAGAGGGTGCAAGGGCAGAGAATTACCCCTCGAAAAATCATAATTAACTGCTGCTTAGCATCGGTTCAGTGTTTTCAAGGGGTACTAATCTGCTCCCACATGTATACCATGTGTGTCATTTACATTGTTAGGTTCAACGAGGCCCAACATGATAACATACCATGCCAGATTTTTCACTGCCATTTTTGGTTTAAGATAATTAATCGGCAAGAACATACACTTACGACCAATGAAATACATAAAATTTTCATTAAAGTTTATTTTCATATTTCTGACGCAGAGCTTAAACAGAAAATTAAAAAAGCTGTAGATTTAATTATTATTCTAGATATCAAAGAAGCCTGCACATTAAACGATTTGATTTGGAACTTTTTTCTGCTGTCATCAATAGAAAAAAAATTAAAATGTTTTCATAAAATAAAATGTTTTACCTACCTACCCTACCTATTTTTTTAGAGGTGAAATAGGAAACACACTATTAATTTATTTTGGCCTGATGACACTTACCAGATTGGTCATAAAATTTGAAAATTTTATTTCTCAAAAACTACTTATTGTAATTACAATAATCACAATTTTTTCACAGAGTTTAGTTGGATTATATTATTTTTTGTATTCATTGATATTTTCCACTTCTATCACATGCTTTGGAAATAATTCCCGAACAAGATTTCAACGAGACTGAAACCTCAGAAGAATACATCCTTAAGTAAATTTTTCACATGTTGTACAACTTGAGTATTCTTGGATTGATTTACTAGAAATGTTACACAATAGTCAAGATGCACAATTCATTTCTGGTATGTGCTAATGGTAGCCTTTTCCAAAATTCCTCTGGCACATTGTAAACTTGGATAGGTATGATCTTTTTGTTGCGGAGACATTTTCACATATGTGCCAAAAATTTGGGATACAAAGTGATACAAAGTGAGATTCATTTTTCGGTAGTTTAGCATACCCCGAATAGCCCTTTGTGATGCGGCTATAAATTGAGGTAAAAATCCCTTTTATCACACAATAAGTTCTTTGAAAATTTTATTCTTTTCATACATTTAATAACTCCATAGTTTTTACAGCTTTATTCTATGGTCCTCTGCTCTTCAAATCAGCACAAATGGTTATCCTCAGTCACTTGTTAAAAATTGAAACATGTCCAATATCACTGCAGATTTTTTGTTTTATGTACTATTTTTGTGTTCCTCAATTTGAGCGTTAGGGATATTAACCCAGTTGGAATGTAAGATACCTTTTGATTTTGAAAATTTGATTCCAGAGTTATACTTAAACTGTCAGTAAGGCAATACTTTACATGTCATACACAATTCTAGTATACTTGGATCTTTTATGCTGTTGTTGGGATAGGTGAATGCAGGCTTTCTTTTAATTTTCAAAATTCTCTGTTATGTCAGTCCAGAGTTATGGGTCCTTTTATATGTCAATTTTATATGTATGCATATATGTATAATTCTTTTAACTAATTTTTCAATAAATGCTAACTAAATTTTCAATACTTTCTATAAGAAGATGTACTGTTAACAAAAGGAGATGTTAGGTCAACATCAGCAATCGATTGACGCGTTTAGGGGAACAAAGAAATACCAGGCATCCCTCCGTTCGTGCGTCTGTTTGTTATCGGGCTGTTGTCTCTTTAACACGTTCCCCATTTCCATTTTCGACTGTTTTATATCAGAAATGTTTCTGACAATTTCGAAAATCAGTGCCAATCAACAATTCTAAAAGTTTTAGGTCCCTTGGAAATATTAATTGTATGAAATTGAATTGTTTAATATAGAGCTTTCAAACCTTCATTTCTAAGATATTTATAAAAAGTTTTCAATGAACCCCAATTTTTTTTTTTAGTTATTGTCCTAAAATATATAAAATATGTGCAACACGGAGGACAATGGAACTCTGTTCTTTCATTGGTTTTGAACTATCTTTCAGTAACTGTGATTACTCTTAGATCAGCACTTTGTGTCTTTTGTATTGATGTTAGTTGTTTTTTGGGGGCTTCGTGTTGATCTGATGTACACAAAAGTATAGTACAATATATTACAATACATCAGACAAAGTAAAGTACTGCACATAAATGTGAACTACAAAGGCACAGTACAAATCATTGCTGAACATTAAATAAAGCACAGTATTGTACATAATGGAACAACAAACTAAGCACAGGAGCCTGTAATTCAGTTGTTGTTTGTTGATGTATATCAATTTCGTTTTTATACGACCACAAAAAATTTTTGCGGTCGTATATTGGTATGACATTGACGTCGTCGTCGTCCGAAGACACATTGGTTTTCGCACTCTAACTTTAGTTTAAGTGAATGGATCTCTATGAAATTTTACCATAAGGTTCAATACCACAAAAGGAAGGTTGGGATTGATTTTGGGGCTTATGGTATCAACAGTTAAGGAATTAGGGGCCAAAAAGGGGCCAAAAATAAGCATTTTTGTAACTTCCAGACATAACTTGTGTGTTAGTGTATGGATCTCTCTGACATTGTACCACAAGGTTCCATATCACACAGGGAATGCTGGGATTGATTTTTGGGGTAATTTCCTCAAAATATTAGGAATTAGGGGCAAAAAACAAGCATTTTTCTAGTTTCATGACAATAACTTGTGTGTAAGTGTATGGATCTTTCTGAAATTGTACTACAAGGTTCCATATCACAAAGGGAAAGCTGGAATTGAGTTTGGGTGTAATTGCTCAAAACGTTTAGGAATAAGGGGCCAAAAATAAGCATTTTTCTAGTTTCCAGTCAATAACTTGTGTTCAAGTGTATGGATCTCTCTGAAATTATACTGCAAGGTACTATACCACAAAGGGAAGGCTGGGATTGAGTTTGCGGGTGATGAATCATAAGGGGGTTCAAAAAATTTGGGGGGAGGGATTTTTTTTTCTTTAAAATTTTCCATTTTAAATTGGTTATTTCTGATTTATATATAAATGCAAATAATAATGATATGGTTTGAATAGGTAAATTAAAAAAATTTAAGTTCTTAGACCACATTCATTCTGTGTCAGAAACCTGTGCTGTGTCAAATATTTAATCACAATCCAAATTCAGTGCTGTATCAAGCTTGAATGTTGTGTCCATACTTGCCCCAACTGTTCAGGGTTCGGCCTCTGCGGTCGTATCAAGCTGCGCCCAGTGGAGCATTTTATTCACTATTGTTTTATTCATAAATGAGGCCATTAGTTTTCTGTTTAGATCATTTATATTGTGTTGTGTCTGTGCCTTTTATATCTTACTATACTATATGAGTTTTGCTTATTGTTGAAGGTCGTATGGTGGCCTATAGTTGCTTACATCTGCCTTATTTGGTATCTATTGGATAGTTGTATCATTGGTAATCTTATGACATATTATTTTTATACAATGTGCAACACAAAAGAACATCAAATGAAGAGTAGTACAATATATAAAAGTCCATAAAAAGGTCAAAGTACAATGCATAAATGTGTATCACAAAAGTACTTCAAATGATCTCCTGTACTGTACTTATTAAACATAAATAGGTTCATTCACAGGACTTTGTCAGATGTTTCAGTAGATGGTAATTAAATGTTTAGATGAGCACAAAGAATCAAGTTCTTTATTTGTTATATGCCATCATAATGGGTGTTTAAAAAATTGGGAACATAAGTACATGAGAGTTTATAATTTCCTTGTGAGAAAATTTCTACTTTTACTAAAAATGCATTCTAATTTTAATTTAAATGTTTAAAACTATAAGTTGATTTCACTGGATGGTCCAAAATTACTGATACTACTCCACTTAATTGACTGAATCTACAGTTAAATGCTTAATGAATATATATATAATAGGTTGTACTGTTGTAGTATCAAAGTCAGGTTATATCATTAGATTCAGCAGTGCATATCTTATTAAGAAGATAAATTGAATTTTGCCAAGTATGTGCCATTTTCATCACAAATAAAACCTGATGACTCATTATGTTTAAAACAAATACACCGAGGATCCTTCAGTCCATCCTCTTCACTAATCAGTACTTTACTATTCTGTCCATCTTTTGATATTACTATTATTCTATGAGAGGCACAGTCTGCTACAATAATGTTACCATAAGTATCTGTACAAAGTCCCCATGGTCCTGATAAATCCTGTTTATATTGCCAGATCTGTTCACCTGATTCATCATAACAGTATACTGCTTTACTATTATAGTCACTATAGATTACTCTGTCATTACAGTAAACAAGGTTAGCCAGGTATGATACACTCTCAACTTGTATTGACTTCAGTGTATTTCCTTCCAAGTCTATAATACGGATTTCATCACTATTCAAACCTACAGCCAGAGAATTATTGGAGATTGATAAATCCCAGCATCCTTTGTCTAATGTGATAACTTTGGTAACTGTTTCATTCTCCATATTGAAGATCTTAATGGCGTTCTCCCAGGGATAAGTTATGGCTATAGTGTTCTGATTGATCTGTGTAACACTCAAGGCTTCACCAGGTATAGGTAACTGTTTCTGTACTTTGCCATCAGAAGTAAATAGGTAAACTTTACCCATCCATTCCACTACTATAACTCTTCCATCCATCAGACAAATCATGTCATTAGTCACCTTCTCTATGTTGATCTCTATCTTTGTCTCAATATTCATGGTCATGTTGTTTATGTTGGATTGTTGTCGTGATTGTACTTGTGCTTTCCTCCTCACACTGGTTTCTCTATTCAAGGCTATTTCTGTGTTATCAACAATCACTTCTCCTAGTGATTCTAGTGATCCTAACTTGCTCAGTATCTTTTCTATTTCATCATTTTGCTTCATTTTAATGTCAAAATCTCTGGCCCTCTCATCGTTTTCCAGATCTTCAGCATATCGTTGAGATTGATGTACTTGTTGTTCAATCTGATGTACACCTAGAAATGATTGGAGTTTTGAAGTGTATGGAATGACTGTCTGTAGGTGGTCTTGCATTTCCTTTAAGTTTTTCTGTTTTCCTTCAATTTCAGTTATTAAATCTTTTGCTTTTGATTTTTCCTGATTCCAGATAGTATCTGCTTCATTACATAATTTCTTCTCTAGATGGGTTAAATGTTTATTTATGTCCTTGCAAATTTTCAGAATTAATTCTTTTATGTTATCATTTTCTTGTTCACATCTTTTAATGTTTTTTGATTTGTTGTTTATCAATTTATCTAGGAAATGCTTGATAGAGTCAATTTGTTTTTGTACAGATTGTGTGGACTTTTCAATTTTAGTTTTCTCGACTACACTAGCTAAACTTTTTATTCCAGTACATTTTGAATGACTAGTGGAAATACATTCATCACAGCAAGGCATTAAATGACTTGGACAGTACAAGTTAAGCTGTTGACCATGTTTGTCACATTCGGTTTTGATAGCTCTGATGGAGGGTTTATAACTTTTAATATCAATAGTTTTATGATCACGTGTTCCTTTGAATCTTTTGTGATGACCAGAACATGTTGAACATAATCCTTCATCACAGTTGTAGCACCAGATGTCAGCTTTAGCCTTTACTTTTCCTTCTTCACAAGGTCCACATGGTATAGGTTTACTGGACGCCATGACCTGAACATATACAAGATGGAAAGTTATTCAACCTCTTTGTCAAGGTCCAAATTGTTCAACATACTATCTTTAACAATAGACAAGTGTATATATACTAAATTTCAAATTTGCTGTATAACTGAAGACAACCTCTGACAAGCTTAATGAAAATTCTGACTACAAATTGATTTGCTGCAATTCATAAAGCAATCTACTGTAAGAAAAATGGAAAATATTTCAGTTTCATCAACAATGTATTAGTTTGTGATTAGGTCAGTTTATGGGGAACCACTAGTGGTAGGTCAATGATATTTGGTATGCATATGTATAAGCATTGGCACATCTCATTTCCATGGCCCTGTACCTTCAGCCATGGTTCATTGACTTTGAATATTTTGCATAACTTACATGTTAAAGTATTGCTATTTTAATTTCAACATTTGCATTTTACTATCAAAATAACAAAAAGGCAAGACATATATCTGTCAACAGTTTATTTAGAATTTTTAACTGGGATTTCCAAAGAAAAAAAAACATTTATTATTGGATGAAGTACGGAAAGCGGGCGACCAGTGGGTGGCTGCCAACAGTTTCTGGGCAATAACTTATGAACTGTTCAACCAATGCTTTTCAAATTTAAATATATTGATACTATTGACAAAATGGAGGTCAAGTTCGATATCAATAATTTTTATTTTTACTGTTCAGGAGTTAAGAGTCCTTGTTATATTGGAAAATGGCACTTTATGTCATTTCCGTTCAATATTTTATGAACCCTTCTACCAATGGTTTTCAAATTATGATATATTATTACTGATGACTAAATGGAGGTCAAGTTCAATATTGAAGATGTTCACTTTTACCCTTCAGGAGTTATGGTCCATGCAATTTTTTATGACCACTTGACCAATGCTGTTAAAAGTTTTATATGTTGTTACTGATGAAAAAATGGAACTCAAGTTATATATTTTAACCTTTGCTATTAATGAGTTATGCTTCTTGATAGATTGAAAAATGGCATTTTATGTCGTTTCTGTGCAATTACTTTAATATGTATCATTCAACCAATGCTCTTAAAATTTTAATATGCTTTTACTGGTGAACTGATCACGAAATGGTGATCAAGTTTGAAATTGGCAATTTTCACTTTTAAGGAGATTTGGCTCTTGATAGCTTGAAAAATAGCATAGAATGTGGCAGGTGAAAAAAGTCTGAAAGCGCTTTTCAAAATGCAGAAAACCCAGTTCATTCCTTGTTGTTTGATGATCCAGCTGGATTGACCACTGAATGATTAAAACTGAAAATTCAGAAAAATCTAAAAAAAAAATTAAGTAGAGTAAATTGTTGATGCTTAATAGGTTTCATTGAGATGATGGGGTTATTCTTGATACTAGGCACAGATACTAATTGAGTAGTACAGGATCTATGAAGTCTGAAATTCAGGGAACCCCTTTGCAGTTTATACCAACCAAAATATTGAATATAATTGTAAAGATTTTCATTTTTAAATTAAAATGAGTAGAGTAATTTCACAACCAGTACCTTTTGATGTTGTTATTATGTCACTTGTGTATTTGACAACGGAAACTTATTTCCTTCATTGTTTCTCAAAAGGTTGACCAACCAGGAAGTTAATTGGGACATGTTTATACCTGATTCAGGTTATCTAAATATTTAAATGACAGAAATATACCTGACCAAGATAATAAGTAAATCGATGCCTGTTGTTAATAATATGACTATAATTAGAGGAATTTAAATTTTATGCTAGACAAAATCTATATATAACAATTGTTCTAGATACAAAATCATTTCTGATGGTTGTTTTAAATACATTAACAGTTAATCTGTCTTAAAAGGACATGTGAGCTAGACACTATGTCACTAGATTTTTGCCTGTGGAAAATATTAAGTTTGTGGAACAATAATGTTAAAGGTTCACCTATATAGTATAGGTATAAAATACCTGAAAATTAGTAACCCACAAAATATATATAGTTATAAGTTAACAGTTCTTGCAATTTTTCACACATTTTGCGAATTTGCATTGTATCTTTAAAAAGTCTTTGTCTTTCAAATAACAATTTTCTTTTTAAGGTCTCACTTTTGGAGCTCGATCTAATATGAATGGAACAAGAGAAGGCCATACATGTATATACAAATATGACAAGTATCCTTATCATACTATTGGCTGTGTGTCATATCTATGGAAACCAGAGACCAATCAAGATGAATCTAATCTAATAAGTAGACAGTTGTGGATTTGGTGTCATCCATCATGTTACAAAGAATTGTGGAAAGAGTTAAAAATCTGTTTTAAACCTGAAAATAGAGATTCAGCCATTTATGAATTAGAGCAGCAGACATTTTCATCAGGGGAGATATCTGTTATCTCATTGAAGGACAAGTTAAATCGTCATCGCCTGATTGGACCATCATCAAATCAGATTTTGTACCAGGTTCTTAAACCTGCAAATATTCTAAAGAAAGATGCAAGTGAGCAATGGTGGCAGAAATACTATCAGATTCCATCAAAATGTCTGGCATACACCCAACAAGGAGAATTTATTGAAAGTTTGGATAAAACACCCTCACCAGGAGAATATACCCCACATTCTGTGATAGGGATGACTGTTGGAGACCCTAGAATATCTAGACCAGAGAGAAAAACTAAAGTACCAAAAATCAAAGGTATGATCTACAGCCAAAAACATGTTCAAATTAAGAAATAATTATCCCATGCCATGCTCTATGCTCATTTTAACATGGTTAGGCATTATATTTGTCAATATCTTTAACTGAGCATCAGCAGTGTGTAAAATGTTGACAAATATAATGCTTATGTTGAGAGGAGCATAGAGCATGGCATTATATAATCACTACAATTCTAATAGGAAACTTTTATACTTCAAAACAGACCTGTAAGACACATTTGAACTATCCAACAGAGTCTAAATGAAGTGGAAGTCACCATACAGCCTTCAAAACTGATCAAAACCCATACCGTATAGTCAGCTATAAAAGGCTCTGACATGACAAAATGTAAACCAATTCAAAAGAAAACACCAACAGCCTCATTTATGATAAAACAATAAATCAAAAATGAAATGACTGACAAAAACCAATGAAAATCACTGAAATATAGGCTCCTTTCTTGTGCTAGGCTGGATATAAAGCAATTTTCTGAAGTGCTTTTCTGAATTTTACAGATTTTTTTACTGCCAAAGCATCATGCTCTTTTTTTTGTTAGAAATTACTTTTTTTTATGCAATAAAGGACAAATTATTTCTTTTTACTTGAGGCATATATTCAGGGAAAAAAAGAGAAGTCTTAAAGTGTTTTATATTGAAGAAGAAACAATAACAAAAATTGGAAATTTAATACATGAGAACAGTTTAGTTGTAAAAATACACAATAACTTTGGTTACATGATTTTTACTATCTATGATTATCTTCCAGATGTTGACACAGATAATACACTATGCTATGATAAACTGGTCCCTGATGTGTCTATGTCAGCTTTGTGGAACTCAGACATCAGACTGGAAGTAAAAACAACTAAAATGTCAGACCAAAAGCTCAATGAGTTGAAATCAGACATCATGATCCCAGGTTTGTTTTGAGTGGTCATTTAGTAAATAAATTAGGAATATACAGAAATAATCACTTACAGAACAACTGAATACATAACACAGGTATTCACAGAACAACTGAATACATAACACAGGATTTCACAGAACAACTGAATACATAACACGGGAATTCACAGCACAACTGAATACATAACACGGGAATTCACAGCACAACTGAATACATAACACGGGAATTCACAGCACAACTGAATACATAACACAGGAATTCACAGCACAACTTAATACATAACACAGGAATTCACAGAACAACTGAATACATAATACATGAATTCACAGAACAACTGAATACATAACACACGAATTCACAGCACAACTTAATACATAACACAGGGATTCACAACACAACAGAATACATAACACAGGGATTCACAACACAACAGAATACATAACACAGGAATCCACAACACAAATGAATACATAACAACTGAATACACAACACAACTGAATACATAACACAGGAATTCAGCACTTGTTTCCTATCATTAAATTGTCCTGAAGACACCACCATAAGTGGCAAAACATGTAGACTAGAATAAAGCATTTCCTTGCAGTAATCCAGGATGTTGTTCTCTTTTTAGATCACCTGACCCGAAGGGCCAAGTGAGCTTTTCTCATCACTTGGTGTCCGTCGTCCGTCGTCGTTAGCATTTTACAAAAATCTTCTCCTCTGAAACAACTGGGCCAAATTTAACCAAACTTGGCCACAATCATCATTAGGGTATCTAGTTTTAAAAATTTGTCCGATGACCCCGCCAACCAACCAAGATGGCTGCCATGGCTAAAAATAGAACATGGGGGTAAAATGTAGATTTTGGCTTATATCTCTGAAACCAAAGCATTTAGAGTAAATCTGACATAGGGTAAAACTGATTATCAGGTCAAGATCTATCTGCCCTGACATTTCAGACAAATCTGACAACCTGTTTGTGGGTTGCTGCCCCTGAATTGGTATTTTTAAGGAAATTTAGCAGTTTTTGGTTATTATCTTGAATATTATTATAGATAGAGATAAACTGTAAACAGCAATAATGTTCAGCAAAGTAAGATCTACAAATAAGTTGTCATGACCAAAATTGTCAGTTGACCCCTTTAGGAGTTATTGCCCTTAGTAGTCAATTTTTAACAATTTTTCGTAAATTTTTGTAATCTTTTACAAAAATCTTCTTCTCTGAAACTACTGAGACAAATTTAACCATACTTGGCCATAATCATTATTAGGGTATCTAGTTTAAAAAATTTGTCCGATGACCCCGCCTTCCAACCATCATGGCCGACTTGGTTAAAAATAGAACATAGGGGTAAAATGCAGTTTTTGGTTTATATCTCTGAAACTAAAGCATTTAGAGCAAATCTTACAGGTGGCAAAAATGTTCATCAGATTTAGATTTATCTGCCCTGAAATTTTCAGACGAATCCGACAACTCGTTGTGGGGTTGCTGCCCCTGAGTTAGTAATTTTACAAAAATTTTGCAGTTTTTTGTTATTATATTAGATATCATTATGATATCTAATATCTAATACTATTAATTATGATTTTAACCTTATTTTACATGATTTCCAAAGCATCAGTAAATACAGGTGAGCGACACAGGCTCTTGAGAGCCTCTAGTTATAGTTTTATTATACTGTTTACAGTGTGAAAAGGACATTTACCGGTTATAAAAATATTTACCAGTATGTGAATGTAAAAGGATGCTAAGTGGTTGATTTTTTTGTTGTTTTAGGTTCATTGCCAGATTTAGGGATAGAAGAGTCAAGGGTACCAGTTATCCTTGTACAGAGACCAGGAACCAGTGGTAACTATGGGTCAGGATGGGATGTGATACTCCCACAGAATTGGAGCATGGCTTTCTGGTTAACATTTATATACCATGGAGCTAGAGCTGCTGGAGTGAGAGACCTAGAAAGTCTAGCATTTGAGCAGAGTACAACATATTATCCTAATGATTATCCCGATACATCAGCTGGATCAATACATGAACAGAAATCGGCAGAAAAGTTGAAGAATAAGTTTGATAAAAGACCTCCAGCAAAGAGATGTAACTATGTTAAGCTTGGTATAGCAGCTCCTTTCTTATATCCATGGAAAGATCTTATAAGTAGTTGGACTGATGGCTGTGTAGAGAATGTATATGTACTGAGAGAAAGAAAATCTTTGAAAGTTTTAAGCCAAGTGTTCAATGCAAATACTAAATCAATCAATCAGCAATACCTAAATAAAACATGTCAGAAGACCAATATAAATAGTAAAATTGAACTCACCAGTGAATTTGAATCAGTGTTTGAGGAACACAAATGTTCTCTTGTACATGTGAAGTTAACCATGTTGCTACGAGGTGTACCAGATGAACATGCTATCATCTGTATTCCAGTTGATAAAGACATTGAACTGTTACAAAAAGATAAGACATATTCAGGTCCTAGGGAACCAGTTCACAAAGACGAAAAGAAAACTCCCAAAAAGAAAAAAATGACACAATCGTTAACAGAAACAAAATCTGTCGACTCAGCATTATGCATGAGGAAATATTGTAGTAGAGAAATTATAGGGTTTGTTAACCATGGAGGATTTTCTTTAGGATCAGGAAATGGTCGTGCACAGGGATTTTGTACAATAAAAGGACTTCAGTATTTATCACAGCATCCTTCTCCTTTCTATGTACTTTTCAGAAATCCCACGTCTTACCAATATAGATTTGCTTACATAAATATATTATAAAGCTGAAGTCTTGTCTTTTCTTTTCCCATGGTTGAACAGGCAAACTGTAATTCATTAAAAGATAAATTTCCAAAATTGTAATGATTTACAGGCAATGACACTGCATGCGGCATCACCTGGATATCTCATGTCCAGAAGTAGGACCTGTTTTGGTGCACCATACATTTGGCTGTGTTATAATTATAAATATGCAACCACATCTGGTCAGAATGGAGACGTTCAATCTGATGCCTAGTTTGAAAGAGTGCCGCAATCTCTGCTCATGCAAAAACAATTGCAATAATTTTTAAGAGGTCTGTTAGTGACCTTTTGGGAGGCATAAAATCTGCTCTTACCTGACATGCCCTATTTTTCCATTTGAAGTCCAAACTTCCCTCTTTTTCTCTGGTTTATTGTTAATAATTCGTTGTGTGAATCTTATATATATAGTGTTAAATGTCCACTTCTAATAAAAATGGAGATATCTATATTTTTGAGATCCAAGTGCAATGGTCTATCTACCTATACAACTATAATACAAGATTTCTACACCCTACAAGTTTTTGTCAGAACTACACTGTTCTATTTCCACATTTCCATTGGCTTATTCATCTAGTTAGTTCAGATAAAAATATGTTTATAGTGTTGTATCTCCACTATTTTTTGGGGTTTTTTTTACTGTAAAATATTTGTTATCAAAATTATCTTAGTAGTACTATGCTTAAATTGTTTGCATGGTTAAAACTCAATCTATGAGCAATTTTTAGCAAATCCAGCAGTCCAAAATTGGGGATATTACACCTGTATATAGTTAAAAAATCCATAATCTATCTCCTTTTGAAATATAGGGATAAATTTCTAAAACAACATTGTTTGTAGTGAAATGTTCTATCTCCAGAAAAGGGGATGCTTTATTTATCTAAGTTGCTTGTCCATTAAAAAAAACAATCGAACTAAGAATTACTCGTTGTGTACGTAAATTCAATTTCTATATAACATGTATAACTTTTTATGTCTCAGTCGAATATTCAAGATATTAAACTTTAATTTGAATTTTTACCACTTTTACCAAATGGGAAATACATCATTATTGGATTCACATGGCGAATTGTCATTATGAATCGTTATGTATTTTTTTTTGTGCAACTTTAGGTGTACTTAAGGTATTAGACTTTAATAAGTTTGTTTTACTAGTTGAGCATTTTTCATGTTTGTTGGTTTTTCATGAAGTTTGTTGATGATTTTGTATGTGTATGCTAGTTACTTTATAGACCCAGATCACTTCATTTTGAGTACAACAAAGCTGACTTTTAGATAAAAGGGAAAATGTAAGTTTCAGGTTTATTTATTATTATTGTTTTACTAGATGAGTATCTTGGTTTATGGTTGATTACACTTTCATGAGGAACCACCTTTGTTGAATATTTTGTATGTGAGTTAGTTTAATGATGCAGATCGTTTTTATGATAAATAAAACCAAGATGTTTTTTGAATTAAAAGCAAATGTAAGGACTAGATTTTTTATTGCATCATAAATTATATTATATAAACAGTTGAACACACAAGTACAATAAATAAGTAATAGTAGCAATATCAGATTGCACTATTCTATTGTCATGATTGTTGTCACAAAGCAATTATATTTTTTTGGTGTTGTCTGAACTTAATCTGTTGCTGATGTTGACCTTACATCTCCTTTTTTTACAGTACATGTTCTTATAGAAGTTCAAGTATCAAAATTCACTTAGTATTTATTGAAAAATCGGTTAAAAGAATTATACATAAATGCATACATTTTACAAATGGATAGTTCTGGATAGTTCTGGAGGATATATTAATGGAACCCAATCAGAAAAGTTTGGATTGTTAATGGAAAAAACATCATCAATATCATTAATATATCTGAATGTGAAATTAAATGATCTGGCTTCTTTCATCTTCTTGTTTTTGACAAGTGTCTGAAAGAACTCCGGCTCATACGAAAACAAGAAGAGGTCGGCAAGGAGAGGCGCACAGTTCGTTTCCATAGGAATGCCGACAATTTGGTGAAAAAGTCTACCTCCAAATTCACCAAATATGTTGTCAATTAGAAACTCCAGCATACTGTTCACTTGTTCCTCTGTGTAGCATGTTTTACCTTTTTTTATCACTATTTTACAAAATATGCCGTATGGTATCCCAAAGTAATAAATGTATAGCTTATGCTACCATTTTTGTATTGAAAAGCATTGTGGATTATTTCTTTTAGACGATTTTTCAATTTCACATGGGAAATGGTGGTATACAGGGTTGAAAAATCAAAAGTTTTGATAAAATTAATTTCAGAGAAAGATAGAGATTCAAAATTATCCAAAAGTTCTTCAGAGTTTTTTTAGAATACTAATATGGTTAATACCACTACGCGAGTTAAAAGCTTCACAGTATTTCTGAAGACCCTCTTTCAAAGGATAATGCAATACACTACAGTACATTGTTTAAAGCATTGCACAATACATAAATGTGCATCACAAAAGTATAATTCAATAGATTACAGTACATTATTAAGATGGGGATTGAGTAACCTTAAATTAATTAAAACATTTACTAAATTATGTCATAGGTACAAATATTTGATTTGGAAGTTTGACAGTTTCTGTAGAATTCTTACCAAAAAGCGATATCACATCCTTATTTTTATTGTAGTGCTGTTTATAAAGTCTGTCAATTAAGATAAGATCCATGTGAACTTATTGATCATTTGAATAAACGCATTCTTATGGAATATCAATATAACACCTTAGTAAGATCTTTGAATATTTTGTTTATTAGTACTAAATTTCATTTTTTATAAATCAAAACATATATAACTACAGTACATATATATTGCTATGAATTTAAGAAAGCTTATGGTCCTATATTCTGTCGATGTTATGTACTACTACTTATATTTAGATATTATACGAAGTCATGCTTTTTATCAGACTGTTAATGACATCTTTACACTAAATCCTTAGATGTATACTGATTGATACTTTAGTCTGGGAGAACATAGATTTATTTATTAGTTGTTATTGTCCCCCGCGGGACACAAATTTTTATGAAACTTATATCATAGGTTTATATCAGCAATATCTTGGACAAGTTCGAAAATCAGTGCTAATGAAGTATTTTATAAAGAGTTATGCCCTTTGGAAAAATTAATTATATGGAAAATTACATTGTTAGTGCTCGCACCTGCACATTGCTTGCCAAATTTTTATGAAACTTATATCATAGGTTTATTTTAGCAATGTCTCGGACAAGTTCGAAAACAATTTTACAATTTGTGATAACGGTTTAAAACAACCTGAAATTTATTTACAATGAGCAAAAAATAGAAAAAAAAACAAGAATCAAACAAATTTTTGTACTGATTTTATGTTTATCATTGTAATTTTGAACAATTGGTGCAACACAAAATTATTTACATTAAGATGTTCACTCGATGGTCCCAAATTACTGATACTGACCATGCTGACTCCACTTAATTGACTGAATGTACAGTTAAATGCTGAATGAATATATATAAAAAGTTGTAGAATCAAAGTCAGGTTATATCATTAGATTCAGCATCTTATTAAGATGATAAATTGATTTTAGCCAAGTATGTGCCATCTTCTTTAGAAATAAGACCTGATGACTCATCATGTTTAAAACAAATACACCAAGGGCCTTCCAGTTCATCCTCTTCACTAATCAGTACTTTACTATTCTGTCCATCTTTTGCTATTCCTATTATTCTACCAGAGTCATAGTCTGCTACAATAATGTTACCATATGTATCTGTACAAAGTCCCATTGGATATGATAAATCCTGTTTATATCGCCAGATCTGTTTACCTGATCCATCATAACAGTATACTGCATTACAACCACAGTCACTATAGGTTACTCTGTCATTACAGTAAACAAGGTTCCACAGGGGTGATTCACTCTGAACTTGTATTGACTTCAGTGTTATTCCTTCCAAGTCTATCATACGGATTTCATCACTACTCAAACCTACAGCCAGAGAATTATTGGAGAATGATAATCCCCAGCATGTTTTGTCTAATGTGATAACTTTGGTAACTGTTTCATCCTCCATATTGAAGATCTTAATGGCATCACCAGGATACGTTATGGCAATAGTGTTCTGATTGATCTGTGTAACACTGTATGCTTCACCTGGTATAGGTAACTGTTTCTGTAGTTTGCCATCAGAAGTTAATAGGTTAACCTTACCATACTGTTCCACTACTATAACTCTTCCATCCATCAGAAAAATCATGTCACTAGTACGCTTCTCTGTGTTGATCTCTATCTTTGTCTCGATATTCATTGTCATGTTCTTTATGTTGTATTGTTCTCGTGAGTCTACTTGTGCCTTCCTCCTCACACTTGTTTCTCTATTCAAGGTTATTTCTGTTTTATCAACAATCACTTCTCCTAGGGATTCTAGTGATCCTAACTTGCTTAGTATCTTTTCTATTTCATTATTTTGCTTCATTTTAATGTCAAATTCTCTGGCCCTCTTATCTTTTTCCAGATCTTCAACATATTGTTGACATTGATGTACTTGTTGTTCAATCTGGTGTACACCTAGAAATGATTGAAGTTTTGTACTACTTGATATGACTGAATGTAAGTGTTCTTGCATTTCCTTCAACTTTGTCTGTTGTCCTTCAATTTCTGTTATTAAATCTCTTGCTTTTAACTTTTCCTGATTCGAAATAGTATCTGCTTCATTGCATAACTTCTTCTCTAGATGGGTTAAATGTTTATTTATGTCCTTGCGAATTTTAAGGATTAATTCTTTTATGTTATCATGTTCTTGTTCACATCGTTTAATGTTTTTTGATTTGTTATTTATCAATTTGTCTAGGCAATGCTTTATAGAGCCAATTTGTTTTTGTACAGATTGTGTGGACTTTTCAATTTTAATTTTCTCGACTACATTTGCTAAACTTTTTATTCCAGTACATTTTGAATGACTAATGGAAATACATTCATCACAGCAAGGCATTAAATGACTGGGACAATACAAGTTGAGCTGTTGACCATGTTTGTCACAGTCTGTTTTGATAACTCTGATGGATGGTTTATTACTTTTGATATCAATAGTTTTATGATCACGTGATATCTTAGATCTTTTATGACGACCAGAGCATGTTGAACACAATCCTTCATTACAGTTGTAACACCAGAATTCAGCTTTAGTGTTTACTTTTCCTTCTTGACAAGGTCCACATTGTATGGTCTTACTGGACGCCATGACCTAGACATATACAAGATCAAAAGTTATTAAACTATTTGTCAAGGTCCAAATTGTTCAACATACTATCTTCAACAATAAACAAGTGTATTATTACTGTATATACTAAATTCCAAACTTACTGTTTAACTGAAAACAACCTCTGACAAGCTTAATGAAAATTCTGATTGCAAATTTATTTGCTGCAACTAATAAAGCATTGTACTGTAAGGAAAAAGGAAAATATGCTGGAACTGTGATGAGATGATTATAGCTGTAAATTTTCTCCTGAACAATATCTATGCACATTTTGGCATTAAAGGTTACCGACAGGTTGTAGGCATTCCTTTGGGCACCAAATGAAACCCTTTAATTGCAGACTTGTTCCTGTATATTTATGAATCAGAGTGTTTGGCTACACTCAGTCAAGATCCATCTTAATTACATTTAATTGATAAATTAAAAAACACTTTCTGTGGTCACCTTGATGATTCATGGTTATCGTAATGACTTTTTGCTTTACATAATCAAGAATTTTCTAATTATACTGCGAAAATTTACCCAAGGGAACTTACTTTGAATAAATCTAATACAGACAGTTATAATGGTCCCTTCTTAGATTTGATATTTCATTTTCACACTAGAAACTGTATACAAGAATTTACGACAAAAGAGCTAATGTTTCGTTCCCTATTGTTAACTTTCCCATTTTAGAAGGTGATGTTCTTTTGGTCCCTTCTTATGGTATGTTTATTGCACAACTTGTTGGATATGCCCGTGTCTGTAGTCACGTTTTAGATATCAATGAACGAAATTTACGTGTAACTGGTAAATTGTTAAGTCAGGGATTTTGTTACCACAGATTAATTATAACCTATACTAAGGCTTCCATAGATACAAAGATTTGGTTAGGAAAGTTTGGCTGAACTGGTGGATATTTGTTAAAAATTGGAAATCACATCTTAAATTTTAAGGTGATATTGTGTATAAAGCCAGTAAATTTATATATAACCATTAAAACTCGTAGATCCTTTGAAGTGGGGCACTTCCTATATACAAGTTGATAAGACGTGCCGCTGGAATAGGTCACATTTTTCAGCTTGAAAATATGTGAATAGGTGGGCAAAACTATCAGAAATATATGATAAGGTCAATAAAGTTTTCATTACTTGTTTTATGAAAAGCCATGTAACTTTCTTGGTGTTACGGCTGTGGGAAAAGGTTACATTTTTACGTATGCAATATATGAAAAGGTATACATTTTTAAAATCCTAATTATATGAAAAGGGTGGGGTAACAGAACCCCAGCGGCAGTTCCTATCAATTAAGTATTGATTCCTGACTTGGTACAGGCATTTTCTTATATAGAAAATGGTGGATTAAACCTGGTTTTATAGCTAGCTAAACATCTCACTTGTATGACAGTCGCATAAAATTCCATTATATTGACAACGATAGATCTATGATATTTTAAACAGTTGCATTACTATCAGTACATATCAGTTTGACGACAATTATGAGGCACTGCCCCCATAGGTCATGGTCCAGTGACTAATTTTAAATGTTATGGATTTTTGATAGGAACTTCTTATGACAGACCATGATATTTTCTATAAAGTTTCATTACTATCACTACATCTTAATTTGTTGACCATTTCGAAACCCTGCACCCTATGTCATGGTCCAGCAACTTTTAATTAATTAGCAATGTGCTGTCCATCCAATTGTGTTTTTTTTTTCTTCAGAATTTTCTGCTGACAGTTGAGACATATCTCTGTGTCTCCAGTTTCTTACAATTTGTTTTCATTTTGTGTTGTAACACAACAGTCCCAGGTTAGGGGAGGGTTGAGCTCTCACAAACTGGCATGTTTAACACCGCCACGTCTTTATGTGCCTGTCCCAAATTCAGTGGTTATTTTTGGTTAATGTCTATCCTATTTGTTTTTCGTAAAATGTACTGTATGAATTAGGCTGCTAGTTTTATCCTTTGAACTGTTTAACAGTTTTAATGATAGAGCCTTTTAAAGGTGACTATACGGTATGATTTTTTTACATTGTTGAAGTATGTGACCTATGATCAATTTTATCTTTGTCTTTAATGTTTGTGAGATGAAATAGTTTCTAAACTAAACTAGTTTACAATAAAAATCAGTTCAGAAATATCACTTATCTCTTTAATACAGTTGGCGAAAACCCAAGTAAACGGTTAGCAATACTGAGATCACTCTTGGATTTTGGTGGGCTATGATTTGCTCTAGTTTTCTTTTTTGTATTTTGTATACTGTTGTTTTGTCTTTTGATTGTTTTTGTTTTTATGCCCCCTGTTGCAGGCAACGGGGGCATTAAGTGTTACCCTTGACCGTCTTTCCGTCCGTCCGTCCCATTTTCGATTCCGCACTCTAACTTAAGTTTTCCTTATCCAAATTTTATGAAACTCATACTAGTACACAATGCTAAGAACCAATCAAAAACAGCAGACAGAGTTCAAATTTGGGCAGTGATTCACTTACCGTTCTACAGTTATGCCCCTTTTTAACTTTTAAAAATTTCAAAGCTTCAGCGGGGGCATTCGTGTCCTCAGACACATTCTTCTTTTATATTTTTTCTATGGTATTGCCAGTTGGTTTTTCCACTTATGAGTTCTGAATGTTCCTTTAGTAACATTTGCCTCTCTTTTACTATATTAATTTTTGAATACGACAGTTGTTTTCTATTCGTTTGATGCGCTTGATCTTTTGATTTTGCCATTTGATAAGGGACTTTCCGTTTTGAATTTTCCTTGCAGTTCGGTATTTTTGTTATTTTTGCTCTTTTCTAATACATATTGTATCAAAGTATATATGTAGTAACTGATTCATAGCTCAATATTCTTAAATTAAAAGTTAAACATCAGAGCTTATTGGAATGAACTAAGTCCTGATCATCTTTTATAGAGCCAAAATAAAATGTTGCAACCAATCAAAATGGTCGAAATTGCTACCAAACTAGCAAAGAAGGGGGTAAAATTAACAATAGAACCAATTAAAGAAACATGAATAAATCATATAAAGGGACAGTTGCTTTAAACTGTTATGAAATAATATTTGTTATCTCCCTTTTCGATTTTTTGTTTGATGATCCAGTTTACTTGACCACTGAATGAATAATACTGAAAAGTTAAAAAAAAAAAATTGAATTTTTTTTTTGTTTAAGCATAGCAGATTGTTACAAAGTTAAGGATGCTTAAAGGGGCATTAGCTGTCAAATTGATGTTCACCGATTTGACACAAATTCTCATATTTGAATTATAACATACTAAAACGTGTATCCAAATTACAAAAAGTCTGAAATAAACAATTAACAATGCATAGACTCGATAATATATATCAGCATTTCGTGTGTATTCTAGTCTAGACGCCATCTAATTAACCATCGAGATGACCTCCGAAGACTGCCGACGGTCACATAACCCGATATAAACATAAACATAAATATAAATAGATAGCGACTTTTCTAGGTCTGTTTGATTTCATGTTATAGGTTATAAAGATAAGTTAATTATCGTTTTTACCTGTATAAGAATGATTTTTGGTAAATCAATCAACGAAATGGTTCACCTTTGTTTCACTTTCAATGTTGACATTCTTTTCCTTTAAATGGCTGAACACGACTAATACATACGTAACCAATCTCTAGTTAATGGGTTAAATCAAAGGTCACATGAATACGGATTCAATGAGGTTGAATTATTCACTTGCAAGTGAATAATTCATCAGCGATGTTTCTTAGCTTATTTTGACAAAATTAAACTAAACTGGCTGCTTAAAGAGAATTTTTATTTCACTATTTCACTTTCATTAATGATTGAACCAAAACAATCATATTTTACTTCTTTGTTTTTATATATCTCGTGGCTAATGCCCCTTTAATAGGTTTTTATTGAGATGAAGGGGTTCTTCTTGCCATTAGACACAAATACTAGAGTAGCAGTACAGGCTCTATGAAGTCTTTAGTTCAGGGGACACCTCTTCAGTTAAGGTTCATGTGGACCCTTTGTCTAAAATGACCGTGTTTTCACCTCAAAATTTACTCTGAGTACAGACAAACCTGTGTATCTGGAAAAGTTTTATGGCATAGCATGCCCTAGATAAATAAAATTCCAATGCATTTTATGTTTCAGAAAATTAAAACTTAACTGGATTTTTCAGTGCACTTTTTTTCGTACCTACAGAAAGTGACAAAATAAACAAAGTTGGGAAAGAGGTTTGAGAACTTCCCCACAGGTAAAAATTGAAGTGAACTGTATTGATTTACAAGGGCAATAGATACCTGACTATAATTTGTGATTTAAACGGTGTACCTGAGTGGACCATATCAAGTAAAACTCGAACTGTTTGTTAATTTTATCATCTTCTGCAGAGACGAAAAAACTACACAACAAAATCCAATTGAGTTTGTCTATACTCAGAATAAATTTTGAGATGAAAATGCAGCTATAATAGCCAGGGTCCTTATGAACCTTAATATCAACCAAATCATTGAAAAACATTGTTAAGATTTTCATTTTTAAATTAAAATGAGAAGAGTTATTTTACAACCAATACCTTTTGATGTTACTTCAGCTGTGTGTTTGACTATTTACGTTCTTCACGGTTTCTCAAAATTTTGATCAAACAGGAAGCTAGTTAGGACATCTTTATACCTGATTCAGGTAATCTAAATATTTAAATGACATGGGATATACCCGACCCAGATGAATTACCTGTTGTTGATAATCTGACTATAATTATAGTGCCTAACAAGATTTTGTGAGGTAGACAACTTTGACCTTAAAACGATCGTATTTTTGACTTTATTTACTGACTTCTTTTGTTTGTGATTAATTGTAATTATAACATTATAATGAGACTGAAAAATGTTTTCTTTTTGTTAAAATAAACAATAATTTTACCTGCTATAGCCGTGCGTAAAATGTATTTTGGCATTTCTCTTGGAAAAATGACTTGTTTAATGGAATAGAACGTCTGGTTTGTAAATTTTCTCTTTTTTCTCGGGAATAAGCTATTAAAAAATAATTTATCTACTGTATATGTGGAAAATTTTGTGAAAACATAAGAAGTGGCAATTCTTACCTGTTATACCTTTAGTTTCATTGATAAAAATAATATGGACTCGTCCAGTTCCACTTAAGTTACTATACGCATGCTTGTATTGATCTGATTTAATCAATATACATGTATGAAAAAATTGGTTTACTCCTGGTTTGCCCACTTTTAATTATACCAATTATCTATTAGTAAAGAAAACAAAAAAGACAAAAGGTTTAATGAGCATACAATTGTATAGTCTGTTCCAACTTAGCTATATAGTTTATTAGTGTTTTCTATATATAAGGTATTTTATATTTTGTAATTCCATTTTCATTTGTATAGAAAAATAATAAATAAATCAAATATCTTTTCTCTCAATAACTTAATATCAAATCAATCGATTCATTTAACATACATATTGGTACAACTACATGTAATGACAAAACAATGACATTCAGTTATAAAAGTGTCTTATTATTCATTAGTTTTTGAATGATTTTCATGATATAAATACACCAATACAAGTTGTCTTTTATTGCAAACATAATTTATATAATATATGAATCAAGTTTATAAATGCTGTTATCTGCTCTTTGGTCGGGTTGTTGTCTCTTTGACATATTTCCCATTTCCATTCTCAATTTTATTGCATAATGAAATAAACAAAGCACTAATGTAAAATAAGTAATATGGGGCACCATATGTATAATGATGGGAAATACAATCTTTTATATATATATATTTCAAAAGTCACAAAACTAAGTTTGATTTTAACAAAAAATGAATTCTAGGGGTTCTTTGATATGCTGAATCTAACCATGTATTTAGATTTTTGATTTTGGGCCCAGTTTTCAAGTTGGTCCAAATTAGGGTCCAAAATTAAACTTTGTTTGATTTCAACAAAAATTGAATATACAGGGTTCTTTGATATCCTGAATCTAACCATGTATTTATATTTTTTATTTGTGGGCCCTGCTTTCAAATTGGTTCATATTGAGGTCAAAAGGGTCCAAAATTAAACTTTGTTTGATTTCATCAAAAATTGAATTATTGGGGTTCTTTGATATGCCAAATCTAAACGTGTATTTAGATTTTTAATTTTGGGCCCCGTTTTTTTAAATTGGTCTACATTAAGGTCCAAAGGGTCCAAAATTAAACTTAGTTTGAATATAACAAAAATTGAATTCTTGGGGTTCTTTGATATGCTGAATCTAAACATGTGTTAAGATTTTTTATTATGGGCCCAGTTTTCAAGTTGGTCCAAATGGGGGTCCAAAATTAAACTTTGTTTGATTTCAACAAAAATTGAATATATGGGGTTCTTTGATATGCTGAATCTAACCATGTATTTTGATTTTTGGGCCCCGTTATCAAATTGGTCCACATTGATGTCAAAAGGGTCCAAATTAAACATTGTTTGATTTCATCAAAAATTGAATTCTTTGGTTCTTTGATATGCTGAATCTAACCATGTATTCATTCATTCTGTGTCAGAAACCTATGCTGTGTCAAATATTTAATCGCAATCCAAATTCAGAGCTGTATCAAGCTTGAATGTTGTGTCCATACTTGCCCCAACTGTTCAGGGTTCGACCTCTGCGGTCGTATCTGGGAACACTGTCTGTTCTGCGTTATTGGTTTCGGTCTCGTAATCAATAATTACTGTTTCTGGTTGGAAGTTGTAACTGATGTTGTTGTGTCAAATGTTAAGCTTGGCTTCTGAACAGTTGCATTTATATTCTATTTGTTAGAATTAATTGGATATTTTTTTTATTAAATTTCAGAACAGTATATTTATTAGAATTAAAAAAAAAATAAGTTGAATAAATAAAAAGAAGTTTTTAATGACATTTATTCCAATCTTTAGTTTCATTATTTTACTTTTTTACTTTTTTTCAGAATGTACCAACAATTAAAACTATTTGTTGATAATTTGTAAAAATAATAAACATTTTTGTACACATATTTGTATATTTTTTTTATTTTATATTTGTCAAATTCAATACACTTTCCTGCTCAAAACTATATAAAATATAAAATATTTTGGCACATTTTCCTTGATTTATTAGCAGAATATAGTATCTTTTATAAAATTTTACAGGTAAAAAAATAGGTAAAAAAATTGACTATAATTCAGAAATAAACTATAATTGTTAAAACAACAATTCCCCCTATGATTACATATTCATGTAATTAAAAGTGGGCAAACCAAGATGACACCAAAAAATTAAACAGTTTGAAGGTAAACTAATAATAACTTAATCCAATCAAATTGCGTAAGATTCAATTACAAACTGACCTCACCTTTGATCCCTGTAGTAGTAAACCTTTGGCTGATTTGTGTCTTTTGTACTGTAGAACCCAAACGCAGTGTTCCTGCCAGGGAAGCAAGTCCATTCATACTATTACAAACTCGTACTACGTCAACTTGTACCACTAAAAGTCAACTGGTACCAACGTTAACTACCAACTAGAACAACTGCAATCATTGCGAACTTGTACCTCTGCAAACTCATCATTAAAAATATACATTGATATATGCATTGCTTTTGAAAACCTTGATAAAATATTAATTAATTTGCCTTAATAATAAATTCAATAAATAAACATACATGTACAATATACGAATGTTTAATGTTTGTTCTTTCAAATCTTTAAAAAAAATATGAAGCAACACTGCTACAGTTTTCATAATTACGTTTGCCTTGGTTTTTGGTTAACTGCATATAGCACTTACAGTGCTTTGATTTTTCGTCTGTTATTAACCTCTCTGACTTTGGACATATATTTTAATGCACATATACATTTTTATAGACTTTTTCACTTGGAAAAATCCCGAGTCTTTCAGTGTGAGAATTCTGATTTTATACATCAGTTTTATTTGTCAACCAAACACTGCAGAAACACAAACAATAACAAAATAAGAATAGTTTTGTGAGTAATTCTTCTTAGATACTTTTTTATTTTGTAAGATATAAAAAATGCATTAGTTTAGATTCATGTACCTGGATAGGAAATCAGAAATATTGTCAATTGACAAAAATAAACATACAAACACAAAGACCACCAAGTAGAAACAAACATGGTTCAGATAGCCAGACTTGCAACAGGTACATAATGTGGTTGGGTTAAACCAGTTATACATGTTTATATCTCCACAATTCCTCTTCTCGTACATCTGTTCATTTTTTCAATCTGATCAACAGGTGAAATATTTTATAGCTGATTGCTAGTAATAGGTTGTAAGAATAGAGAAAGTACAGTATAATAGATTTGATTTTTTTGTGTTTTTAACCCCACTTTTAAGCACTGCTTTTGGGCTATTTCTTGGCGGTCAGTTTTTATTGGTGGAGGAAGCCGGAGTGCCCAGAGAAAACCACAGACCTTCGATAGGAAAACTGACAATCCTAGTCAATTAAGATTGGAGTCGAGTGCACCTGCACGAGCGAGGTTCGAACTCACAACCTCAGTGTTGACTGGCTAGTGATTACAGTAGTAACTACTTAGACCACTCGGCCACCGAGGCCCCCCAGTATAATAGAAATAATCTATTCATCTTATTCCAGTAATTGACTTTCTGTCTCAAGAGGTTTTTGTAACAACTGAACACCACCTAGTTATCAGGAAGACTAGTTACAATAAACTGTTGACACAGAGATATGTCTCACCTATCAGCATAAAATTCAGAAAAAGACAATCTGATGGACAGCAAAATTACTTTAATATTAATTCAATCACTGGACCATGATCTAGTGGGCGTGGTCTGAAAATGGTCGACAAACTGAGAAGTAGACAGTAATGTAACTTTATAGAAAATATCGTTGTTTATTGTGAGTAGTTACTATCAAACTTAAGCAGAAAAACTTAACATTGAAAATTGCTAATTAATTCAAAGTCACTGGACCATGACAAAGGGGGCAGGGCCTTGATATAGTCATCAAACTGATATGAACTGATAATAATGCAGCTTCATACAAAATATCATTGATCTATCACAAGTATTTCCTATCAACTAACTTATGCAGAAAACTTAACATTGAAAATAGCTAATTAATTCAAAGTCACTGTACCATGACTTAGGGACAGGGCCTCGAAATAGTCGTCAAACTGATATGTACTGATAGTAATGCAACTTCATACAAAATATCAATTATCTATCACAAGTATTCCTTGAAAAATTAACAATTGTTGATGCCGGAGCTGTCGTTGTCGCCGGAAAAGCAACCCCTATGTATTGCTTTCTGCAACTTTTGCTGCAGGCGAGACAAAAACTGATGTGAAGATGCTAGTACAAATGCATACCAAATATCATTGACCTACCACTTGTGGTTTCCCCTAAACTGACCTAATCACAAACTAATACAATGTTGAAGCCACCGCCAGAAACAGCAAGCCTAAGTCTCACTTTTTTTTCTTTATTGCAAGACAAAAACAAAATACTTTATTGCATTATTAAAAACAAAGTTAAGCAATGGGATGAAATGTTTCATCAGTCGAAGAGATGAATTCCAACTGCAACTAAAGAAAATGTTCATTTGGTATAGTAAAAGGGAAAAGCCTTTTTGTATAAGCAGAGAAAAATGGACATTACTTACAGAGGTATGTTTAGAATGACTAAGTCACAATAATGAACGCACACTACTATTACAGTCCATTGAAGGTATTCTGGTAGATTTAAAAGAACAACAAAATATACATTCAATACTTTACTAATTTCTTCAAAAAAATTATAAGGATTATTCCAGAGTCAATACAATTGTTGGACTTTAAATTTTTTATCTACAATTGAAGAGTTGATTTAAAAAAACACATTTATCGAGCTTTAAAAGTGTGTTAAATGAACAAGTGTGCAAGAAGATGAAAACATTGCATAATTCTACTAAATATTGTCATGAGATTTTACCACATAATTAAGTAGTTTTCAGTTTTATATTATGTGATTAAATTGGTAATTTCCACAAATTATCAACTTCAAGCTTTTTACTCTGGTATCCAATAAACACAATTATATCTTGAAGTTTGAACTTAATATTATTTGTTCACAACTGTTTATAAATTATTGGCACCTTTAAAATGTCAAACTTTTATCAAGTTAACAAATTAGCAACTACCAATTACAGCAATAAAATAACCTTCTCTTATTAGATTTAATGTGGACTGGTTATCAAATCATATTATTTATACTGTCCTCATTTTCGTTATGCCAATATGACCGACCGTGCGAGGGCTGTATAGCCAGTCAAGGTCGTTAAAAACTTCCATCATCATTATGCCAATAACAGTTTTATAGTCTTAATAGCCAACTACATGGTACAGGTTTTTCTCATTGTTGAAGGCCATGCAGTGGCCTATAATCTACTTCATTTGAACTCTGGCGGATAGTTGTATCATTGGCAATCATACCCCACCCATCTCCTTATTTTTATATTTAATGCTTTGTTGGTTTATATAAACATGTTTCAATTTCACCACATTTTAAATAGTACAACTTATCATATTTAATACAAGTTACGGCTCTTTTCAGTGGACTATGTATTTGTTCCCTAAAATACAAAGCTACCATTAGAGGCAAATAAAACACAATTGGTAATACACTGTATGGGATGTATAACTTTCAAAGATATAATTATAAGAGTCACATTAGGAACCAAGATATGTCTAGTGAAATGAGCTTACAACATCAAATCTGTGTATCTTTATATTTGGTCAATACAAATTTACATTGTCCATGGGGTACAAAGTTGCATTTAGTTTTTTTCAAAGAACAGTTATTTTATTAACATGAACACATCTGAAATGCTAAATGAACACTTTTGTAAAGTCAAAATGTGACATCTGGCTAAAACCTCCATTACTTTTCATTAAAAATAAAAACCTTACACATCTCTGTTTTATCTAAAACTTTCATAAAAAAATTGTTTATTTGCAATATGAAATGTCAAACATTTATGATAAATCTCTGACAAAAGGATGAACAATTTCCCTGAAAAGTTGAATGGACCACTAAAACAAATGATTCCTACTTTTGAGCGATTCATTAAGTAGTTTTTCTTCTTGTTTAAGATAAACAGTTCTTCCAATTTATAAAAACAACAAACCCTGAAACAATGTCAGAAATCAACAAATAGAACTTATATAATTAGTATGAGAATCCATTAAAAACTTGATCAAATGTAATACCTGATTTAATGACTCTTGAATACACACATACTACCATCTAGATTACAATTGGTTAAAATACTAGTAATGTCAAACAGTCATGGATTTGTTCACAAACACACAAACTGGATGATTGATTTGTCCACATCCATACACATGAAGATAGGACCATTAACTTGTCAGTGCAAGGCTTGTATCCATGATGGCATTGAAACCAGGTTCACACTTGCTGGTAAGTATTTAAAACTGTTTGGAGAAACTAACAGATCTTCCATTAAAATATATGTACAGATTAGAAAAGATTTCCTTTTGAACCCCCTCCTGTAGATGTAGTAAGCATAGACAGATTGAGGGGGTTCTACAAGGAAATCTTAGTGACTATTGTAAGTGAAGAAATATTTTGAGGAAGCTCAAACAACAGAGGAAAAAATCCAAAAGGTGTTTATATTTTGTATTTTGCTTCCAATACATAGTGTTAACATTGGATTAATTATTGATCATTCTGGTTATATATGGTTAACAGCTGACTAGTCAAATCATCACATACTACTAAATTTATAATTACCCAATCTTGTCACACCCTGAAATTCTACTTTTAAACACTCAACCAATCTTCTCAAAATCATAATTGATGACATTTCATCATTGTCAGATAACAGATAAAATTTATTATAATCAAAAGATGAGAAATGATTAAATTGTATAAGACAAATTCAAAGTAGACAAAAGACCTTATCGCTATTTGAAACTCTGAAACAATTGACCCAAAAAATTCCAAAACTTGAACTACTGACGTCATACAATAAATACTTATCTTTTGTGGCATCAGACATTTTCTCTTTTGACATCAAAATTTTACAGGAACATCTGGATGTCCAGTAGTGACAAACAAATAGTGATAAGGTGTATTATACTTTTTAAACTGCTGTTTTTATCAAAGACAGACCATGGAAAAGTATCACTCCATTTGATACAAATGGAAATAATTAATACGGACACAAAAGTGTCTTATTTGGCTGCTAATAATCTATTTTAACAATGCTTCAATCTTTGTTTGTAATGACAACAATAAAACAACAAAAACAACAATGTGTATGTCTATATAACAATGTGTATTCTTAACAGACTAGTTTCAATACCTAATTTGTTGTTGAATGCATTACTTTCATTTTCATACCAAAATAGCATTTTAAAATTTTTTTTTATCAAATTAATAAAAAGACTTATACACAAACTAAAGTTTTCCCATATATGACAAACTGAACCAAACTGTTTAAAAGCATACCATTTTTTACAAAGAATTCATAATCTATAACATATTAACATTGAAACCAGTACATAATTAAACATGAATTATATTTCTGACAAAGGAAGTATGCCTATATATTAGTCCAAAGTTAAGTGCAAATTTGAAAGGTGTCATACATCAATCTTAAACATTTTTTGGCATATTTTTCTCCATAATTTGCTCTGGAGTTTTGGTTACTCATCAGATGTAAAATTTGTATTTATTTCATGAACATCTATAAAATATCCATGACTAAAAATATTTTTTTTACATCTGATGAGTGACAATATCAATTAACCATAAAGAAAATTAGTATGATTTTGGATATAATAATTGTCTCTGGGTAACAAAAAAATATCCTAAAAAATTCAATGTGGGACATTAATATATATGTCTAAATTGGCTTGTGGACTATGTACAACATGCATACATATATTTCCAAACTTAATAAATCTAAAGCAAATACTATTTTAATTTTAAATGCAAATTATAACAGAACAAATATGAAGATAAAAAAGCCAGGTGTGGTGGTATGTTACAGATCTTAATAACTTCCACACATTCAGATAACAAAGAAAGATGTGCATTTTAAGTAAATATTTAGAATTTCTACAATTTTTCATTTCTTTCCACACAAATTCACTTAACTGGCCAGAATTTCTGGATCAGCTGTCCTGTCATATTATGGTTTCATTTCATGTATGTATTATAGAACTGCTATATTGTTTACAGTATTTTTAAGTTTATCTATTGGACGTCTATCAGTCTCAATTAAAGACACCTTTATATTCACTTCAATCAATATAATAAAAAAAAATAATAATTCTGAAATGTAATTGTTAGATTTTAGTACCTCTAATTTGTAGCATGTTATAATTATCAAAAGACCTTTTACGTCCCAATAAACTACAAAATTAAGTATTTTGATTCCTAAATAAAAAAATAATGTTTTATTTTATGTGAAACTTATGTTTACTGAAGAAGGCGGACAATAAATATTATGACAGATCCAAAGCACAATACATCTCAATTCAATGAACATACTGGGTAATGCAAACACAAATGGCACAGGTTTAATAGACAGTGGAAGTGTTCTGTAAAACAAATCTGGTCAGTATTGCAGTAAACAGGTATCTTGTGACATCCAGAGTTCATTACAATATAGTACGGTATACATATCATCTGTTGGTGACAATACTTCATAGAACCATCATCTATATCTATTGAATAATTAAACATCTTTACAGAGTCGTGCGAGATCATGGAATGGTTGAATGACTGACCATATAATCATTTATTCTATCTCTCTAAGAATTTCACACACCCATATTAGCTCACTAGGTCTTTATACAGTAGTTCATACACCCATACTAATTCATTAAGTCTATACTATCATTCCTTAACGATCTTTTCTATAAAACTTTTTACATCTTCCATTTCCTGAAAAAATATTTGAAGAGCATGAACATTTACATCAAGTATTTTGTTAAACATCATGGTGTGCAATTTAGAAACTATATGTGAGTTAAATAAAAGAACAGAGTTCCAATGTCCCCCGCGTTGCACATATTTTATCTATCCAAGGTACAAGGGCAATAACTAAAAAAAACATTTTTTTTTTGTTCAATAGAACTTTTTATAAATATCTTCGAGAAATGAAGGCTTCAGAACAAATGAAATGCAATTTCCGATATAATTAATATTTCCAAGGGGCATAACTCATTAATAATATTTGATCAACACTTATTTTCAAGAGTGTCAAAAACATAATATAAACCTATGATATAAGTTTCATAAAATTCCAGCCAGAATTGTACACATGAAAGTGTTAACAATGCAATTTTGCATATAATTAATATTTCCAAGGGGCATAACTCTTTTAAAAATAATTGATAGGCACTGATTTTAGAATTCTTCAAAGGCATTGCTGATATAAACCTATGACGTAAGTGTCATAAAATTCTGGCAAGAATTGTACATATATGACAACACTAACAATGCAATTTTCCATATAATTAATGTTTCCAAGAGGAATAACTCTTTCAAATAAACTGTTAACACAGACATATGTCTCGCCTATTTGTTATTTAGATAATGCAAATGTTGAAATTAAAAGACAAAATGTAGCAATACTTTAACATGTAAGTTATACAAATATTCAAAGTCAATGAACCATGACTGAAGCTACTTGGCTAAACTATCTCCATGGAAATAAGATGTGCCAATGCTAATACAACTGCATACTAAATACCATTGACTTTTCATAAGTCATTCCCTTTAAACAAACATAGACACAAACATTAACTTGTAAACTATGCAAAAGTTTCAAAGTCAATAAACCATAATGAGGGGTGGGGTTATATAATCTCCATGGAAATGAAACTTGCAAACCAAAAAACATTGACTTAACCTAAAACTGACCTAATCACAAACTAATACATGCAAACTAAGCAAAAATTTCAAAGTCAATAGACCATGACTGAGGGGTAAGCACCAAATATTCTCCATGGAAATGAGATGTGCTAATGCTTATACAACTGCATACCAAATATCATTGATCTACCACTAACAATTCCCCTTAAACTGACCTAATCACAAACTAATACATGAAAACTAAGCAAAAGTTTCAAAGTCAATAGACCATGACTGAGGGGGCGGGGCCAAATAATCTCCATGGAAATGAAATATGCCAATGCTTACACAACTGCATACTAAATATTATTGACTAACCTCTAGTAGTTTCCCATAAACTGACCTAATCACAAACTAATACATGTAATCTAAGCAAAATTTCAAAGTCAATAGACCATGACTGAGGAGACGGGGCCAAATCATCTCCATGGTGACGAGATATTCCAATGCTATTACAATTGCATACCAAATATCATTGACCTACCACTAGTGGTTCACCATAAAGTAGACCTAATCACAAACTAATATATTTTTGCTGCTGCCGCTGATGCCGGAAACAGCATACCTATGTCTCACTTTTTGCTAATATAAACCTATGATATAAGTTTCATTAAAATCTGGCAACAATTGTACACGTGAGTGTGCCAACTATTCAATTTTCCATATAATTAATGTTTCCAAGGGGCATAACTCTTTTAAAAATATTGATTGGTACTGATTTTCGAAATCATCCAAGACATTACGGATTTAATATAAAAAAGAAGATGTGGTATGATTACCAATGAGACAACTCTCCACAAGAGACAAAATGACACAAAAATTAACAACTATAGGTCACCGTACGGCCTTCAACAATGAGCAAAGCCCTTACCACACAGTCAGCTATAAAAGGCCCGGAAATGACAATGAAAAACACTTCAAACTAGAAAAATAACAGCCTAATTTATGTACAAAAAATGAACAAAAAACAAATATGTAACACATAAACAAATGACAACCCCTGAATTACAGGCTCCTGACTTGGGACAGGCACATACATACAGAATGTGGCAGGGTTAAACATGTTAGCGGGATCCCAACCCTCCCCCTAACCTTGGACATTGGTGTAAAAGTACAACATAAGAACGAACTATAATAAAATGCTTCGCTGGGGCGCAGCTTGATACGACCGCAGAGGTCGAACCCTGAACAGTTGGGGCAAGTATGGACACAACATTCAAGCTTGATACAGCTCTGAATTTGGATTGTTATTAAATATTTGACACAGCATAGGTTTCTGACACAGAAAGCATGTGGTTAAGAACTTGAATTTTTTTAATTTACCTATTATGGTCCAATGTCCAAAATCAAAATACATGGTTAGATTCAGCATATCAAAGAACCCCATATATTCAATTTTTGTTAAAATCAAACAAAGTTTAATTTTGGACCCCAACTTGAACAAACTTGAAAACTGGGCCCATAATCAAAAATCTAAACACATGTTTAGATTCAGCATATCAAAGAACCCCAAGAATTCAATTTTTGCTAAAATCAAACTAAGTTTAATTTTGGACCCTTTGGACCTTAATGTAGACCAATTTAAAAAACGGGACTTAAAATTAAAAATCTAAATACACGGTTAGATTTGGAATATCAAAGAACCCCAATAATTAAATTTTTGATGAAATCAAACAAAGTTTAATTTTGGACCCTTTTGACCTCAATATGAACCAATTTGATAGCGGGGCCCACAAATAAAAAATCTAAATTCATGGTTAGATTCAGCATATCAAAGAACCCCATATATTCAATTTTTGTTGAAATCAAAAAAAGTTTAATTTTGGACCCCAACTTGGACCAACTTGAAAACTGGGCCCATAATCAAAAATCTAAACACATGTTTAGATTCAGCATATCAAACAACCCCAAGAATTCAATTTTTGTTAAAATCAAACTAAGTTTAATTTTGGACCCTTTGGACCTCAATGAAGACCAATTTAAAAAACAGGACCCAAATTAAAAATCTAAAATACGGTTAGATTTGGCATATCAAAGAACCCCAATAATTCAATTTTTGATGAAATCAAACAAAGTTTAATTTTGGACCCTTTTGACCTCAATATGAACCAATTTGATAGCGGGGCCTACAAATAAAAAATCTAAATACATGGTTAGATTCAGCATATCAAAGAACCTCATATATTCAATTTTTGTTGAAATCAAACAAAGTTTTATTTTGGACCCCAATTTGGACCAACTTGAAAACTGGGCCCATAATCAAAAATCTAAATACATGTTTAGATTCAGCATATCAAAGAACCCCATATATTCAATTTTTGTTGAAATCAAACAAAGTTTAAATACTGGACCCTATCTTGGACCAACTTGAAAACTGGGCCCATAATCAAAAATCTAAACACATGTTTAGATTCAGCATATCAAAGAACCCCAAGAATTCAATTTTTGTTAAAATCAAACTAAGTTTAATTTTGGACCCTTTAAACCTTAATGTAGACCAATTTAAAAAACAGGACCCAAAATTAAAAATCTAAATACACGGTTAGATTTGGAATATCAAAGAACCCCAATAATTCAATTTTAGATGAAATCAAACAAAGTTTAATTTTGGACCCTTTTGACCTCAATATGAACCAATTTGATAACGGGGTCCACAAATAAAAAATCTAAATACATGGTTATATTCAGCATATCAAAGAACCCCATATATTCAATTTTTGTTGAAATCAAACAAAGTTTAATTTTGGACCCCAATTTGGACCAACTTGAAAACTGGGCCAAAAATCAAAATTCTAAATACATGTTTAGATTCAGCATATCAAAGAACCTCATATATTCAATTTTTGCTAAAATCAAACAAAGTTTAATTTTGGACCCTTTGGACCTTTAATGTAGACCAATTTGAAAACGGGACCCAAAATTAAAAATGTAAATAACTGTTAGATTCGGCATAACAAATAAATAAATGTGATCAAAGATTTTACAAATCTAATGCGCCATACTGTGCAATTAAAGATTACTTCTTGAAATTTTTCAATATTTGAAATTTGAAAAAAAAAAAATATTTGAAGAATAATTCTTTTTAATTTCTGAATTCTGAAATGAGAAAAAATTGACCCCCCCACAATTCCTTTTTATCCCCCCCCCCCCCCCTTTTTTCCCCCAAAAAATTCTTTCCCTCAAGATATGGTCATAATCTCAATTCAAATTTCCAATGGAGTTGGCAACCATAATTACCCATTTAAATTTACCATAGTGCTAACTTAATCTATTTTAAAATAGAATTAAAAATATAGTGTCAAATCTTTCATATGGATTTTTTTGTAAAAAAAAAAGATGCAACATTTGCAGATATTTTTACTGGTCTTACTTTATTAATATGCATTTCTTTAAACATAATTTAAAAGCAGTGTAAGGGAAGTAACCAAAACGCTGTATTTGGATTATTTCCCTTACACTGTTTTAAATTATCTTTATTGTTCATTAACCATTACTTTATACATAATTTAAAAGCAGTGTAAGGGAGATAATTTCAATGATGAATTTGATTTATCTCCTTTACACTGCTTTAAATTATGTTTTGTACTAAAATATTTGTCCATTAACCAGGACAACCTTGTTTTCCCCCCCTTTTTTGCCCCTAATTCCTAAACGGTTTGAGCCATAACCCCCCAAAGCAAATCCTAACCACCCTTTGTGGTATGGAAACTTGTAGTATAATTTTAGAGAGATCCATACACCGTTCCACAGTTATTGTCTGGAAACTAGAAAATGCTTATTTTTGGCCCCTTTTTGGCCCCTAATTCCTTAACTGTTGGTACCATAACCCCCAAAATCAATCCCAACCTTCCTTTTGTGGTATTTAACCTTATGGTCAAATTTCAAAAAGATCCATTCACTTAAACTAAAGTTAGAGTGCGAAAACCAATGTGTCTTCGGACGACGACGCCGGACGACGACGAAGACAGACGACGACGACGACGACGACGCCAACGTCATACCAATATACGACCACAAAATTTTTTTGCGGTCGTATAAAAATCAGTTGAAAGAGGCTTAACTCATCAGATGGATAAAAATACAAATACTACAATTACAAGTGGTTGTGGCCGGGTACTTAAACCTATGATATAAGTTTTATAAAAATCTGGCAAGAATTGTACACATGAGAGCGCTAGCAAGTCCGGACAGACACCCAATATTTCTATGTCCCGCCCCCCCCCCCCCAACATGTTGCACGGGGGACAAAAAACAATATGCACACATATATTCAAACTTTAAAGGGATATTATAATATAAATAAACTATCTACAATTAAAAAGTTTCTGTATTTTCAAACAATACATAAGTGTAGTAAAGGTAAGCTGTATCATTCAAACCATAGATTAAAACTCATACTGTAAATTCAGAAATTATTGTGTGCATTTATTAATGCGATTGTTTGAGAATGAAGACAAGTGCAAATTTAATTCTTGAGATTGTTTGAGAATGAAGACAAGTGCAAATGCAATTATTGAGATTGTTTGAGAATGAATACAAGTGCAAATTTAATTATTGCAATTCCAGGAAGCGCTGCAAATAAATAATGCTATGGAAATTCAAAATACCAGATCTTATTTTTGTGACACCTATCTCGTTGCAATTTTTGCAATAATAAAAACATTGTAAAAATTTCTGAATTTACAGTACTATAAAATGAAAAAGTTAATGATGGTAGATCATGTTTACAATCGAACCTCGTTAAGTGGAAGTCAAAAGGTAACGGACGAAAGTATTCGACTTATCTAATGTTCGACTCATCCTATGTCGAGTGACGTCATAAATTTGCAATGCATGAAAAACAGTATGAGATTTGTATAAACTAGTAATTTTGAACAGAGTTCCATTTTTTTTTATATGACAATTTATGATTGTGTATTCAAGCTTCATACTTTTGTGTGCATCTTTGTACAGATACAAAACATTCATTACAAAGGTCAGTCACTATAAATTATGGAATCTCTCTGGGAACGAAATAAGTTTGAGGAATGTGAACTGTTTTCACAGATCAAAAAGACCGACTTCTAATTATCGTACATTTGTTATAATTGTCTTAATCCTTTTAATTATTGTAACTAGTGAATTTTAATTCTAAAGATTAATTTACTCTCGGCTTGGATCATTTAAATTCATTTCTTTTTATATCAGGCGAAATAAGTTCAGCACATTAAAGTTCTATTTCCAAGGAAGATCATAAAAGGTGTTAATTATCAGTCACAAACAAATAAACATGTCATTTTAAATGTTTTATACAAATAAGTATGTTTACACAGTTAATCACTGATGAAAATGATAAGGTAACAATAGAAAAACATCCGATTTAAATTTTAGTTTTTAAGTTTTTATTTTCGAAATTTCTTACTTTCAAACTTTCAGACATCAGGGTTAATTTCCATTTATTTCACATCTATTGGACTATAAAATTTACTCCACTTAACCAAGAGTAAGAATCAACCAAGTTTAAATCATCAGAGGTCAAAATGAATTGGTCAAACAGTAATTTTACTGGGACTGAAAATTACCTGGACATTTCTGAGTTTTCAACAAAACTGAGTTCGATACAGCGAGGTTCGACTGTAATTATCAAATGAATATATTATAAAAATTTCATTCTTTAAGTAGTAACTGTGGATGGTGGTTGTTCATCCCTTTATTAACCCTTACAATGCAGGTTTGTATTTAAATGGGTTTGGTATTATTTTCATGGTACAATATGGTAAACTACATGTCTCTCAGTATTGATTAAAGCAGTCCTGAATTCCCCCATGCAGTTCTTTTGGTGTATTGTTTTAGCGTTTATCAAGAGGAAATTTACATACCAACACCTTTGTTTGCACACGGTGTTTTCAAGTTTTCAGGAACAGTGGGATTGGAGTGAGCTTTAGCTTTATACATTACCTCTTCACATGAGCTATGCATCATATGGTAACTTTTGAACACTATATTCTTAAGATGTGTAGATAAAGTTCTATTGGTTAGTTCACCCCACTTGTAGGGTACCATGGGATCTTCATAACCATGACCTTGAAACACTGGAAGATTGCCTACATCTCCTTTAATGGCCTACATAAAATACAATAATAGCATTATTAAACAGGGAAACCTTGGAACACTGGAAGATTGCCTACATCTCCTTTAATGGCCTACATAAAATACAATAATAGCATTATTAAACAGGGAAACCTTGGAACACTGGAAGATTGCCTACATCTCCTTTAATGGCCTACATAAAAATACAATAATAGTATTATTAAACAGGGAAACCTTGGAACACAGTTAAAATAATGTGAAGAATAACAAACGCAAACTTTGATATACTGTAAATTCAGAAAGTATTGAATGCATTTATTATTGTGATTTTGTCATTTTAGACTAAAATGCGATTTTAATTTTTGCGATATGAAAAAAATCCTGTTTAATTCATATAAAAAATTTCAAAATGTGAGTTTAAATTATTGCGATTATAACCCTGTTGCATTTTTCGCAATAATAAAAACATCGCAATAATTTCTGAATTTACAGTAACTCTTAATTTCATGGTTGTAACATAAAAATGTAATTATAATAATTGAATGCTCCTTCTTATAATTCTAGAGGGTTGTAAAATGTTGATTGAGCACACATTTATAGTCATACTAAATGTGCTTCGGTCAACGATTTTACACCCCAATAAAATTGTAAAAAGAAGCATTCAATTCTTAAGTATTAAAGTCTTTAGTGATCTCTATGACAGTTTGTTTAACAACTTAATATTATGCTTTGGATGCCTTCTAACTGTTTAATAGAACAGTCCACCAGCAGTGGTATCAACCAAGTGCTTGGAAATTGAATCAACACTTTATAAATTCTGTACGTCCGCAGTGCTTTTCGGGATTTAATTTCATCAGAACGCTAAAATTTGATGCCAGGGATGTATAAATACCTAGAAACGTTCGGAGCTACATGACCGAAATGGATCTAAAATGAATAGCTAAATTCATCTAAAGTCATGGCCATACTTTGTAATTTGTATTTGGTTGTAATGTAAATAAATGTTAGATTGCATTACTGCCTTACACTCCTCATTATATTAGTGAAGAGAAGATGGAAGTCAGAATACTCATTGAAAACCATTGGCATCTGATGAGGAAAAGAACAAACTTTTACAATAATTTGTTAAGATCCAATGAACTTTGTCAAATTTGTAAATGACTATGTATTTCTCAGACCTCTACTTTTAGTGACTATGTTTAAGTAATTAGCATATGATTATGCCAACAAACTCATTCTCCACTGAGGTAAATTTTCCAATATGGATCACATCAGAAAAATATTCGTTATATACAAATATTGTGGATTCATTTATTTAAAATTTGGAATTTATTTTTCTATTGAATTAAATCAAAATAATGGGGAATGTGTCCATGGGACATGCTTGCATATAACGTTATAAAGGGACGTAACTCATGAATAGTAAAGTAACACTACCCAAATTCGTTCTTGATCTGAGTTTTGTGGTAATAAACATTGTGTATAAGTTTCATAACATTTGGTTGAGGCAAACTTAAGTTAGAGAAAGGAAACGAAAAATTCAGCAATTTTTCCATTTGTAAAGGTCAGAACGTTAACTCTAGAACGGTAAAAGTGACGCCACCAAAATTCAAACTTGATCTGTGTTTTGTGGTTATTAGCATTGTGTATAAGATTCTTAACATTTGGTTGAGGCAAACTAATGTTAGAGAACAGAAACCAATTTGGGATGTACAGACAAGGGTAAAACTTATCGCCCCCTCCACTATAGTGGGGCATAATAAAAGTTCAACTACAGCCACAAAAATCCATGAAATTAAGTTCCCCACTAATTATAATGAATTCACAATATAAGCCAAGCTTTAAGATTTCTTACATCTGGGAACTTCTGATGAAGTGGAAGCCATGAACTAAGGGCTATAACTCCAGCTAAAGGTTTTCCTAATGTCAATGCTGTATATAATGATACTGCTCCTCCCTGAGAAAATCCTCCCACAAATATTTTGTTGCTAGGGATACCTTTATCTTCTTCTTCTTTAATTAGCTGTTTTACTGAAAATAGACCAATATAATACAAAAATAAAATATTTTCAATTATGACATCTTCGAGGTTTAAGGTTTAAAACATTAAAAGTTAAAGCTTCCAATAATGAAATAATTTAAATAAGCTTAAGTAATAGCCTCTTTTCCAGTCTTGGTAGAAATTGGACTGATTATAGTAATAACATCTGATTATAGTTGGCCATACAAATTGTGTGAAAGGAACTGAACAGGTAGTTGCTTTACTTATTTAGGGATCATTTTGAGAATAGAAAGTGTACAGGTACTTGAACACATATCGTCATGCAAGCTACTATACAGAAAAATCAAGTGATTCACAGCAATACAGATTTAAATTGGTTTATGTAATAATATACAATAAGCCATATTTGATGGTGGTTTGGTTATCAACCTGTACTTTGGTGGGGTTTGTGTTGCTTAGTCTTTAGTTTTCTATGTTGTGTCATCTGTACTATTATTTGTCTGTTTGTCTTTTTATTTTTGGCCATGGCGTTGTCAGTTTGTTTTCGATCTATGAGTTTGACTGTCCCTCTGGTATCTTTCGTCCTTCTTTTAAAGGATCAACACAAAGTGAGCAAGTAATTGTCCATTTAATAGATATTTCAGAATTCCTAAATTGTATTTTATCTTCAAATAATTTTCTATTTTGCATAACATGTAAAAGCAATTGAAGCCACCCAAGAGAATTCTAAAGTATGTCAATAAGTCATTTCAGTAAGAAGATGGGGCTCATCAACACACCCATGACCGTACGACTTTACTTACATATTTCTGACGACCTTTTTATTCCTTCTTCGTCTGAAGGACTTTCAGGTGATAAACCAAATATATCAAACCTGTAAAATATCATATATAATGAACATATCTTTCTGACTACATAGCAGAGACAATATCCTTTTAGAACACATATTTTTTGTGTTACGTTTTTGTCAGCTTTATAAGAAACTCTCCTTATATCATCTAACATGTTTATTGTTATCTTTTATTGACTTGAGCAATAGAGCTCTATTGACAATGAGATTGTATTGTTATTGTCTGTGGTGGTGTATCATATCATGCTTATAAACATAATATCTCTTTCATCCCTACTGAAGAAAATATATTTTGTAAAAAGAATGTAATGCACACTAAGTATTTCAAACTTTTCTCTGGATTAAATATTATGTAATGTATCTATTGTTCTTTTATAAACTCTACTCTGTTCAGCGTTCCTATAATAATTATACTTTACCATGATGGCATTCTCATCCCTGCATTAACAGTCACTGGTTGTGCTGGTCTGAAAAAAACAAATTTAACAAAAATTTAATTAGTATAAAAACTACAGATGAACCATAAGCTGAGAGGCAACCTGAGTGTGTTGGTAATGAAGACTGTGAAGTATGCTGACAATTTATGTCAAATGTTGGTAATCAATAAATGACATTTGGGTTTAAGACCATGCAATATACAGAAACAAAACTTTTCATAATTTTCCTTGAAATCCAAATTTTAGCTAAATGTCAGTCTAATTATAGCTGATGTGACATTGCCCTTCAACCCATTGATTTTAAATTTAATTGCTTTTATTCTCTCCTGAAGAAGCATATTCATGCAAGTTTGGTAAAGTTTTCATTTCTTTTTCAAATAAAAGAACAGAGTTCCATTGTCCCCCATGTTGTACATATCTTATCTGTCCAAGGTCGATCACTAAACAAAACAAATTTTAAAAAATTTTAGAAGACGACTTAAAAGCAATTTCTGTTATATCTAGTATTTCAAAGGGGCATTATTCATTAAAAATATTTGATCAACAAATGTTTTCCAAATTGTCCTTGACATTGCTAATATTAACCTTTGGTGTGAATTTGATATAAATCTGACAAGAATTGTACATGTGAGAGCACTTACATTGTAATTTTCCATATAACTAATATTTCAAAGGGGCATATAACTCTTTTAAAAATAATTGATCGGCACTGATTTTTGAACTCGTGCGAGACAATGCTAATATAGACCTACAATACAAGTTTCATAAAAATATGGCAAGAATTGTACACATGAGAGAGCTAACAAAGCAATTTTCAATATTATGAATATTTCTAAGGGCCATAACTCTTGAAAATTATTAATCAGCACTGATTTTTTAAACTCATCCAAGACATTGCTAACATAAACCTACAATTTAATTTTCATAAAAATCTGGCAAGAATTGTACACATGAGAGCACTAACGATGCAATTTTTCCATAAAATTAATGTTTCCAAGGGGCATAACTCTTATAAAATTACTTCATCAGCACTGAATTTTTATCTCGTCTGAGACATTGCTGATATAAACCTAAAATATAAGTTGCATAAAAATCTGGCAAGAATTGTACACATGAGAGCTATAACTTTGCAATTTTCCATATTAGTAATATTTCTAAGGGCCATAACTCTTATAAAAATATTTCATCTGCACTGATTTGCGAACTTGTCCAAGATATTCCTGATATAAAACTACAATATAAGTATCATAAAAATCTGGCAAGAATTGTATACATGAGAGCGCTTACGATGCAATTTTTTATATGACAAATGTTTCCAAGGGGCATTGACTCTTTAAAAAATAGTTCATCGGCACTGATTTTTGAACTCTTCTGAGACATTGCTGATATAAACCTATGCTATAAGTTTTATAAAAATCTGGCACAAATTGTACATGTGAGAGGGCTATCTAGAATGGATGGATGGACGCCCAGTATTTCTATATCCCCCGCAACGCATTGCACGGGGGACAAAATTTTCTCTACACAAACTAACATTGACCTTGACCTTTGACCTACGGACTGGAAGTTCAATAGGTGCATTGTTCTCTCAAGCCTAGCCTGATGAAAGTTAGACACATTGGTAAAAAAATATCTTCAAGAAAACTAAATTTTGATCTACTGGTAATTCAAGTGTATCAATAGGGGTATTCTTCACCCAATGGGCATTATCAAACCAAATTTGGTAAAGATACTGTGTATGGATCAAATACACTGCACAGAAACTGAAATATTGATAAAAAGACAGCTTTTATCAAATTATAAGCCAACTACATCACAACTCCACTACAAAAATATATAGGGTAAGGGTAGTTAGTTGTTTTCTTGTTTATATTTATAACAGAATAGAATTAAAGTATGATGTGCCATAAAATTATATTATTTGAGTTATCTCCCCTCATATATTAGATTCTGTTTTCATAAATATTTTTATTTAAACAAAATTTATATGCATGACAATAAATTAATTTAGTTAGTTAGTTGTTTTCTTGTTTATATGACAGAATAGAATTAAAGTATGATGTGCCATAAAATTATGAAATTAAAATTTGCTAATATCAGTTAAAAAATTTCTGAACATTTGAAGATCAAGATGGCAATAATAAATAAATTATCCAATAATACCTTAAAGATGATAGCATTTATATAAATGCATAGTCTTGTACATCACAAACATTTTATTTGTTTTTTGTCTATTCAAATGAATTGTTTCATATTTTTCATGTCGGGGCCTTTTGTAGCCGACTATACTGTATGGGTTTTCTCATTGTTGAAGGCCGTACTGTTGCCTATAATTGCTTACATCCACTTTATTATGAACTTTGGGGGATAGTTGTCATTGGCAATCATACCACATCTTCTTATGTTTATATTAAGTGTAGCAAGAATGGCATAACCTTCCAAAGCATCTTTACCTTTCTGTGTTTTGTAAACTTTTGTTCTTTTTCTTTGGGGTATTAATTTGTCTGACAACATTCAACTTAAAAAATTTAATTGCCTATTGGTTACTTTTGATCAACTATCAAATGTTTTAAATCACATAAAATATTGCTTGATGTGTTGATTTTAGAGGTCAGTTATAGGCAGGTACCCATTTAAGCAGTTTTTATTTTTAAACATGTTTCCATCAGTGATCAATTCACATAGGTTTTACTGTCCTAGATTAAAACCTATCTCATCTTAAAATCTGTGAATTTACTTCAACACAAATAATGAACTTTACAAGCTTGTTTATATATACAGATTCAAAGTTTATTTTCAATTTCTTGTTCTACAAACATTAACAAGTCTTTGCTTATGTTACTTATCTTATTAAACAAATCTATATACTTACGCTGTAGGGCAAACACAATGTACATGTTCAAATTTTAATGCTTTAAAACCAGCTGCCCAGCCATGCCTATAAATACAGAAATAAAATGGTTTTATCAACTTTTTAAATAATATTTCAATAAACATCAATAACATACTGTAAATGTGACCTTTATACAAAGTTTCAATCTTATTATAACATGATTTAGTGATTGTTGATGAAAAGGGGGAAAAGGGGGAAAAGGGGGGGGGGGGGGGGGGGGGGGGGGGGGGGGGGGCAATACTTTCTAGACACACCACAACTTAATAATAATATGGTGGTCACCATAGTCTTAAAAATAACTCAAAACATATGAATAAGTACAAAATTGCCCAAAATAAAGACCAGGTAAGAAAAATTTCAAGAAAGATGACTCAGTGATTAATTTGACATATAAACCCATTCATATCTTAGATCATAAAAAAGCTTGGTTTTCTGGCATTTTGATAAATAAAACTGGTTTTAAGATTTAGGCAACACTCAATACTTATTTTTTTTTCATTTACAGAAATTGTTCTGTAGTTTTTTATGTTTACTCTTTTAACTCAGAGTACAAATCATTAATGATTTTTGTATTCATAACATCTTTAGAAACCTCCATACACTTAGGTCATATTGTATTGGCTGGTTGACCTATTGATTCAGTATCGGCTAGTTGACCTATTGATTCAGAGAATTATCTTGAGAAATCATAAAGCACATAATAAATGGTCTCAGATTTACAACAACTTTCAATAGAATAACATGTTGTTCATTCATAGGGCAAAGTTTTCTATATTCATAAAATGTTAATTCTACATCCAGATATAGATAGCACCTCTTTTTTTATTAATTTTGGTTTTGATAGTTTTCAAAAAATGTTCAACATTGTAATTTTTTCACTGTCTTGTAGATGACAACAAAAATCCATGATCGATGGTCAAACCAAGTAATAAAATGTTAGTTAACTGAGGAATCGAAATAAGTTATAAAATGTTAGTTCACTGAGGGATCAAAATAAGTTATAAAATGTTAGTTCACTGAGGGATCAAAATAAGTTATAAAATGTTAGTTAACTGAGGAATCAAAATAAGTTATAAAATGTTAGTTAACTGAGGGATCAAAATAAGTTATAAAATGTTAGTTCACTGAGGAATCAAAATAAGTTATAAAATGTTAGTTCACTGAGGGATCAAAATAAGTTATAAAATGTTAGTTCACTGAGGGATCAAAATAAGTTATAAAATGTTAGTTCACTGAGGAATCAACATAAGTTATAAAATGTTAGTTCACTGAGGAATCAAAATTGTATCATGATGTTTGTTCTTCACATGGAAATAAAAAAGATCATTAGAGGTAATGTCATTGTCTGGAGACATCTACCCATCAGGTGCCATACACAAATTATTCTATGAAATTGTGGAATTAAAGTAATGAATTTTATTGTCTGTTAGTTATTTTATCCATTCAGATTCATTATAAGTAACTAATGAAATCAGAAATCAGTTACTATTCAGTATATATATAATAAAATTTATTGTTGTAATCAAGTAACATACTATTTATAGCATTTTATATAATGCTGCATACTGTATTCTTTGAGAAAACACTGGCTGGGTTTTTTTGTTTGTTTTTTTGTTTGTTTGGTAATGCATTATTTAAAACATACAGGTGCTCTTTTCACAAAATATCTTCGACTAAAATTGATCGTAAGTTATACTGAAATGTTCATGACTTACGAGTATTTTCACTCGTAAGATTTTTTGTGAAATGAGTCGCAGTTCCTTAAATTCTCTGTTGTTAAATTTAGAAATTATTTAGAAACTAAGGTTCCAACTCCTTTTGGCAAAGCTGACCTTAGATTGTTTAAGTTAATCTTTTTACGGCTCCCTATTGGTTATATAAGTTGACCTTAGATTATTTAAGCTAATCTTTTTACGACTCCATATTGGTTATATAAGTTGACCTTAGATTGTTTAAGCTAATCTTTTTACGGTTCTCTATTGGTTATATAAGTTGACCTTAGATTGTTTAAGCTAATCTTTTTACGGTTCTCTATTGATCATATAGCTCCTAGCAGATTCAAAAATGTATCCATCCTTGGCTTTCAATGTTTTTGTTTTTGTTTTAGCATTCCCTATGAATAATAATCTAGAAGAATGCTTAGGACACACATCATGGATAACCTTGCTAAAATTAGCAAACACTGTGATAAAGATCATTTGAAACCTTTATTTATGACTGTGTTTTTTCAATTATCTTGCAGACTAAACAATAATACATGCATCCTGTAATTTATGTAAAAATTAACTCACCCTGTGTCACCAAGACCATGTAAAAATATCAGCTGAAAAGAGAAAAACGTGTATCATATATATGTCATTATATAATTAAACTTTATAAGAAACAAAATATTCATAAGAGAAAAGAACAATAGCTACACTGTTCTCATGAATATATACTAAAACCATAATGAATAGTGGTAGGTAAGATCAGTGTTTTGTTTTGGTTTTTTTTCAAATAATTTTGGATGTTTGATTATCATATTTGTAATAGAACCATCTCAAGGTTATCATGTAATTATGCACTGACCATTTATCTGTAGAGCATGGTTTGTAAATATATTGTTAAATTTTAAATTTGTTTAAAACAAATATTTGTTTCAGAAGGAAAGTGAAAGAAAAAACAGTTTGTTTCTATTAAAAAAAATGCCACTATTTATTCAAATTCTGGAAGAGCAGTTATATTCAATAACATAATGTTGTTGCATATACAATAAATGTTTTAGAATGTTAAAAAAAATACTGAATTTTTAACAAATTAACACATGTAAGGAAATCATGTAATAATATGTCCTTCAATACTTATTTTTTCAAGCATTAACCTTAAAACTTATCGTTATCAGTTGTTCATACATGCTGAAGAATGAGTGTTGCATGCGATATTGTTTAAACTATGACCCAACTCACTATTAGACATTGACAAAAAATTTACTGGTTTGTCAAGGCATGGGCATAAAAAAAATCAAAATATTGTCAAACATGAAGTGTTTACCTGCAAAACTGAAATAAATTACACACTTCCCATCCTAATTAAGTTTCAAACCAAATATCAAATTATTTCTCAATACAGAAGCTGAGAAATATGTGACAAAAAATGTATGTGTTCAGTAGGTATAAAATAAAAATTCTTAGTATCATGAAATTGAAAGTGACTGTCTAGCAGCACTGAAAAATCTTGGTGTTAAATTACACAGTTTAAACCATCTTAAAAAAGTTCCACATCAATATCAATTTTTTTTTACAATACACAGTTTACAGGTTACACAATCCAAGCAAAATGCATCAAAAATAATTAGACAAACTATTCTAACATTTCTAAATAAATAAATTATATATATGCATAACTTTTTTAATTATCTGACAGCATTTAGTCTGAGCTTAATACAAAGTGTCAATTATATCCAAACCATAGTCCATTACTGTTGACACATCAAAATTCAGAATGATTTTGTCGAATGTAGTAATAAGTCTGAAGTTAATGGTTTCGCTAATTAACATTGATTTTGTCCTTATTACACAATTAACAAATCTTCTTATACTAAAGGGAATTGTCATAGTAACACTAGATTATGGCATACACATTTTTACTGTATTCTGAAAATGTAAGGGCATTATGGAAGGTGCTAAATAAGTATAAATAAATTGAGAATATGTCCATGGGACACAGATGATGCCCCAATTGAATATAACGTTATACAGGGACATAACTCAAGAGCGGCAAAAGTGACGCCACAAAATTCAATCATGATCTGTGTTTTGTGGTAATAAGCATTGTGTATAAGGTTCATAACATTTGGTTGAGGCAAACTAAAAGTTAGAGAACAGAAACTAATTAAGGGACTTATGGATGGATGGACAATGGTAACACTTGATGCCTCCTCCCGGGAGCATAAGAAAAATTTAGCAAAAAGGTTTTTTGTGCTTTTAGAAAATAAGAAATACAAAGTTGTTTTGGGTTGATATGAAATTTCCATTCCATTTAGATAAACCAACTGTAGATTGGTTGATTGATTGATGTTTTAATGCCACTTTCAGCATTCAGTTTTTATTGGTGGAGGAAGACATATTACACAGAGAGGAAGACATATTACACAGAGAAAACCACTGGCCTTCGGTAGGAAAAACGTTAATCAGAAACTGAAAGGAGATAAATCATCTTAAAAACATGGGAATGAGACTGAACATAGGTAACACATCCATACCCTTATCAACCATAACACAAATCCTACAAGTATAAAAGAAATGTCTGCAAACTTCCAGTTCAGAAACAATATAGTAAATTATATTGTGTTCATATTATTTTGAATGACAGGATGCAGGGTGTATTGTATACATTAATAAAGTAGCAACCCAACAAAAAAAAAGGCATTTAGAGTTTAACATACTCAAGTCATTTTACAATGGGTCAAGCTCTAAATCACCTCTAGCCTAAATAAGTGTGTAGTGTGGAAACTGTATCACTACTAAATGCCCAAAGTTTGCTATTGAAAGTTATCATTATGAATTTTTGTATTTCCTTTAAAATTTGATTAACCCTGTATGAGGACTAAAAATTTATTCAAAAGAAAATCATAACTAGTTCTCTTTTTTACATTTATGTCTTAAAATGAAGAACTTTCTTTCTACATGACATAAGGAAAATAAATGTGGATAGTGTCCACATGTGGACACAGATGATGCCCCCGCTTGCATATCATATAGTTATAAAGGGACATAACTGAAGAACGATAAAAGTGACGCTACCCAAATTTGAACTTGATCTGAGTTTTGTGGTAATAAGCATTGTGTGTAAGTCTCATAACATTTGGTTGAGGATAACTTAAGTAGAGAACAGAAACTAAAAATTCAGCAATTTTTCTATTTGTAAACACGCATAACTCTAGAACGGTTGTGTATAAGTTTTATAACATTTGGTTGAGACAAACTAAACAATTCAGCAATTTTTATGTTTATAAAGGGACATAACTCAAGAATGGTAAAAGTGTTGCCACCAAATTTCGTACTTAATCTGTATTATGTAGTAATAAGCATTGTGTATAAGTTTCATAAAATTTGGTTGAGGCAAACTAAAGTTAGAAAACGGAAACAAAAAATTTGTACTTGATCTTAGTTTTGTGGTAATGAATATTGTGTATAGGTTTCATAATGTTTGGTTGGGGCAAACTTAAGTTACAGAATGGAAACTGAAAATTCTGCAATCTTTCGATTTATAAAGGGGCATAACTCAATAATGGTTAAAGTGACACTACCCAAATTCAACTTGATCTGTGTTTTATCAGTGGAAGTCAAAATTAAACATTGCATTGTATAAAGCATTGATTGTAGATTCAACTATAATCATATGCATGGACAAAGGAAGATAACTCCAATTTTAAAAATTACTTGATATTTAGAAGAAAATAAAAATTTTGCAATTTTTCCATTTATTAAGGGGCATAACTCTAGAATGGTTAAAGTGACACCACCAAAATTCAAACTTGATCTGTGTTTTGTGGTAATAAGCATTGTGTATAAGTTTCATAACATTTGGTTGAGGCAAACTTAAGTTAGAGAACGGAAACTAAAAATTTTGCAATTTTTCCATTTATAAAGGGGCACAACTCTAGAACGGTTAAAGTGACGCCACCAAAATTCAAACTTGATCTGTGTTTAGTGGTAATAAGCATTGTATATAAGTTTCATAACATTTGGTTGAGGCAAACTCAAGTTAGAGAACGGAAACCAATTTTGGGACGTACGCACGTTCGTACCTACGTACAGATGGACAAGGGTTAAACTTAATGCCCCCACCGCTACGGTGGGGGCATAAAATCAAGCATATATGTTGACCTGAAAATGTCCAAGAAAGTGTGTTGTAATAAAGTGTGTATAACAGTCATCATTTTGCTATAATTCCTTTGTTTACCATGTTCTCAGTGCTAACAATTACATCTATTTACCACAAACAAAGAACAAATATGTTTCTCCTTTTCTCATTCAATTAATAATCCAATTCTGTTTCAATGATATATAACCTTCAACCGAGAAATAAGCATTCAGTCCTTAGACTGTGCTAAAGTTTGACTCCTTAATGCCATTCCCCAGGAGATGGTGACCTAAAGTTGCTTACATCATAATGTCTGGTCTCCAGTGGAGAGTTGTCTCATTGGTAATCATACTACATCTCTTTATTCTAATATTAAATACTACCAACATAAATAATAAGACACTAATCTCTTTACTGATTGAAAAGAAATCAACAAAACACTTTTAGACATTAATTCAATTGGTTTTCAAAAAGATTGTGTTAAAAAGTTGGAAATTTGTTAAGATCTGTTTCCTAGATAAGACAACATATTGATTGTAAAAAGATTCAGATCGGAAAGACACATTACAGGTTTCACTCTATTTGTATTTTTGTAGAAATCTGTTACTTTCCCAGATTAGATTAGGATACCTTATAAGATGTGATAGATAATAGTTAACTTACAATGTATATCTGTCATATACTTTGACCACTGACAAAACAATCTTCTTATTTGGGAAATAGTTCAATTTAAAAGAAACAAGTTTCTGAGTTTGAAATTTATTATCTTATTGTTAGCTAAAACAAATAGATCTATCAAAAATAGTTCCTATCAAACTGACTTAAGCAGAAAACTTCACAACTGATAATTCAATTACAAAAAATGTACTAATTAATTCAAAGTTACTGTGTAATGACCTCGGGGAATAAGGGCCTCTAAATAGTTGTCAAACTGATATGTACTGATAGTAATGCAACACCATACAAAATATCATTGATCTAACATAAGTAGTTCCTATCAAACTGACTTAAGCAGAACACTAGGGGACAGGGCCTCTAAATAGTTGTCAAACTGATATGTACTGATAGTAATGTAACACCATACAAAATATCATTGATCTAGACCACAAGTAGTTCCTATCAAACTGACTTAAGCAAAACACTAGGGGAAGGGCCTCTAAATAGTTGTCAAACTGATATGTACTGATAGTAATGTAACACCATACAAAATATCATTGATCTAGATCACAAGTAGTTCCTATCAAACTGACTTAAGCAGAACACTAGGGGGAAGGGCCTCTAAATAGTAGTAGTTCCTATCAAACTGACTTAAGCAGAAAATTTAACATTTGTTGACAACACCGCCACAGCAAAAGCAACACCTACGTCTTGCCTTCAGCAATTTTTCGTTGCAGGCGAAACAAAAATGAGTGTCTGATAGTTTGTTGGAATGTATTTTAAATGCCCAGCTAACTCTTGTTAGAAAAATGATATCAAGATCAATGTCTGGTGTAGGGAGAATGCATGATCTCTGCATGTTAAAGATCCCTTCCAACAAATCTTTGAGGCCAGCCTCAGGGGTCTGAAGGTAGTCTGTAGCAAGACAAAATGTCTGCCCCTAATTAACAGATCTTCATTTCCAGTGGTAGTTAAAATTCATACTCTCCATCTTCCCGCTTAGCAGAATAGTTGTTTATTTCTTTATGTTCTGAATATGCATGAAATATTTCCCACTGGATATTAAGCAAAAAAAAACAATCAATTAATCGATATAAACCTGTATTGTCTATTATAAAGGGCTACAACTTTTACTGGTTTTAACCTCAAAACCTGACTTTTTATATACAATGAAAGACAAAAAATATTTTCTTAGCCTGGATCACTATATTTTAAAATGTACAGCCACATTCAATATACAGTTTCATCCTTCTGATGAGGTCTTTTCATTTGACTAACTAGATACAATTAAATTGACCACTACTATTTGTTCTGATGTTTATACTTGTATTGGGTCCATAAAAAACATGTAGTGATTCCATCAAAAGGCTATCCCCAATCCATGTTCAGGCAAATATTTTCTTTTCCTTTCATTTATTTGTATAAATCAGTGATCCATGTTAAAGCAATATTTTCTTAAGCCTAAAGTACAAGGGTATTGTTGTATATACAAGTTTTATTTTTATTGAGTTGAAAAAATGTGATTACTGTTAGAACAGTAATAAGGAGGAAGGCATAAATGTTTTATCTGAAAAATCCATTATACAACAGTACATTTCAAAATATAATTATAACTCATCTTTCATCAGTCCATTAAAGCTGAATTTTTTTACAAAAAAATCTGTTTTGAGAAAAACTAACGTGTGTACAGAGTAAATCAATAGATAGTTCCATAGATTGTTACTTATAAAAACATCAATGGATAAAGGTATAACAAATTTATTTTTGTTTCAAAAGGAATTCCATTAATAATATTTCCAAGAATTTATACTTTGTCCTGACATATCAGTGTTCCTTGTAAGGTATTTAATATACTATATTCAACCCTCAACAATAATATCATAATGTTGTTTAGTACTTAAAATATATCAAGTTAACATAAATATAAGAGGCTCAAATGAGCATGGCTTGCTCACCTAGATACATTTCCATTGTCAGCCATGTCAACAGAATATATCTCATCAACTGAAGCTCTAAAATATTAAAGATCAATCAATAGAGAATAGAAACTGGGAATGTGTTAAAGAGACAACAAGCCAACCAAAGAGCAGAAAACCATACCACATAGTCAGCTATAAAAGGTCCGAATTGACAAATGTAAAACAATTCAGACGAGAAAACTAACGGTCTGATTTATGTTCAAAACAATGAATGAAAAACAAATATGATATATAGCTACAAACGACAACCACTGAATTACAGGCTCCTAACTTGTGCATAACTACTGAGCAACAGGCCTAATCCTGAAAACTTATAACTGGTGTGTGAAATTGACATCAATGGCTATATGGCATATATCTGATAGACAAACATTTCTTGTAACCAATGTACAAAACAAATATTGTTGACCTTTCAATTGTAGTCAAGAAGCCTCATCCTAAAAACTTCACCTGACCATTTGAGTCAGGGTAAAATTTAGGTCAAGGTCAGGTGACATGCGACATGAATATGCACTCTACACAACAAATCTAGATCCTGAATGTGTCAGACAATTTCAACTATTTGACTTGTTCGTAGATCTTGTCTTGCTCATCATTTTGCCTATATAAGTTTCTATCTATTATATTTTTTCAGATATTAGGCAAAAACGCAAAAAATTAGTAAAAATCATCATTAAAGTGCAATAACTCCAATAAGGGGTCATCAGACGATTTCAACCATGTTGACTTATTAGTCAAACTTATCTTCTGATCATTTTTGCTATATAAAGTTTCTCTCTTTTATAATTTTCAAGATAATAGGCAAAAATTTAAAAAGATGGTAAAATTCATCATCTAAGAGCAATAACTCATATAAAAGTCATCTGACAGTTAGGAAGTAAATGGACAATTGGTAGAGCTCGTCATTCCAAACATTTTTGCCATTGTCAAATTTTCTCTATTTATAGTGGTTTTCAAGATAAAAGAAAAAACTTTGCATTTTACCCCTTTGTTCTATTTTTGGCCATGTTGGCCATCTTGGTTGGCAGGGGGTCATCAGACTTATTTTTTAAACTAGATACTTAAATGATGACTGTGGCCAAGTTTGGTTAAATTTGGATCAGTAGTTTCAGAAAAGAAGATTTTTGTAAAAGTTAACGACGACGGACAACGACGATGACGATGGACAACAGATGCCAAGTGATGAGAAAAGCTCATTTAGCCCCTCTGAGAACCAACCTGACCATTGAACTATTAAAGTATGAAAATGAAGTAAATGCCATATGTCAGACAGACAGATACAACACTTTTCAAAATAGTTTTGACCTCCAATGTGTTGATACTGAGAAACATACCTGTTCTAGAAAAGAAAACCTAACACGTGCAACATGAATTATAGTTAATGACAAATGATACTGTTTGACTGACAAGTTCTCATCATGAACAACCTCCCATCCTATTTCTTTATTGTAGGTAAAAGTGGAGATCAAATATTAAGATATTTGCCCACTCTTTCCTCCCCTAATGTTTATGAATTACTTTCATCAAATACAGAAAAGACCCATTCTCTTTCCCTTAAATATGTAAAATGACAGAGGAACTGTAACTTAGGTTAACTTGTGTTTGAACCGTCCCCCCCCCCCCCCCTATGTTCATGAATACAATGACTTTCATCAAATACAGAAAAGACCCATTCTCTTTCCCTTAAATATGTAAAATGACAGAGGAACTGTCACTTAGGTTAACTTGTGTTTGAACTGTTTCCTCCCCTAATGTTAAAGAATACAATGACTTTCATCAAATACAGAAAAGACCCATTCTCTTTCCCTTAAATATGTAAAATGACAGAGGAACTGTAACTTAGGTTAACTTGTGTTTGAACTGTTTCCTCCCCTAATGTTAAAGAATACAATGACTTTCATCAAATACAGAAAAGACCCATTCTCTTTCCCTTAAATATGTAAAATGACAGAGGAACTGTCACTAAGGTTAACTTGTGTTTGAACCGTTCCCCCCCCCCCCCCCCCCTATGTTCATGAATACAATGACTTTCATCAAATACAGAAAAGACCCATTCTCTTTCCCTTAAATATGTAAAATGACAGAGGAACTGTAACTTAGGTTAACTTGTGTTTGAACTGTTTCCTCCCCTAATGTTAAAGAATACAATGACTTTCATCAAATACAGAAAAGACCCATTCTCTTTCCCTTAAATATGTAAAATAACAGAGGAACTGTCACTTAGGTTAACTTGTGTTTGAACCGTCCCCCCCCCCCCCCCCCCCCTATGTTCATGAATACAATGACTTTCATCAAATACAGAAAAGACCCATTCTCTTTCCCTTAAATATGTAAAATGACAGAGGAACTGTCACTTAGGTTAACTTGTGTTTGAACTGTTTCCTCCCCTAATGTTAAAGAATACAATGACTTTCATCAAATACAGAAAAGACCCATTCTCTTTCCCTTAAATATGTAAAATGACAGAGGAACTGTAACTTAGGTTAACTTGTGTTTGAACTGTTTCCTCCCCTAATGTTAAAGAATACAATGACTTTCATCAAATACAGAAAAGACCCATTCTCTTTCCCTTAAATATGTAAAATGACAGAGGAACTGTAACTTAGGTTAACTTGTGTTTGAACTGTTTCCTCCCCTAATGTTAAATCAAAGCGCGAAAGCGCTGTAAAGGCAGTTAATTACAGGTTGTGTGTATTTTTAGTCCAGTTATATCATTATCTTGCATAGTACATTGTACTTATCAGAGGTGGCTTTCAGTATTTAAGATTTAGAGTTCTCTAATGATATTGAACAAGTTTTATGAATGTCATATTCTGGTCACTATATGAAGGCGATTGTTCTCACTTGTTTATGAACTAGTGCATTATGTCCAGTTTGTACCTTTTTTATCTATGTTTATAGTCAAATACTGTTTAAAATAGTTTGGCATTTTCTTTTAAGTAATAAGTAAATGTTGTCAACTGTATTTTATTCGACTTTGCAAATGTGGTTTGTTACTGGTAAGTACAATGTATGGATGATAGTTGTTTCATTGGCAATCATAACACATCTCCTTATTTATATAATGATCTATATTCAACGACCTCAGGTACAAAACAAATGTATGTAACTAAACTATGATGGGAAACCTTTGACTTCTTTCTTTAATATAAACTTTTGATTTGGTACCATAGAACTATGTAGAATAAATGTACATTGCAACATGTCAACTCTTTCAATGACAATACCTTTTTTAGAAACTATAACTCCAAGCAAAATTATCTTTCCAAGTATAAAGTAATTTATGAATGAAACTAGAGTGCACACGCTGAAATGTCTCGCCTTCTTTACTAATCATTGATATTATGTTGATAGTCCTAAATATAAAGCTTTATTACAACTGTCACATAAACTTAACATTAACCAAGTAAACTAAACATTGACCAATGAACCAAGAAAATGAGGTCAAGGTCAGATGAACCATGCTAGGCAGGCATGTACAGCTTACAATTCTTCCATACAACAAATATAGTTGACCTATTGCTTATAGTTTAAGAAAAACAGACCAAAACACAAAAACTTAAAACTGAGCAATGAACCTTGAAAATGAGGTCAAGGTAAAAAAAACCTGCGTGACTGACATATAGATCATAAAATATTTCCATACACCAAATATAGTTGAACTATTGCATATAGTATTAGAAAAAAAGACAAAATTCAAAAACTTTACTTTGACCACTGAACCGTGAAAATGAGGTCAAGGTCAGATGACACCTGCCAGCTAGACATGTACACCTTACAATCATTCCATACACCAAATATAGTAGACCTATTGCATACAGTATAAGAAAAACAGACCAAAACACAAAAACTTAACTATAACCACTGAACCATGAAAATGAGGTCAAGATCAGATGACACCTGCCAGTTGGACATGTACACCTTACAGTCCTTCCATACACCGAATATACTAGCAGAGCTCCAGATAAGCTGCGTATTTGCGTGATCACGCAATACAAATTATAAAAAACCCAATGCAATTGACCATTGCAGGGTTCAATAACCCAATTGATTCAAAGGAAAACCCAATTATATGCCAAACCATGAGTTCTCAACCCTTTTTTTGGCTACCGTTTGCGTTATTTACCCTTATCTGTTTACAGTCGTCGCGTAAATCTATTTTTATAATAATTGGAAATTTCCTTTCGTCCTTAAAATAGATCTCTGCATCAAGAAGCTGAAATGGGTCCCTGTTTAAATTTTCTGTTGCTCAAAAGGTACACGTGGTTTTGAAAACATTTCGATCTTCTCGGCGTTTATCCAATTAGTGTGTGTCATGTTATCCTATTTTTTTCGAATTGCTCGGGATTTATCATAACATACATTGAATTAAAACAAAAGTGAAAGTCCGGTAGATATATTGAATAGAAGCATGTTTTCAGCTTCTTTTGAATAGCTAAGTGAAATTTATGATGATAACAAGACTCAGCCATTGTTATTAGGAAGCCTCCATAGAACGCACAGGTGTTTATGCGTACCTTATCGAGAACATTGCTAATTAACACGGGGTTTCGTCAAAAACAAAATCAGTTGGAAAAAGTGAAAGGCCAATATTGTAGTTGGAAAACATCAGAAACCAAAATTTCTAATGAGGGACAGCTTGACCCAGATTTATATAAATTAAATTAAACAAAAACATTCAAGTATACAGTTTATATCATATATTTCTTCCATTTTACATTTAATGAGTGAGTACACACACATGCATTCGTCTCAGAATTTTTTATATAAAGGTATAAAGGGAGGGGGGGGGGGGGGGGGGGGGGGGAAACTGAGACGAGTGTCTGTGAATACACATATCCGTTTTTTACAGTTTATATAAGTTGTGACAAAATACAAAACTGGCAGACCGTTTGAAACAGGACACAAATTAAACCTTCAATCGCTCGTCAGTGAATAAACCTAATGAAACATCTATAGCACATATACAAAGAAAGGAACATACACATGTATTTAAGATTGAAAAACATCTGGGGTTGATATTGCTTAAATATTCAATATTGTGTGGATGAAAAAACCCAATACAATAATGAGCTTGGTGGTGAAAAACCCAATTTGATATCAACTTGAGGGGTGAATTGAAATTGATAATGCAATTAAAAAACTTTATCACCCAGTTAAATAAGAAAATGGTGGGTAAACACCCCAATTTGTGAATTCTTATCTGGAGCTCTGTACTAGACCTATTGCTTATAGTATCTGAGATATGGACTTGACCACCAAAACTTAACCTTGTTCACTGATCCATGAAATGAGGTCGAGGTCAAGTGAAAACTGTCTGACGGGCATGAGGACCTTGCAAGGTATGCACATACCAAATATAGTTATCCTATTACTTATAATAAGAGAGAATTCAACATTACAAAAAATCTTAACTTTTTTTTCAAGTAGTCATTGAACCATGAAAATGAGGTCAAGGACATTGGACATGTGACTGACGGAAACTTCATAACATGAGGCATCCATATACAAAGTATGAAGCATCCAGACCTTCCACCTTCTAAAATATAAAGCTTTTAAGAAGTTAGCTAACACCGCCGCCGGATCACTATCCCTACAAAATGTATGTCGAGCTTTCTGCGACTTTTTTTCTGCGACAAAAGTCGCAGGCTCGACAAAAAGGAGTTCTTAATTAAGTAATAAACTGATTCGCTGAGCGCAGCTGGATACACCCACAGAGGTCCAACCCTGAACAGTTGGGGCAAAAATGGACACAATATTCAAGCTTGATACAGGTCTGAATTTGGATTGTAATTAAATATTTGACATATTATAGTTTCTGAATAAATGTAGTCAAAGAACTTGAAATCGGTTATATGAATTGAATTTATATTCAATTAAAGATTTCTTGCTGTTGTGCAATACACTGTGCTGTTGCGCAATACTTAATAAATCTGTTGCCAGACTATAAACAAATAAAGTTCAATTTCTTCTCAATGTCATATTTGAAATTTATGAAAATCAATAGGGAGATTACATCAATAGCTATAAATAATTCACCAAAGTTTCATGCGAACTGCTTAAAGCATTTTTGAGTTGTTGTCCAAAAACTGGAAAATCCCCCCCCCTTTTTAATGAATAAAACCCCATAACTCAGAAATGTAAAATCTAAAATTTATAAAATTCTAAAGGGAGCTTACGGATTGATAATTTAGTCTTAGATGCAAGATTTTTTTTATCAGTTGTTTGTGGCTTTGAACTAGCTGTCAGTAAATGCGAGTACTCTCAGATCTGTACTTAGTGTCTTTTTGTTGTTTGGATGTACAACTACCCGGCCACGTCCACTTGTATTTGTATTTATCCATCTGATGAGTTAAGCCTCTTTCAACTGATTTTTATAGTTCGCTCTTATATTGTACTGTTACACCACTGTCCCAGGTTAGGGGGTGGGTTGGGATCCCGCGAACATGTTTAACCCCGCCACATTCTGTATGTACATGTATGTGCCTGTCCCAAGTCAGGAGCCTGTAATTCAGTGGTTGTCGTTTGTTTATGTGTTGCATATTTGTTATTCGTTCATTTTTTGTACATAAATTAGGCCGTTAGTTTTCTTGTTTGAATTGTTTTACATTGTCATTTCGGGGCCTTTTATAGCTCACTGTGCGGTGTGTGCTTTGCTCATTGTTGAAGGCCGTACTGTGACCTATAGCTGTTAATTTCTGTGTCATTTGGTCTCTTGTGGAGAGTTGTCTCATTGGCAATCATACCACATCTTCTTTTTTATATTTACATCAACAGATATAAACAATTCACCAAAGTCAAGGTGAGACAACAAAACTTAGTTGTAAGATCTCTGAAATTTTTTACACGGTACAAGTTTTTCTAATTGTTGGAGATTGTATGGTGACAGTAACACCTGTAACTGCTTAACCCATTTCTTATGCACTTTGGTTCGATAAACTCACTGAATATCATACCACATCTCCTTATTTTTATATGCATTACAATTTACATGTGCATGTAATTGTAAATAATATTTATATATATATATATATCAGAACAAACTTCATTGCATCACTTTTATTTATGCATCCTTTGGCACAATACAAGTTCTAAAATTACACAACATAAAACAACTAAATGTTATTTCAGATGAAAGTTTTGTTTCAGTTCCATTCATAGGATTTATTAGAATTTTGTATGTTTTGCCAAGTCCAATAATTAGCTCTATGTGCACGTGTTAATTGGAGACTTTTCTATTCCGTATAAGAGTTTTGGAACTAATTATGTTTCTTTTTTTGAAAAAAGTGAGCAAACAAATCTTGCACATTTAAACCTTTGTCTGCCATCACACTGTCACCTGGATCACATAATTGAACTATTCTACATCTTTCAACTATTTCACAGTCACTGGTACAACCAACATATGCATTAGAGACATAGTTGACTAAACCACCAGGTGTCGAACATACAAGTACTTTCAGTGTTTCTGTTTTTATATGATGAAAAGGTTGCCTGAGCTCTAGGAGCTTTAGGTTTTATCACGGGATATTCTGTGCTGTCAATAATAATCCAAGTTGTAGGAAACTTTAATTTGAAGTTGGATGGCGAAAAATACCTGACTAAACCACTAAATGGCCAAGTGTTAGCCTCACGCCACTGTTTAG